AAGCTTGCAAGGCTAACAAGAAAACTAATATGAGATTAAGGGTATAATCTATCAAATGATGTCACTAATGTGATATCATCTTATTGTATCACCAACTCATGTCATAATATATGTCATAATATCAGGTATTATACGAATTTATTATCTTTTAATAATAGAACTATTTTAAAAATATTAAATTTATTTTGCTCAATTTATTTTTGTTGAAGCCAAATATTACAACTATTTAGCTTCTATTTATGTTGAAGGAAACTTAAAATTTAAATAAAAATATATCATTGATGACTTTATCCTAAAAAATGACTATTATTGTGATACAATCATAATTAATATTTCTTACTCCATTTGAAGAATATAATAATTGATATTGTAACAAAGTTTATTTTATCTTAAGAACTTCAAACTCTATGAATAAAACATTATAATACAACATTACATGACAATGATATATACAAGCATCAATATTAAAGGTCATCATCTCAAAAATTACCTTATAAGGTGTAAGATTGCCAAGTAATTTGTAATATAACTAAAACGTAGAATATTCTAAGGTTGAAAGATTTTTGACATAGATCACCACGTCATAATAGAGATTTGTCATTATTTCTAATGATTGTGCACATGAAAGCAAAATGTATATTTGGTTCAAAGTGATGACATCATACCTTGACAATTCATGTACTCTTTTTATTCCAAATCTCTTATTCAATTGATTTCTCAAAGTGATTTCATCTCTGATGAAATTGATAACCAAGAGTTTTTTTTAAATGATAATTTATATTTTTTATTTTTCATAATTTTTTTAATTACATTCTCTCTCCCTCTCTTCCTTCTTTTTAGGTAGACCCACAATCAGCCCAACAATAGGTTCCCCACCACCTCAAAACCAATAGGGCCAACACCATTGAGGCCCATGTCGGCCCATATCGAATCAAGGCCAGCCCATTTTCATGTAAAATTCCCACATCGACTCCATTTCAGCCTACTTTCCTCAATGTTCTCTCTCTCTCTCTCTCTCTCTCTCTCTCTCTCTCTCTCTCCCTCACTCACTCACTCTCTCTGAACCCAAGAGTTGTGGGTGTGTTGGCTATAGTAGGGATGCTGCAAGCCGTAAATGTTGCGGATGAATCTTGTGATCGCAGTGGTGGAGGGGGACTGTGTTGAGGCCCTTGCCACTACCGCCCTACCACATGGACAAAGGAGTTAGAGGGGCAACAATCATGAACAAGGGCTCTATATACTAACCAGGAAATTAATTGACAGTGTCCCGAAAATAAAGGACTAATAGACTGGTTCAAGATCTCTGAATCAAAACGATCAGGCTATTATCATCAAATTTGAATCAGCAGAAAGGAATCACTGGTGATGATGAGAACGACCGACTCAATATCTTTGATTCGAATGGCTCAACCGTTATCATCGGATCATGAGTAATAAGAGAAGATTCCACAGTTGTGTTGACTGATGAAACCGATGGCAAGAACAACTTAGCATAAAAAGTCTGACTACAAAGGAGGGAAGGGAGGAAAAATTGTTCTAGAGTCTCTACAAAGTCTTGGAGACCAATTGTCACGAACTAGTCACCCATGTCCTATTATGGAAGAGTCTCCTTCAAGTCTCTCCATCTCTTGTCCTCTCTATCTCTTTGTCGCTCTCTCTCTCCCTCTCTCAGCTCTCTATTGTCTCTTTGTTCTCCATTCTATATTTTAGGAAGTTGAGTGAATTCAAATGACTGCCTACAACGCAATTTATGTGGAACTTTAGTGTCTTACCTCTATTATCCCAAGGTACACATCAATTAGGTATCAAAGCAGTCAATAATCATTGATGGCCCCCAAGCCCAATGAGCCTAAAGTGGATATTCTCGAATGAAAAATCGAGGAATTTAAACGATAGGTCACCGCAATGACTCAAGTGATTGAGGTGCTACATCGATTGATCGAACTCCTCATCTCATGGACTGAGAAAGAGAAAATTTCACCCCAGTGTATCTAGCCAAGGCTGATTCAACCTTGACTCCGGTGACAAAGGAGGTCATGAGGATCTCTCGGGACTCCTTAATTCCAATCCCAAGACTCATGATCGGGGGTCAATTTCTAATGAGAATCTCCGGAGCAGTGGCATGGGAGACATTAGAGCTTCTCCTATTCATGGAGATCAACCTAAAGAGCTGGGTATTTAAGGCCAAACTTATTTTTCAATTTACATACTATTAGGGCCCAAGAAATTATCCATCACCAGCCTCAGTCTTGACGGACATGCACTTTTATGGTTCAAATAGGAGATAACATGTGACCATTCTGTAATTGAGAGGATCTGAAGGCCAACCTTCTAGTTCGATTTCACCCCAAACCCACATTTACTCTTTGTCAACAATTCTTAGAGCTCATACAACATGGAATTGTGACAAAGTATAAGGAAGAATTTGAGTTATATTCAGGATTAATCTGAAATATGCATGAACTTATCTTGGATAGCACTTTTCTCAAGGGTTTGCAGAAGGACATCAGAGTAGAAGTTGGCATGCTAAACCCCCAAGGCCTGGGGACGATCACGAGGACCGCACAATAGGTGGAGTTGAAGATTAGCACTATGGTAGAAATGAGTAACATCTAAAAATCGCACCCTATGGCCAGGAGATTTAGGTATAGGAAACCAAGAAGTGATGTAACAAGGAGCTCTAGAGCTAAGAATCCCTTGTGGATCACAAGCAATAGCCTCAAGTTTTACCTACAGAGTAGAACATGTGGCCCTTGACAAACGGAGACAAATCAACCTCATCGTGGTTGAGATCCAATTGTGACAAACACAGGGCCTCTAGTCCACTGTAATGAAAAAATTTCGTCGGGACACAAGTGTAAGAAAGAGTTATTGATCCTCTTCTCCCTAGAAGAATCTAATTTCCTTTTAGAAGATCCAACAGTTTTGGAGATGGAAGGCAACAAATTGATCAGCTTGGAGGACATGAATAACCTCGAGTTGAAGCTGGTCACCATCTTGGTTGATAGTGGGGTGACACAGCTTTATAAGCTGCAGGTTAGTCTGCAATCTAGAACTTCATGTTTCTAGTGTCACAACCTACCAAGTGACTATGGGAACTGAAGAGAATGTCGTTGGGTCGTAAATTTACCTAGGAGTCTCCATCAGTCTATAGACATTGACCATCTGCGAAGACATGCTGGTCTTACTATTCACCAGCATAGATGTTGTCCTTGGAATCTAATGGATGAAGACTAGGAAAAGAATTGAGCTGAACTTCAAGTGCTTGACTCTATCCTTCATAATTGAAGAAGGGTTGGTGACTCTTCATGTTGAATCGCCAAAGGTAATGATAGCTTGCCCAAAATTTTCTATCTATATGTATAAAAAAGGACGATGTCTTTCTTGAACTATATCAATTGATAGAGCAAACCACCTTGAGCGATCCATCTTCCCTCACGTAGAAAGAGAAGCCTTTAATTCCAGCATTATTCACCAATATTCAAGGACCGCCACTGCAACAAGATGTTGAGCACTAATTACTCTATCAGTCAAATTTTAGCAAAACAATTATGTTTTCCTCTAGCTGGATTTACCCTATCTTTCATGTGTCTCTGCTCCAAAGGGCAGAAGGCTCTCCCATCCCATACCCAATCAGCCCTCTCCAACTAAACAAGGACCTCACGAGGATCATAAAGCCCACCAGGGTTCAAGCCATCCGCCACAGCACATCTGGCCCAGAAGTCCTTATAAAGTGGTGCGACTTACTTGTTGCCAGAGCCACATGGGAGTCCACTCACGTCACACATTACTAAGTCTCCGACTTTCACCTTGAGGACAAGGTGAATCTCATAGGGGGGGGAGTTAGATACTGAACAGGTGGCTCATTTACAACATCTTAGAAATAAAGGATAAGCCAACAAGTTCAAGATCTACAAATCAAAATAACCATACCGCTATCATCAGATCAAGAACCGCTAGAAACGAATCACCAACGGCAACAAGAACAACCAACTCAATATCACCGAATCAGAATAGCCAGTTCGTTATCCTCAGATCAGGAGTGGTCAAAGAAGATTCCATGGTCATGTTGACTAGTCAAACAAAGGGCAAGAGCAGCTCACCATAAGAAACCCAGCTACGAAAAGGGAAGAAAGGAAAAATTGTTATAGAGCCTCTACGAAGTCTTGGAGACTGAATGTCTCAAACCAGTCACCCCTATCCCATTACAAAAGAGTCCCTTCAGGTTTCTAAGTTTCTTTTCCTCTCTCTCTCCCTCCCTCTCTCAACTCTCTGCTGTGTCCTCGTTCTCTATTTTATATTTTGGAAAGTTGAGCAAATTCTAGCGGCTGTCAGCCCCATTTCTATGGAACTTCAATGTCTTACCTCCATTATCTCAAGGTGCACATCAGACTACGATGCATGGAGCAACGATGAGGAGGAGCCCTACTACAGCTGTGGGTCATGCCAAGCGGGCCTACTGGGGAGCCTCAGGGAGGAGTGGAGGAAGGCCAAGCTTGTGCTCGTCGCTGCCGCCATCACCCTGCTCTATGTGTACAGTGCCGCCTGCAGTGCCTTTAGCAGCACATAGACAGAGGACCTCCACTGGCGCTACAAGCAGTGCTACGTGTAGCAGCAATTCCTCGTTAAAATCCTTTTGACAGCCCCAAGACAACCTCTCAAAGTCCCTATCTTGGGATGACGAAAAATAATACTCCCATGACCAGTGTTATAAAGACAACAAAACCTCCAAATATAGCTTCAAACTTTGTTGTGCCTGTCAGAGAGATAGAGCGAGAGGAACACTACCCCCACACCCCCCCCCCCCCAAAAAAAAGAAGTATATATGTGTATATACACATACAAATCAACATATATGGTACCTCTATGATGCTGGGCGATGAACATTCTCTATGTTGAAGGGGGATAAATATTTGCAGCAACCCTTTTAAAAGATTATATTCATGCATGTATTCAGACATTCCTTTCTTAAGAATTGTGTACCTTGATCGTTGCAGCAATCAAGTACCAAAATTCGGTGCTCGAGTGGACGTAGGAGCACCACGCGAGTACCTCCACTCCCCACATGCCGAACATTTCTCCAGCTTCATGTTGTTGTCGAGGGTACAAAATCTGCAGGACCAGGTCTTTGATATACCTCCAGTGTCTTTAGGCCTCTCAGAACCGCACGCATCACAAGCCAGAGCTAATGGCTGCGGCTTCAACCAATAACAGCATGAGAAAAATTCATAGTAACACACCAAACTGCGTAATTAAAATTATGGCAATTTTTTGGCATTATTTACGGGATGATGAGAACGTATGAAAATTTCAAAAAATACCCAGCAGAATAAGGGAAGATAAGCAAAACCATTTAAAGCCACCTCGTTGTGCCAAAAGAAGGTCATGCTGTCTAGGCTAGTTTCATTTATTAGAAGGTACTACCCAACCCTTCCTTTTTGGGTTTTACGCACATAGAATGCATAGAAGAAATTGGGAACAAAATGGATGAAAAGAGCAGACGTCAGGTAATAAACCTTAATATGAAAAAGGTATTACATGAGATTGGAAGAAATGCATGCGAACTACAAGAGACATCATATTAATCCTAGGAAATACCGGCTTTGAAAGGTTTGACAGCTTCATGTCAGCGTGTGCATTAAAATCCATAGACAAAGAAGATCCTCTGATTGCAACAGCCAGCAAACACCTTTCTGATATGTATTGAGAAACAAAAACGGCAAAAATCTACTGACGCAACTTTTGTAGATTATTGGCTTAAGATTTTAAATGACATAAAAGTAATGCAATTCACCCAAATCATCAGATTTATGACTGAAGCCGCCTCTCCACCTTTGAAAAATAAACTCTTTGAATATGCACTCTCACAATATAAATGATTCAGTACATATAAATGAATTAAAATACACAACAAGTTTGTGTGCCAAGAAGTGCATATGTTAACGATTGGGCATACTTCACATACAATTACATGGCACGATAATATCGGAGACATAAAGAGAAATAAAAACATAGCTAGAACTCAGATATATATAAACCAATGGGAGGCTCCTACCTTATTGAACAGGGTGCACACACTGCATTCCCAAATCGTCCCGTAATCTCTGTTGTCTACTGAATTGTAGATGGATACAGAACCAGATGTTGAAGGGCTTAAATGATCACCAGCCATACTGCAACCAGAATCTATACTTGAGCAAGCACTTCGGATGCGCTTCCCACCTCTCTCATTGCTGTAAAGCTCACCATGAGCGTCAACCTGACCTTGGGATGTGGCACTCGAGGTATCTTTCCCAGAAGTCAAGGATCTGTTCAGCGTCTCTAACGATCTCTTAAAAAACTGATTATCCACGTCATCATCAGACACATCTACAACACTAGAGTGTACACAGGATTCAGAAGCACACCACAGATCATCGAGAATCCGCCTCTCAGCAGCCATGGCAGCAGCTTGAACTGGTGTTAGAGAAGCCATGATACTGCTATCCCCCCCTAGACGTTTTGGACCTGAAGGTAATAAACTGGCAATCAATTTACGCTTCTCTGCTGCGACCAAAGCAGTTTTCCCAAGAGATGACAGAGGAGGTTGCCTAGAAACTCCACCCAGTCGTCTTCCAGGAACATCAAAACCCTGTCCAGTGACAATTATCCCCTTTGTTATCAGCTCCTCACATTCCTGCAGAGATAAGCGATGAATAAGTGACAATTATCGTTTTGAATGAATGGTACTCTTCCAGGACCTCAGAAAAGCCTTTGTTAATTTGCAGTTTTGCGGTTTGTGATCAAAAGTTCATGTAAGAAAAATTAGTAAGGTCAATACATCTATTGACGTACCCATCCAAGGTACAGCTACAGTTTGGATAAAAAATGAGCTTTCCTCGTAGTCTAGCAACGGATTCTAGAATCTTACGACGCATTATCTTCTGGCGCAAAAATTTTGGTATCACAATTGACACTCTTAGAAGAATATGATTGCAAAAAAATTACATCATAAGCGTGATATGAGAATGCAAAACATAGCAAGAAGTCAAACTTTGTTACACACAGGGAAACCTATTTCTTGATGCCAAGGGCGTTGCATATAATGCACATTACATAAATATGGACAGCAAAACTGACCCCTCTTCACGGGCGAGTAAGAAGTTTGAGAACCTATATATATGACGGATAATATCCCTGTATTGCCGAATATGATACTATCTGACGAAAAGAAATTCCTTTGAGAGAGTCGGGGGAAACTCGCCTTTCTGATATCATCCCAGAGCTTGTAGAACAAAGCGTTGTGAGGACCATGCTCTATATGACAAAGCTCGTGCAGCATCGTGTCCAGAACCTCCTCGTAAGAAAAGAAATCTAGGTCCCCCCTTGGCCTCCGCAGACGCAGCTTGACGTGCACGCCTCTCCCCACATTCAAACCCAGGAGGGACGAATTCGCCGGGCTGCACATTCCACAGATTTTCGATTAAGATCCAAAGTTTTCACTACCAGGAAAGCAATCCAATTTTTTTATACAATAAACAACAAGAGAGACGAATCTACGGATACCAGAACTCGGAGAGAACCTTGACCCTCCATTTACGCCTCCGCATTATCGGCTGCACCTGTTTCGCCACATTCTCAAGAATCCTCCTCGCCTCATCTCCTCGGGGCCTTTTGAGAGCCTTTATCTCCCACACCTTGTGGAGATCCGCCATCTCCATCCCGCGACCCTCTGATCTAACCCTAGAAGAAGAGTCGGAGGAGAGGAATCCCTCGCAATCATACCATTAATCTGCAGTGACTCTCCCTCACTGGAGAAATCCCGGCAACTTCTTTTCAAATCTATGAGATCGGGCCAATTCCAAAAACGCCCATTAAATAGATGGGCTCAGCCCGGAGCCTTTCCCGCCAAAATGTTCGTTTCAACTCGCCTCCTGGAAATCCACCTCCGACTCCATCAAAATCCGAAAGGAAAATTCTGGTGAGGAAGAGGGCTTCCGGAAGGAGAACGCGAGCAGACGTCGAATCCTTTGCGGCCTCCTCTGGAGGAGTCCGGCGAGCAACATTTTCAGAGAACTGCGTAATTCCTACTCCGTCCAGGTATGGCTTGGTCCTTCGTTTTGGGCTTTACAGTGCTGAATATAGTTCCGGTGGACGTGCGAGGTCTCCGAGAGATTACCCTAGGAAAGGGGTACTGTGAGGTACGCCACTGAAATCACTCGCCGAAAAATATTTCGCTATTATTGATTGATTTGGATGGGTTCGTCGCAGTAATGTTTCGTCGTAGATGGTATTAATGTGTGTCCGGTCATGGACATTAGCCTCATCATATTAGAAACTGACAGTTTAATTGGGTATCATACAACGTCAGGGGAGAGACAAAATCTGAAATTCTCTCGAGGATCCATTACCTGCGCTGTTTATTAATGTGAAACATTCGTCAGTGCACCCTTCATCTTGTTCATCCCCGCTACGCCATCACCGTGTTGTACCTGATCATCTACTGCTGTCTTCTTCCATCCCCTGCGCGCTCATGTCATGCTACAACTCTCTCACTGATGTCACTTAAACAGTCACTGCACGTCACCGCCTTACGTGTCCATGGCGTCTGCATCCCATCGTCTGTTTTCTATTGTCACCACCTTACAGAGTCCAAATATATTTAAGACCAATTGCCAATATATATATATATATATATATATATATCTATTCTGTCGAATGCAATGACTGCAGAAATAGGCGATTCATTAAGATTTTTTCTACCCTCGATAAAATTTCAAACACAACCCAGGATAAGCGACGAGATCACCGAGGTGCCACGACATGTATCACCGTTTCAATAAACGTCCAGTTTCTTGTTAAGCCATCTTAGAAATTACTCCTGAAAGTTTTTATCATTTTCCGGCACTAAAACCGATGTGACTAATGTTTCGTACTTTGGCCTGTTGTTGATACATTTTCCACAATGAAAATAAAACAAAGAAGATATTGAAGCACTCGGACAGTGCATTGGACGGGATCTTTCTAGCTAATTTTTTAAAAAAAATGGACAAGATGTCAATAATAGAAAATCTTATGCCATATTTCCTTTATGATTTTTGTTGATGATGAAGTTAGTCATCACCATGCAATTAGAATTATTTATTTCAAGCTTCGCACTTTCGATTTGAACCCCGTACAGTTTGTTTGAGCATCTTCGTTCATACTTTTTGTTGCAGGATAGTCCTCTTATAGGCTATTCTCACTCTTTTTACTTATTTAAAACGTACAACTATGTTCTACTCAAGAATTTGTCTAGTGTTTTTTTGTGCCCGACAGCATTTATTGTTTTGTTAGTCGATAACCTGTATCGTTCGTTTTCTGTGTCAGGCTATTATGAATGCTTCAATACAGTAGGTTTTTTTCACGAACGATCCCTTCAGGGATCATCCTGCTGGACCTAGCACATATTAGAGTAAACGGTTGCTTTACTGTAGGATTTCAGTTGTGTTGTGTTTACTTTGAATTTCTCTTTTAGGTTAGCCACCATCTGTTTGGATATATAGATGATAGTGTAATGTGCATGGGGTGAAGGACAACGAGCGTAAGCCCTGGTGCTCCGATTGTCTTGGTCCCACCAATGATATGGCATTACTGTTTGATGGACCTACGTGCTTACCGTTGTTAGACCGATGGCCAAGCTAGGTAGTCATGTGACAGAGGCATACAATAACATGACGTATCTTGCCCTACCAACTACCTAATTTGACATCGCACATGTTCCTAGAAAGCGCCAAGATGCATCTCTCTTTCCCCCAGGATAGATCTGTTACTGTTCCAAGGTCGTGGGATGAGCCCCGGGCTAGTAGTCTTGTATACCCTGTTCATAATATTTGGAAATATGCTTCCTCCACTTACATACGTTTGACCTAGTACAAAGTTCCATATTTCTTTCATGGCTTTTAATAAGATGTAAAATTCATAATGTTAGACCCCCCAAGTAAAAACATTCAGATAAAGAAATTATTTGATTCAGTCAAATCTGCGATGCTTCTTTGAAGTCCTTTCCTCCAGACTCCATGAAGATAGATGCTAGCATGCTCGATCAGATCTTATGTTTCCCATTTTATTTGGGTAATTAGTTCCGTCCAGCAATCAGTTGAGGTGTCATTCATCTGTGAGACAGCGATATGAAGATTCTGCAGGAGGAGCAGCAATCTAAAACACTATTTGGTGTGATTCCAGATCTCACAGAAGATATGACTGGCTACATCTTGAGTGATCCCAGGGACGAAGAAATCTTTCACATCAAGCTTCTTTGGTCTCACCCTCTTACTGTGGGAATTTCTTCCATCTGTACTTCCTACATGAAAATTATAATTAAAGAGGGCGTGTCTTCGCAGCAGTGGACCTAATCCATTCTTTGCATCAACCTGAAGTTCACCTTGATATAATTGTCCCTAGTTCCTGTCCCCTAGATCTTCGTGCAATAATATATCTTCTGATTCTCGATCCAATGCTTCAAGAAGTTTCCGGGTGCAAACCCTATTTCCAAAGGTTGCCCATTGGATTTGACATGCTATATTCTATGGATCGATAGCCACTTATTTGTTGTGGCCTTGTAGGAAACCAACTGCCCAAAAACTATTACAGTGATAGAGGAAGGTGCGTTGTTTGGCCTTTGTTGAAATTTCTTGTGATGTAGCAGATCTTATCTTGGCCGAGAGTGAAGATGTCAGCAAAGATTGATGTTTTATTGCTCGAATTTTTCCATCAAGTTACTGCTTCATCTGACTTCTGTTGAGTATTTTTGCTGTGGGCACTAAACCATGCGTATCTGAATAGATTCAACTAGAGACTACAGCTCGTAGAATACCTGTCCACAAATCATACATTCCTAAGATCAGCGACTTCTGTATATTTTACAAGCAGTACCTTTTTTTCTCAATCCTGATGAAGTACGTTATGCATTTCTGAACTTTCCTTCATCAAAAAGAAATAATTAAGTGTCTTAAAGGAACATGAAGGTATACAAAACATACCCAGAACTTTTAGAAACGTAGATTCACGTGTAATGCGATGAAATAGTGAAAAATGCTCCACAGCTGCCCTCATTCTTCCGTCACAATGAATAGGTCAACTCCAGGAATAGCCCGTTGGCTATCTTCTGCTGCCGTTCATCCCCTGAGATTACATTAAACCACATGATCTGGCCCTTCAAACCTCACAGCGGGCTGTCGATTCATGTGACTTCTAGTTTTTATGGACTCTCATGTTATTATGTATGATCTATGATTTTGAAGAAATCATAGATCATATAGAATAACATGAGCTCGCTGCAAGCAGGGTTGTTGCCGTCGGAGGGGCAGGAGCTCGCTGAGAGAGGGCCGAAATGACGGTACCTGGTGTGGAACAGGGTAAAAATGTATCTACTTTTGCTCCTTCAATGTCCTGTTTACTGTGTCACAGTCGGCCGCGGCGGGTCTCCATTGCGTGGAAAAGAAGCCGCTGGTGGGCCTCCCCGCCAGCTTTCAGTTGAGTTCTGAAAGACAACGCCCAGCCCGGCAGCCGTCCCTACTCTGCCTTGACTCGGATGATTTATACGGCCTGGTATTTGTGTAGAGAGAGAGAAGTCATGAGGCAGTTTTTCCTTGGGTTGGCCCCGGCCTTTCCAGTTCTAGATTGACTGGGATGTACTTTACTACCTGAATCCGACTTGGGCTCTGAGATAAAAGCCCTGAAAACAGGGTTCGGGCCTGCTTTGTAGAGAGAGAGAGAGAGGGGGTTTCTTTAGGTGAGTAATCTGAAGAGTCCGATTGAAGGGCTCGGTCATAGTAAGTCTAGCTTGATCCGGATGAATTTTACGGTCTGAATCAGGCTTGGGCTCTTATCAAAACCCAGAGATCAGGAATCAGGAATCAGGCCCGGAACTGGAGAGACAGAAAGAGAGAGAGAGAGAGAGTGGGTATATCCGGGATTTGAGATAATGGGCCCCAAAAATCTGTAGCCAGCTTGTTTTTATGCGAGCGGAAAGGGATACGCCGGCCGGGAGTAGATTCCCTTTCCATCAGTGGTGGCTTTTGACCTGCGCATGGGGGACTGGCTTGTCCGCGGGTTTAGGCCGGAGGTAGAAGAGAGGGGGTCCTCCAGCGAGCGTAGGTTGACCAGCACGGCGGCGCGCTCTTTAGGGGCGGCTGGGCATCTCCCTGGACCGCGACGACAGGCGCTAGAGAGGGAGGACGACTAGCTAAACTACGACTCTGATCCCCTACCTTCCAACCGGCACACAGCGATGCATGGTTGGCATTGTCGTGTATACCATGAGACAACGGGGAAATAATAACCAGATCTACGCCCGTGAGGCGGCACAAAGGAAGGCCGAATCGAAGCGTACGAAAAGACCTAGAGAGAGAGAGAGGCTGTCGGGGAGCACGTGATGTTCGAGAGAAACCTCCCATGCCTAGGAAGATCTTAAGGTATCTCACACTTCCCCGGTGGAGATAAACTCTGGATTCCCTTCCCATCTATCTTTACCCAGAGATAGCTAGATAAATGGAGAAAGAGAAAGAGAGAGAGAGAGAGAGAGGTGCTGACTCACAGTCTACGCTGCCAGCGCACAATCCGTTTGATTCTTCTGCAACCCCGAACCTACTACGTATCTTGGGTATTGCTTACTAACCTCTTCCTTTGTTCCTGTCTGGTTTGTATCATCCATCACGCGACTCCCCAGCACCGCCAGCAGAGCCCATCCCGCAGGTTCGCAGGGTCTACAGTCATCCACGCCGACCAGATCTTAGATATCTCGCGTATCCCCTCGTTGCACCCCATCTCCGCCGCCATGCACATATGATCTCCCTCCCCCCTGCCATCGACGTTATCCACTTGACCAATCAGAAGGCCATCCGAGAGAGAGAGAGAGAGAGAGGCTGGGATGGGACGGAGGTCCCATGGACCACGTGATCCGGGAAGCCCGGCCATACCCATGTATCCGATGGGCAACGACGTGGACGTCTCCTTTGAAAGAATCAGTGTACTTGCAAGCATATCTCCTCGAGATTCGAAGACGGGCGCTTGCTTCCCAAAGCTTATCGCCGCCTCCGGTGGAAGCCAGCCGGCGGCAGACGGAGGTAATCGGCCGTGGCGCGCGAGCGCGTGGCGAGCCGCACGGCTGCTCGCCGTGATGCGACAGATATCGTGTGCCAGAGAAAGATTGAGAGAAGGAGGGATTGCGGCCACCGATGTGGATCTTCCTCGAATCTCTATATATTCGCGTTCGAGATCGTCTTCTGGTACCCGTGCCGTCACTAAAAGTTTCAAAAACGTACGGTCATGAAGTCAAAGTTTGATAAAAGGTAAATTCGAGTGTTCCTTTTGATGTCTTATTATTGTATGAACCAATTATTGAACAAATAATCGGTTAAGAATGATCTATTTTTCATCTATTTACGAAATTGTGAGCATATACAATGAAAACTTCAGGGCAACATGAAACTTTTATGCTGAATTTTATTTAGCAGATGAACTCGGCGAGGGGGCAGGTGGAGGGCCGACACCTGCCTTCCGTAGACATCGACGTGCATGGTCAAGCGTTCCATCAGTTTGCAACTGATGTGATTCGTTTCGTCCAGAGGAACACACCTGTCAGCTTCCTCCGCTATCACTGTTGTCGGTAAACCCACCAACTATTTCCCGTTGATTACGTACATTCAAAAAAAGAATGTGGCAGTAGATCTCGATCCAAATCGTGATAGCATGCCCTTCGATCATCTACGCGTATAGCTAATTAATTTTGTTTAAAAATGCGAGTATTTAATTGATACATATATACCGATTCTATAATGTGTATTTTTAATTAATTAGAAGTAAATGAACTCTCTCTCCCCTCTCTATATCTAAATTCAATCTCTTCTGACCAAATTAATGCTTTCAAATATCCAAACTCTGAAAATTTTCTCCATTTGAGAGTTAGATTAACCTTACAACTCTCTCTCTCTATCGCTCTCAAGCTCACTTCAATTTATTTTAATGAACTGATGCTTCCAATCCCTAAGATCCAAGTTCTGATAAATTTTCTACTAGTTGATTAGATTGACATCAGCAAAACTTGCACTCGTCGTCATCCTTCTCCACTGCCCGATAGTACCCAATACTCGGAAGCAGTGCTTTCCGTCCCTTTCGCAGGCTTTTCCCCTATAACTCATTCACTTCATCGGTCATAGCACGGAAATGGATGCGTATCATAGTTGCTCATCCTGTCCACATTTTCTGAATCTGTGTAGGGTGCCTCGTGACGCATGGAAGGGATCTTCCTAACCTTTCCGAAGCCTATAGAGCCAACCTCGATGGAAGTTCTTTTGGCAAATATTGTAATGTTTCCTCACAGTTTCCCACTAGCCCGGCTTCTCTCTCATCTCCTGCATGGGGACGACCCTGCAGACCGGGCGACGGCCGTGGATCTATGGGACAGTTTCCGAGGCCAACTTGTGCTGAGCAGCGAGAAGTAGACGGCATCGAAGGCCTGATTCATCGGACTATCGGAATGATTTGATCCAAGTTGATTTGGTAGGCGCGCGTATATATGATACCCCACGTCTCCTTTTCAGCTCTTCGTGGAGCCAACTCATCAGTCGTGCATGCACCAGTCCGTATGAACGTAGAAATCCATGGCGTGTACGACAGTTTTACGTACTCTTTCGGGAAAGCCCTCGACCGGTTTGGGAAGGGAAGGAATGAGGAGGAGGGATAGACAGCTACGTCCTCCCAACGCCTCCATCCTCCGTCGCTTATGCCTTCACACGCAGCTCAGAGATGTACAGGCGAGCGGCCATGGCAGCTCCTCGTTGTCCTCCGCCGGCTCTTTTTACTGTCAGCCGGCAATGGTAAATGTGGTGAAGATGTCGTAAGTCCGTTCCGGAAATGGCGCAACAACGAGTACAACCCCCAATCCTACCGGGGAAAGGGTCAGGATTACGGCTCCATATCATCGGACATCACAGCTCTTTGCTTCCCCATGGAGACTTTCTCAACATCCCCATCCATCACCATGGCCGGAGATTCTTATCCCCCCCATCTACAAGCTCGTCGGGCGGCAGTGGAAACCCTAAGTTTGCCTCCACAAAAGCCTCCACCAGCGGCGGGGGAGGAGGGCGCTGGGGCTCTGCCAAGCGGCACATGCGCGTCCATTCATCGCTGTTCCCGAACATGACGCATGTCACTCGCCTGGCCCGTTCCACAGCGCCGAGCCGGTTCAGTTCCGTGCCACGTACATCCACAACGAGGCCCGGAGGGGGGGAATGAGGCTCACCACTCATTGCGCGAGTTACTTGCTTGACATTTGGGTCCCCGTCGGCGGCGGTGCTGGCTAATGACGCGCGGGGGCGGTAATCTGTGCCCCGTGGTGGCGGGTGAAAGGCGCTGGTGTTGCCCTCTCGGTCACTGCGTAGAGAGAGAGCGAGAGAGAGCGAGAGAGAGCGAGAGAGAGCGAGAGAGAGAGAGAATGTATAACTGAGCCACCTTGTTGCTCCGAACAAGTTGAGCCGCCCCGCATGACTATCGGCTGTCTCTATCTCTCCCAGGCCGTCCCCCGGGTTCTCTTCCTAAACTCGGTAAACAGTGGACCTTCACGAAATCGGGGACATGAATCAAATCTTTCTTAACGAACACAAGGATCTGGTGCGATCCCACCAACAAGACCGCTCAGTGGAGAAAAGAAGAAAGTCGGACCCAGTTGGGTCATGTTCCCGGCGGGTAACCTGCATTTATTATTGTAACTCATCTACAGAGACGCTGGCTCGGGCTCTTCGGGGCCCTCCCCTCCACAAGACTCCGAGCTTGGCCCCTCCTCTTAAAGTCCTCATCCTCTCTCTATCTGTGTTCATCGCCGGCGATGAGCGGCAGTAACTCCTCGGCTCAGTCGAATCCAAATCCTTGACCCCGGAGAATTGGAAGTGATGAATGGAGCCAACTCCCATTCTCATCGTCGGCCGTTCTTCGCCATCGACCTCGGCGGCATTAATCAGAGCCCCCCTGGGTGTCAGTGGGCCGACGGGCTAGGGCAACACTGAGGTTTAACCTTAAGGCTTCCTCCCCGAGCTCTAGAGGCGCGAGACCCTGTGATGTGTTTGCTGCGGAGCCCATGGTCTACGAACACCTCGGCGAGGAATAAAGATCCGTCCCCCAAATCTTTTAAAAAATTAAGCTGGAAGAGCATGGAGGGATGAGAGCGTTCGTACTCCGCACACAGATCTTCCCGGAAATAGAAACAGGCCAGTGGCCAGGATCTCCCTCTGCCAATCCAAGATCTCCCTCCAGCCCCTGATTTCTTCCTTTACCCTCCCCGACGTCGGGCCCCGTGGCTCTATAAATACCACCTCTCCACCTGACCGTCTTCCATATCCATCGCAATCTCTGAGAGTTCTGGGCCTCCTCTTTCTCTATCCCAGCGGAGTGAGACGAAAGGAATGCTTACACTTAAGCGAAGCCGAGGGCCTCCTTTCTTCATCACAGTCATGTTTCTGGTGGGCATCCCAATCTCCATAGTCGGCCTTCAGGGGCTGTGGCCTTGCGGCCTCCCCCACGAGCTCACCTCCCACGATATAGCGACGAGAATACGTGTTGACCCGAAAACGATCGCCGCCGCTTCCACAGACTTCGGCCGGCTCACCAACGAAGTTCCCGCCGCCGTCTTCTGCCCGTCCTCCGACCGTGATATCGCCGAGCTCCTCCAGGTCGCCTATGAGTCAACGCAGCGTATCACGGTGGCGCCACGTGGCCATGGCCACTCCGTCTGGGGGCAGGCTTCTGCCGCCGGTGGCGTGGTCATAGACATGCGTTGTCTAGGCGGCAACGCCACCGGAGACGAGGAGCACTCGCCTCTGGCGGCGGCCAGGATAAGTGTGTCGGAAGGCGGAGCTTACGTGGACGCCGGCGGGGAGCAGCTCTGGGTGGAGGTTCTGCGCGAGACTCTCCGGTTTGGGCTTGCACCCAGGTCCTGGACGGACTATCTGTACTTGACCGTGGGTGGCACCCTCTCCAACGCGGGCTTGAGCGGCCAAGCCTTCCGCCATGGCCCCCAGATCTCCAACGTCTACGAACTCGACGTTGTCACCGGTAACGATAATCATCATGATCTCTCTCTCTCTCTCTCTCTATCTGTCTATCTATTTATCTATCTCCATCTCTGCTGCCATCCACCTCTATCCTCAATACTCATCCACACGTTGCCGTAAGTGTTACATCATCGGAAAAGCGTCTACTACTCGAGTTCGATATCCCCATGATAGATCTCACTGATCGTATATGGGTTAGATACATCTACTGGTGTAAGCTTAATGGAGGATCTTGAGCCTCTTTGTCGTATTCTCCTTGTCTTCCAACTGACTCAGCTGCGTGGTTCCGTTGGCATGGGGAGAAAGGCCAAGGGGAGCTGATGACCTGTTCGAGGGACCGCAACCCGGATCTGTTCTACGCCGTTCTTGGGGGGCTTGGCCAGTTCGGCATCATCACCCGAGCCAGTATTGCGCTGGAGCCGGCACCGGAGAGGGTAACGGCCGTCGGAACCACCGAGCTTTCTCCATACTTCTTTGTTCATGATCAGGTCCTCACGACCAGGTCTACATATCCTGCGCAGGTGAGGTGGGTGCGGCTGATTTATACAGATTTCGCGGCCTTCACGGAGGACCAGGAGTTCTTGATCTCCCTGGACGGGAGAGGAGCCCCGGGGAAGAAGATCATGAAGCGGGAAGATAAGAAGTATAAGGGATTCGACTACGTGGAGGGCTCCGTCACTCTGGGTCACACCCCCGTGAGCAACTGGAGGTCTTCCTTCTTCTCGGAGGATGACTCCAGGAGAATCGCCTCCCTAGCGGCTCAGCATGGTGCAATCTATTGCTTAGAGGGGTCCATGTACTATGGCTCGTCTTCCGCGCCGACTATTGAGCAGGTGAGACGGCGGCAGGCAACTTGCTCCGCCCTTGTAGCCCACTCCTGCGGGTCTTTTTCATCCATGATCGTCCAAAGGCTCTCCTTCTGTGGGTCCTCTGGATTCCTCTCCGACCCCGAGAGCATGGCCGACCCAGAGATTTGGCCTTCTCCTTAGATGGGTCCTCCAGAAACAGATTTGGCCTTCTCCTTGAATGACCAGATCTCCCTACCCCTCGACGTCGTGTCTCACAAGTTATTCAGGTCAGTGATCTCACGTAAACGGGTCTGCTGACGAGTGTTGTCCATGGCCGCAGGACGTCGAGCGGCTACTGGAGGATCTCAGCTTCGTGCCAGGGTTTGTCTTCACAAACGACGTCAATTACGTAGGGTTTCTGAACAGAGTTCGTAAAGGGGAGCTACAGCTTCGGAGCAACGGCCTCTGGGACGTCCCTCACCCGTGGCTCAACCTCTTCGTCCCCAAGACCAGGATCTTAGATTTCAACGTCGGTGTTTTTAGAGGCATCCTCATGCGTAATCACTCTGTGGGTCCGATTCTCGTCTATCCTTTGAACAGAAACAAGTAAGCCATCATTTCCATGGAGTTTCTTTACAGTAAGTGCTCATCGCCGTAGATGGTGGCCATCTCAGGCAATCGCTTGCGGCGAAGTTTGAAACATCTAACATTATGGCGACGGGGTTTTCGCAGGTGGGACGAGAGGATGTCGTCGGTGGTTCCCGACGAGGAGGTCTTCTTCACGGTGGGGTTACTGAGGTCCAGCACGCCGGAAGACTGGCGGCAGCTGGAGACGCAGAACGAAGAGATCCTTCGCTTCTGTGAAACAGAAGGCATCGAGGTTAAACAGTACCTTCCCCATCAAAAGGGCAGAGCCGACTGGGTGAAGCATTTCGGCCGGAAATGGGGTGCGTTCCTGGAGAGGAAGAAGAACTACGACCCGAAAGCGATCCTCTCCCCCGGGCAAGGGATCTTCGACTCTCCAGTTGCCTGACATGACGTATTCTGCCCTAGACTAGGAATCCTTTGCATACCTGGAGACAGAAGCCCGGCTCTCCGGAGGGTTGTAATACGCTCCGAACTATACTCGTGAGAGGTCTCATCAGTAGTGAGTTGGGCAGTTTATAGCTCCATCCAGGCTTCTCAGGGATTGGTCGAGCTGATTCACCATCCACTGAGAGCCAGATGGTCCTCCGCTGTGCCTGTGAATCGATGCTCTCTTTTTAATGGCGTAATAGCGGGTTATCCTCGAAAGCCTCATTGCACTCTCCAGACGACGCCCTCCGAACCCAACTCTTTCCTCTCTTAAAAGCGTCGTTTTTCCATGCTAATTATTTTGATTTAATTCCGCTAATAACTCTCATAGTAAGCTGAGATCTTGGTAACTCAGGCGAATTACGAGTATGATAATCATGCACAGCTATTAACTCCTCCAGTGAACCTCGTTCTATAGTCAACGCAGATGGTCTTGGTATAATCTGGTTAAGTCAACTGATTTTATGGTCCTGCGGTCAAGGAGTTGACAAGAACATGGAGGGTTCGAAGAACTAGTTCGATGGACGCCCATCTCAGTCCTTGGTGAACATTACTCAACCCCGATGACGATCAAAATTGGGTAATGATCATTGAGGCTCTCTGAAAGGATTTTGACTTTATTTCATAGATCGGGCGTGGGACGGGATACAGCGGATCTTTATCGGATATCGGATTATTATCGGGGTTTCCAGACCCGGATCTCGACCGGCGTCTTCTACCAAGTACTGAAGGGAGAACAGGAAACAGAGGACGCGGGAGAATCTCCACTCCGAATGTTCGGGAGCCGATCTCAGCTCTGCCAGAATCCACCATCAGAGACAATGTTTCCTCTTTAGTGGGAGGCCTCACTGGGAGCGGATGGCGGATGAAAGTGGTGAGCTTATTCTCTCTTCCCCTCCGTCCCAATTACGACTAGCAAAAGCTTGCAGTTCTTTTGCAGATTGTAGCCATAGTTTGCCATCTCTACACACTGGGCGGTATGGGTGGATCATAGTGTTGCTTCGAGGTAGCTAGAGGCGTATGGGCAGAGATCCGAACATACCAACGCCTAGGGAAAAGCGCTACGCAGAGATTTATGCACTTGGATTCCCGATGATTTTGACCAATCGAGCTGTTTGGGAATTTGAAAGCAAGTTCCTGACGACTTTGCGGAAGTCTTCTCTCGTTTGTCGAGGTTGAATAAGATCACGCTCAGGACTAGTTGATAGGATCCTTTTTCTGTCCTTGGGAAAAGAAAGGGATATGGGGTTTCCCTCTTGCCCCGCCCGACGTGATCTTCACCCACCCAGTGGCAAAGTTCGCTAGGGAATAAGTAACCTGCTGTGCCTGAGCTGGAGCTTAATTCTACTCCGTTGCCTTTTTTTGTATGTAAATACTTGACGAACTTTTATGGTATTTCGACTGTGAGGTGCGTCACACTCATCATGTGGTGGCGAACATACATGATCCTTCACGATAAATGGTAATCCGTTCATGGTCTCGAGGACGAGTCATCCTCCTTGTGGATATTTATGAGAAACGCCCACCCACTGGTTGTGTGAGCAGAACTTGACATATCGAGATGGCCATTGGATGAGTCTGACCGACATGGGTTGTACTAATCATTCATTGCTTATTCAAATAATGTCGACAATCCGCCATGGATACACTACGACAGAGCATTGTTGGATGAATATATAAGATGCACCTTGTCTAATTATTTTTGGCGCTTCTGATTTGAAGTGTAAGGGGTAAACATTGAAAACGTAAAGGGCTGCATGTCATTGTGAAAATTCAATGATTCGTCATAAGCAAATTCACCACCGACACGTTATGATGTTTGTGGATACCGGAGAATAAACGACAAAGGGTTCTGGGAATCATGGAGGATTGAAGTTCATTGCAGCTATTGTCTGTGATGAGAAATCTTGTCTACATGTTTGCTCATTTTTTCTCTTCTTCACGGTACTGTATAATTCTACAACCTATATCCTTGTGAACTTTTGTTGCAGTGGTGTCACCTCAGAGAAGAATTTCCATGACAAACAACCATGGAGAGAAGCTCGTAGGGATTCTGCATGAGACTGGCTCAAAAGAGCTTGTCATATTGTGCCATGGATTCCGGTCTTCGAAGGTAATATTTTCAGCATGTATTCTGAAATATTTCTTCTCTGTATCCATATTGTATTTCAGCATTTATGAGATGTGCGTCTCTTTGGAAATATATGTACATATATCTCAACGTGTTCTGGAATAAGTGTAAGATGTATGATACGCTCTTAGTCCAGGGTAAAATTATCACACTTTGTTTCTCTGTTGACAAAATTTCATGTATCCTGTTTTCCCGGTCCTTGTTGGAATTGGCACTACTGGACTGATGCAATAATGGTATTAATCCAAAATCATGCTAAAATTGGTCAACTGGGCTGGGAAAAAAAAGGGTCCCACGTACCCACCAAATTCCCCAGGAGTGGGTTGAAAAATAGAAAATCCGAGGGTGGATGGTAGTGTGGGGGCAGTGGAAGGGTGGGAGAGAGAAGGGAAAAATCGGTGATGGGCTGGGGAGAAAGAGAGAGGTAACTTTTTATATATTACCATTTCATCAGAGGCAGTGTGGGATGTGAATTTGGAATCCATGAAAGGCTACCTTGTTTCTGCTTTTGAGAAATAGAGGGAAAGAGAGAGACATTTGCCTTTCTTTCATCTTCAAAGCCAGATAGTGGCAAATCCGAGGAGATTTTCTGACTTGGAAACGCTTTTGGTCTGTCAGCCATTCCAACGATTAGAGTCCAATCCAGCTGTATTTCCAAATGCCACGTGAGAGAAAAAGCTTTCTACTATGGCGTGTAATAATTTCCTGGAAAAGAGCTAAGAAATTCAACCAGTTATTCCTCTTATTCCCCTCATAAATTGCATCTAATGCAAAGGTGTTCGTTGTAGTTATCTGTTCGAAATGTTCAGTCCATATTGGGAAACCTGGTCTGAAAGGACGTAACCTCCTTATCTTTCTTATCAAAATGAGTGAACCCTTCATGCTTGGTATTGACCTACAAATGGACGTGGAACTGCCCATTAACTGGTCATCTCCAAATATGGTTAGTGATATCCTGAAACTGTCAGAATGTCACAACTAGCTGATTGTCTATGAATTTCCTTGCTGAACATCACCGGCTGCTGGTCTGGATCCCTCTAATTATTGTCAGAGTCATTATTTTAGTGGAACATTGTTAGTCTTGGCTTCTTTTTCAGTGTACCACAGTCCCCTGACCTTTTATTGGCCTTACCCTGGATAATAAACGAATAGAAATCTGGTGGATACATTTTCATTAGAACCTCTGAAACAATGTTTTCGATCCTGTTGCCTGGGCGGCAATTTGCACTGGAACTTCATTTCCGCTAAATTCTCTGACAGCCATTTCACTTCCACGCAGTTTGGGTTCTTATTGGACAGTTACTTTCCTTTTTACGCCTTTTTGTGAAATGTGATTGTTTATTCTATTGATTCAATAATTTTTGTGAATATCGTTTGCCCATTCTTATTGCTGTTGATCTACAGGAAGAAAAAATTCTTTTGAATCTTGTTTCTGTCTTATCAAGAGAAGGAATCAGCACCTTTCGCTTTGACTTTTCTGGAAATGGGTAAGGACATCTGACGTTTCTCAGTTTAGTTTCTGTCAAAAATATCCAGCAATCTGTTTATCAGTAATGTTAAATGCGTTACCAATTGTAGTAGCTCTTTTGGCCCTGTTACTTCTCCGGAAAACTTATTCTTAGGTCTGTTCAGCACGAAGGTTAGCACTAATTCTGTTATTGACTCAAATGGCAGTTGATTTACTCTAGGGAGAGTCTGTATTTGTTCGCTACAGCATCTATAAGACTTTATAGAGTTGATTTTTCTCAGAAGGCCATTTCTCTTATCATACTTTGTTTTGCTTATTAGCCAAAAGCAGTGCACCGTCGCAAACCTTATGTCACACCATTTCTTGATGTTCCCCTAGACAAAATAGCCGTTGATTGGAGCTGGGCATTTACATGAAACAAATTATGCCTGAATACATCGTAGAGCTAGGATAGATAGATCTATTTTTGTAGCTGAAGGCAATGCTTTCGGTAAATTACTATAACCATTATAGTCCTGGTTTTTTTTTCTGATTAATCTGGCTGAAAGGAGATGGTTGTGAATATTCTCCCTCTGTTCACTAACGACATGGGCTGTGTGAGGTGGTATCTATGATGAACCTATGACGATCATGGTGCCTTTGCTGTCTTCTCCAAGTTTAAAAAATATAACGAGGCCCATTAATTCAGCCCAGCGTGCTGTAGATTGCAAATACAAATTTTGCGTCTGAGTTTATTGCTATTTTTACATTCTGGATATATATTTTTTTCTATTTTATAATTAATTACTTGTGATAATCTACTTTCGAAAAACCATTCCTGTGCTAGCCTTTGCAAGCACTACATTGTTCTATTTTGAACGGATGGTCTGTAAGGCTTTTGATCTCATATTTGAGCCATTTTGCACGTATGTTGCATTTTATTTGTTTCCCAGGGAAAGTGAAGGGACCTTTCAGTATGGTAATTATCGAAAAGAGGCTGGTGATTTACGTTCTGTTATTCAGCACTTTTTGGGGGAAGAGCGGGAGATCATTGCCATTGCTGGCCACAGTAAAGGTAAACATAAAATACCGAAATTCGGAAAGCTTTGAATTATTCGATTGCATGACACATTCTAAATAAAATTGCAAGGGGAAAGTGTACGAAATGAATATTTGTAACCGAATTGATTTAGTTATGCCTTGAACTTGCTTAATGTGTATCTGGGCACTCGACAGGACATGATTGTGATGATCTGGAATAGTTAACTGTCATAGACGTGCTTTTTTCTTACAAGACTTGTGAGAATTTGTGAGAATTTTTTTTGTTCCTTGAAGATTATGTCGGTAACCTCTGCTTATGCAGCGATGTTGGTGCACGTATACTTAGTTTCTGGAATTGTGATTTGTGATTCCTTTTTATGGTTTACAAGACTGTTGAAAATTAAATTTTACCGTGGTGTTTTGTTTTCATCACTTTCTACTGAATGAATCCTGATTCGTGATGTCTTTTTGCCCTATTCGGAGCTATGCTCGTATAAGATATTGTTCTCTTGGACGGCAACATTGGTGGTTCTTCCTTCATAATGTGATTTAAAGTCTAACATTATGTAGTTGGTTGAGAACATATGTGTGATCTTTTTGGCTCGGCACGTTTTAGACTTGACATTTCAACCTTGGTTCCATATTTTAATTTTGGAGAATTATGTAGATCTCCTTTGCTTAGTTGCTCCCAAATAACATAAAATAATAAAATATTGAAAACTCTAATCTCTTGCAGGAGGAAATGCAGTTCTCCTATATGCATCAATGTATCACGACATAAAGAAAGTCATCAATATCTCTGGCCGATTTGCACTGGATAGAGGGATGGAAGGTCGCCTCGGGAAAAACTTTATGGAAAGAGTTAAGGAAGCTGGATTTATCGACGTAAAGGATAAATTAGGTAACCTTCATCAGTTATGTTCATCAGTGTTCTTATTTTCTTATTGTCCTTATTATTTGGCTCCAGGGGCTCTCCTGAGCCCAGTATATGCCGGCACAGGTAAGATCTTTAGTCTTCCCTTGAAATTAGACCTCCAATGGACTTACTCTAACCACAGATGGTGCATAGGGTAAACATATTCCTTATAGGATTTGAAAAGACATCTAAAATCAAATTTAACGCCATGTGCTGCCAAGGTAAATAAGTTGGACGGTTTGGTTTCAAGATATTGGCATGTCCTGGAATATAATAATCTTCTTGATGTTATGTTAATTGCTGATCGCTGATTGAGCCTATCTAAGATAACAGGATGCGTTGGGTTACTGCAGAAATGTGGGCAGGTTGCCTTTCTTCATCGAAATATGTTGAGATGTTTTGTCAATTATTATTATTATTTTAGAATGTTGCTGCATTAATGTCACTTTTTCCTAAATTCTTACGAGTATGGAGACTACTTCTATAAAGGTTGGAGGTGACAAATTACCCCGGTTTTGAGAGGATAGGTTGTGGGAAAGATTTAAACTTTCTGAAAGATTTACAAATCAGTATCATCCAATGCAAGGTCTGACAAAATCAATGGTCAGCTTCAGATGGATCAAAAACGGCAGGGTGGAGGCGAATCCTCTGTTGATTAGGCTATAGTAGGTGACGAGTGACAGTTAAATGCAAGCTGAAAGGGTGCGGAAACTTTCCCAAAGTGTGAGTTTTCACTCGGGCCATGACTAAAAACCTTTTAATAAATGGGGACTACAGAGCTCGTGTGAGAAATTCATCTGAATTGGCGACCTCCTGTAGGTGATACAAGCAAATAAGTATTGAAATGCATATATTTATTAAGACTTTGATTGTTGAACCAAGGCTGGGCGTTTCTCCAAAGTGTGAGTAGGAATGTATGAGATTGGTTTCTTTTATTTCAGGATTTGCTTCGAGTGTCAGACTATGCTTCGGCTTACAGTTTCCTACTAGTATACTTAATATTGAGCTGTAGAGATGAACTGACGTAAGTTAACCTGAGGCAAGTATTTTATTTTAATGCAGGCCCATACCGTGTGACTATCGAAAGCTTAATGGATCGCCTCAGCACTGACATGCATCAAGCGTCTCTTTCCATTGACAAAGACTGCAGGTTAGCATATGTTTGTGCACTACACTCAACATTTTCCGGCATGCATCCATCCAAAAGTTGTGACACAAACAAAGACGGCGTTCTTCAAGCACATTCATTTCATCAAAACTATTGGCCCACCTTCACCCTCATTCCATCAAACACATTAATTTCGAGTTTTCAATGGGTACCCACCTCTTTATCAAGCACGGAAAATATGTCATAGGAGGTTGGATGCCAACATACCGAGTTTTCATCCAAAGTCATGTATTATTTTCTATCTCAGTCATTTCTTGATGCATATGTTTGTGTGTTTTCTCTCTCTTTTCTTTTTCTCTTGCTGTGCTGGGTCGTCCCCGATCTGTTCAAATGACTTCCTCGATCTGGTCTCAAGTTCCCAGCTGTTCCAAAAGTCGTCATCCTCCCAATCCTGGAACCTTAATCATTAAATCCAACAAATTATTTTCCTGTAGGATTTCGCAACCTGGCCGCCTGCTTCTGTCCTCGTTATTAGGTTTTCTCGTATCATCTTTACATCCAATGGGGTCTTTCCGTGCAGGGTCATGACCGTTCACGGTTCAGAGGATGAAATCGTCCCAGTGGAAGATGGCATGGATTTCGCAAAGCTCATACCCAACCATACCTTGCAGATTATAGAAGGTGCTGATCACGGATACTCAACTCATCAAGCTGAGCTGGGGTCGCTGGTGCTGGACTTCATAAGATCTAACCAGGTAAAGCGAAGCCCGGGAGAAAAACGATCTCTAGAATCAAGATTGTAGCCATCAAAAGCAGAGAGATGAGATGGAGAGGTGCTTGGAATTGTTTCATTTAGTTTAGTTGAACGAAATATATTGGTAATAATAGCATGGCAGACTTTCTGGCGATAAACCCTAAAAAAGTGGAGAGGAAATCAGAATCAGGCTGCATCTGGGTCGAGTCCTGGGCGGATCAATTTTGATTTTTTATTATGTTTTTGACGTGTTATCGCAATTTCTTCAGGTTGGGGGTGCAAATGCCCATGGCGATCGCTAGATGGTGTCACCCTCTACGAGGATGCAGGCATTTCACTTCTGCTGGCGACCTGAAAAACCTGCCCATCCACCCCCACCCACCCTCTTCAACGTGCTCTGCTTCACGTGTTGTTCTATCTATCAATGACTCATGTTTCCGATATTCTTCGGGCTCGTCTCTGTCAGAAAATCTACGATAATCGGAGATAAAGTCAAAACTTAGAAAGGCGTTTTTAGGGTTTACTCAGCTGTTCCACAGCGTCGAGAAGAACAGAGAACTGGGGAGGCCTCTCAGACTGTAAACCTCGGAGCCGGCGATGGGGTCGGTGCTCCAGTCTCCCCGGGGATATCTGCAATTAGATGTAAGGAAGGCGGGTTCATCCCAGATCATAAGAAGATATGAAGATCATAGTACTAGAAACGAGATAAAAGAGGGGGATTTGCAGAGAAATGACGCTGGTTAGATGGTTTAGGAAGAACTGAATGTACGGATATTATGCCACACCCGTCGAAAGATCTCAACTCTGGTTAAGAAGAAGGCTGTTCCTACTCGAGAACGGTGAGCGGATGGGATCTTCGGTTGGCTCCAGGAGCTAAGCGAGAGGAGGATGCTGCCGTTCTACGATATATGGTCTCCCATTCTGTTGCCCCCTACCGAGTGCAATCAAATATGCAGTGACAAAGCTGTAGCAGCTGATGCGACAAGAATTGATTGCATGGGGGGGATCATACGGGATGCGGGTGAGATGATCCACGGGGTTGGGTTGCTAATGGCGACGAGGGCGACGCCAGATGTAGCTCGAGGAGCCAGAGGGAAAGGAGATCTCCCCCCTCCCCCCTTCCGATTGGACTGTGTGAGGAGGAGGCCTTGACAGGTATTGTGGAGTAGATTCCACAGGCGCTAGATCACCACAGATCGCAGTGTTTGCATGTTTCAGGGAGAAATACCTAGATTCTGCGAAGGGGGCGGGGCGAAGGAAGTTGCCGCATCCGATTCATCTTCGTCGCCGTAGATAGCCCGAAGCCTGGAGAGGGGAACGGGGAAGCTGGAAGGGTCAGACGCCGCGAGGTTGAAGAGGCTCTGCCGCCAGCCCCACATGGTCTCCTGCATGGCCTTGTTTCTCCGCCGCAGCGACTCTTTCTCCGCCTCCAGTTCGTCGATGTCCCCCTGCTGAGACGCCGATCGCACTCCCAGGGCCACGAACGCCCCCCCCAGGAACAGGTGGACGACGTTGTCCTTCTTCCCCAGAAAGTTAATCACTTTGCTCCCGAGTTCCATGGCTTCCCACCCTCTTCCGCCCCTTCTCTCTCTCTCTCCGTCTCAATGTCGCCGGCGCCCGCACAGCCTTTCGCTCTAAGCTCGAAGCCCAGAGGCATATATACTTATGCTTTCACAAAACCAGGGAGGCAACAAGAAAGGAGAAGGTTCAACAGTGGTATTATAGTGGCTGAATATACAAAGATCTGAGCAAAGGCAATGGCCGCCCTGCTTGTCACAGACGGGAGAGTTACACCTCGCAGAGTGGTAGCTCTGAGCAGAGAGGCTCAAAGCCCTCCACAACCAGGGAGAGAGAGATGACCAGCCAAACAGCCGGATAAAAAAGGCAAAAAAAAAAAAAAAAGAATCTCCTCATCTGTGATCGCCGCTGCAAACAGAAGTGCTGCAGAAAAGGGAGGCGGGGAGGGGAACTTTCAGGTTGGGTCGATTCGATTGTTGGCCGCCCCAGAGGAGAAAGATCTCAGCTTTCCGTTCCTCTGCCTGCAGAGGACGAAGAGGGTGATTAAGCAGCCAAGGGAGGGGGGAAGGCTCATGGCAAAGAAGACGGGGGAAGGGGCTAATACCAGAAGGAATCCTTCTTCTCCTGGGCCAGCAACTCCTCGAATGATACATCGATTGACTCCGAATCTGGGTCTCCATCGTCGTCCTCTGGACTCGCTTCTGACTCCATTCGGGCGCCAATCTCAAGCATCTGAGAATTTATAAGATTGGGAGAAAAAAAATCATACTCGAGGATCTTGGAACAGGGTTTGCTGAGATCCAAAAGGGGGTATATATAATTAGCCATCATCGTCACCGTTTTGTATGCAGGTGAGAGTTTAAGCTGCTCCAGGAGCCGATTATAAACGACTGCATCCTCCTCCAATCTCTTCTGCTCAGCTTCTAACTTGTGTATCTGTTGAACATTAGTTCGTCAACGGTATGCGTGGTTGTGGTGGTGTTTAAAAAAAAGGGAGAGCTTCATCTAGCAGCTTTCAATGGCAGAAGATCCCCCCACCTGCTGACAAAGGCGATCAAAGGAAGATCTATCTGCCTTGAACAGTAGCGCCTTCGTTATTGTAAATTTCCGCTGGATGACCTCTGATCTGCAGAAAGAAGCTACGGACTAAATATCTAGTCTGCAGGAGAAAAATAAAATAAAATAAACAAAATAAAGCTTCTTCACGAGTGAGAAATATACTTGTGTTGTAACTCATTACGAGCTTCAGTCAGGCAATTTGCAAATTCACCCACCTGCATACAGTGACGACGATTGAATTTTTTGAATCTTGAGAAGCAATTGAAGCGTATATAAAGAAAGAAAGGAACCTTAAGCTCATCGCGAACTTCATCTTTGGTGCCCAATAATGGTAAGAAGGAATTAAAAAATATATTAAAAGGTAAGCTTTAGCACATCGTTTACTCCATTTTTGGTACCCAATAACTGTAAACATTTTTGAAAGATTGAGGAATAATGAGAGAAAAAAACATGTTTAGTTATCGATGCGGCATGATGACTAACACAGAATATTCAAGAACAAACTCCTCAACCAAGACACTTTGACCCTTGATCTACCCACGGATAGACACCACCATTGGCATCACTCATTCAAGGTTTACGCTAAGTAGATGCTTCACAATCGCAATAAAACATAGGTATAGAGAAAAGCCCCAATGTATGGCAGTCTAGTCGGTATTAATGGAAGCTTCATCATCCCTGTCATGACAGTCAGTGACATGACAACAGCATTCTTCAGAATGACTACGTAGAAATCGGAATTGACGGCTACGAATTGTTACTTTCGCCTAAAGAACCTAATCCATTACACATTCCAAACTTTAAAAGTTTTAGATCCAGAATTTTACCCCATCAACATATTCCACAATGTTACATATGCCTTAATCCACGTTGTTCTTCAAACTAAAATTACTGTTATTTCACGCGATGTTACCTCTGAAACTTCTAGAACTTTAAGTTGGCTGCATTAGGAAGTGACTGTGCCAAAAGGGCATATTACATATATTGATATTAATTTCTAGGACAATGATCACCAAAAAAAAGGACGGAAACCACATGATTGGAGGCATTATGGAAATCAATAGTTACCTTGTGCATCAATATTGAAAAGAATTGAAGGAACTTTATTTGAGCATATAAGTGAGAAAATGCTGGACGCAGCCAGATGGAATATTCGGCATTCAATGGGAGTTGCGTAATGATGTCTTTCTGCGGCAACAATGGGGAACTCAACTACCCATTCTAGTTTAAGCAAGAGTAATTTTCTCAACAAAGATTGGAGGGATTTTGTGCATTACACAGAGGCTGACCCTATGACATCTATTCAACCGACTAAATAGGACATATGGTAAGTGAAGAGGCCACATTATGTTTTGATGACTTACATGCAAGTTTAGTTCAAAAAGGCATAATGCCAGCAATAATGGAAGTTTAGTACACAACCTCATGAAAATATAGGATTCAAGAAACCACCCATGGTTCATGAGATAAAAAACGTATAAATAAAAGGCATGTTATTTCATAATATTGTAAAAAAAATTGAATTAGTGACTCAACAATGCATTTAATGACTCTCACAATCGTAAGCGGCTATGGAAGTTCTAAACAGCTTTGAGTACTTTAAGGGCACAACACAACACACGAATTTTGAGACGAAATTTTCTCTATTGGTCAACAAACAAGCCGTCATTGAGGGTAGAGGGAACCACTAAGAGATTTGTCACAATCTCTTACCCCATTCGTGATAAGAGCCGAACAGAAAGGTTGACTACCACTCTAATCTAAGATGACAGTAAAGAAAGAGCAATGTCAGGTATTTATGAAATGAGTTTCAATTATAAATGCATCCAAGGAATTTCATGACTTGACTTCAGATAATCGTTCTCATAATCCAATTTTTTTTGTCGCAATGTTCCAGAAAACGGCGGATTGTAAACTTGCTCTTTAAGAAACTGTATTGTCGTCTTGCAGGTCAGTTTTCCAATGCTATACAGGACAAACATGTGACCTCTAATACAATCCAGCTTGTAGGGAATGGTAACCACGCATTATAAAATCTCACGAGCTCAAAAAGGTTAAAATGTTGCTTCCACATGTCTCTTATTAAACAAAACATGCGCAAACCAACAGATTGTGAGAGTTGACTTCCAGAGGAAGAAAATGCAGAGATACATCATTTCAAACTGTGAGTCATGCAATTCCATACACAAACATATTAGCATATGAGTATATGTTGTATTGCCAAAAAAATTCTTCCCTTCGGTATGTTGAGTCGAACAGCCTATATATGACCATATTTGGCATGTGTTAGCCGAGTGACATGTAATAATGAATGCATTTTAAAAATGAACACTTGGGGCTTAAACTGCCGGGAGGAAACGAATCCCATGCACCAAAATGAGTCCCTAAATGTTAATACAGCTGACAATTAAATTCTAGGGCATGAATCTTTTAAAACACATGTGAATGCAAATTTGGAGAGAAACTTGTGAGTCAGAAATGCATAGTAGGCAGGGAATAACCAGACCTCGATAGTGAAACTGATGAGTGTAAGGTTCAATTAATGAGAAGTTATGGGGTACATGGGACATGACTTGATGGAAAAGGAGAAAATATATAAAGGTATCATAGTCAACTGCGACGTCATTCCTATTCTCGTGAGCATGTGATGTGGATTAAGTCAGCGGAAAAAAAGTTAGGTTGGGATGAATGAAATCTAAAGCAGCGAAAAACGTGCTCCGTAGGCGCCGAGCATGACTGACGCCAAAAAGTCTTGTTGAAGAAAGAAAAATGTACACGAATAAAGAGAGAAATATGAAAAAAAATGGTGAACTGGCAAACTAGGAACAATAATTATATTTTGAAGAAGAAGAAGAAGTAAATTTGACTTTAGTGGCTCAGTGGTTCAGGAAGTATCACAAGCACTCGTGTTCCTGGTGTCGTATGCTGCTCATTCTCATGATTCTGGCTTTTTAATTCCCTCTCTGTACCCAAGAAAACTTAGAGAATAGTCCAATAAATTAGACGGAAGGAAATGGGCGGGAAAAAAAAAACATGCCTGAGCTATGGTCAATGCCTTGGCCTGGTTGGACTTGACTAGCTGATCATACTGATGCTTGATTCTCCTCTGCGTGGCGCTCAAAAGAGACGAGAACGGGTAGTTACTACCCGGCCCCAGCTTCCCGCCCCCCCACTCCATCCGATCCTTCTCGCCGCACCCTGGTTCCTCGCCGCCGTCCGATCCTCCACCCGACTGCGACTCCTGCTTCTTCTTCTTCCCCCTTTTCTTCTTCTTCTTCCTCTCATCCCTCTCTTGTTCCCCCTCGCCGCCACCAAGAAGGGGCAGGAGCGGAGGGGAAGCCGTCGCGGCCCATTCGTGGAGGCGCTGGCGCTGGTGCGGCGCCTCAGACGCAGAGGACGGCGGCGCGGAAGAGTCGTCGGCGAGGTTCTCCAGCCGCGGGAGCCGCAGCTCCTCTTCTTTCAGCCCGCGATCCTTCTTCCTGAGAGAGACGGAGACGGCGACGGCGAGGAGGCAGCCGAGGGCGAAGGCCAGGAAGAAGGCAGTCGACGAGGAAGAAGAGGAGAAAAACCCGGGGAAGCCCGGCAACCAAGGGCGAAGTTCCCTCACTTCCATGAGCAAGAAGGCTGTCATCAAAGGGAAAGAGAGAAGGCCATCGTCACCTTCTTCCACCACCTCCCCCTTTTTATCCAGGCCGCCGGAGGTAGTTCCGACTAGGAGCTCTCCGGCCTCCCAAAAAAACAAAATAAAGAAAGGAAATTTCCACCTCACTCTTTCTCTCTCTACCACCCAGAGGCGGTGATCTCACCGTCACCAACCTCACGTTGACTTAAGTCGCTTCCTCCGCATACACCACCAAACCCCCGTCCCCTCTGTTGACTACAGATGAGGAGGTCAAACCTCGCTTTAACCGAGTTGAATGATAAAGCCATACCGAAATGATGAGGGATCCATACAGAATGAAGGCTATGGCGGAGTTTAGCGTGGTACAAAAAGCATTCCTTCCAGTGGGCGCCGCTCGCCGAAGAACCCTAGACGCTCCAAAAGGCGTTCCTGCGACCAGACGCCGGACCGTCTGTCAGACACGAGTGAGACCCATTGGAAGGGGAGATCTCTTAAGGCTGGGGAGGGGGGAGGATCAGGATGACGATACCTCAGATGTCTGCAGGGCTCCTACTTATCTCCGATCGCCGAGGGGGTCCCCTTGTTCATGCCGTAAAATCTCTGGCATGTGATGCAGAGAACAAAGAGAAAAGGAGCAACAATCAGAGAAAATGGGATCAAATGCCTCTTTCTGCGGATCTTTGTGATGGATCTGAAGAGGGTCACATGATTTAAAGGAATCAAATGCCTCGGGTACCTGTATCTGGAGGTTAGTGCCTAGGGGGAGACACATGCGGAGCTCTGTACCCTTGCTTGCTGAGGCCTGTATTTTCCATGTGAACTCTGAGGGAATTACTCACGATCCTCTACCTGAAAAGAAAAAAAATGTGGCAATGACACCAGAAATGATCTACATTCATTCTATAAAACATTGTGGACTTTGGCCTTTTCTCTTCTTTTTTTTTAAAAAAAGGAATGCCACCAGGTTTTTTTTCTTCATGCACCTCCGTCCTAATGAGCAGAGAGGATCGAGGTGAAGGTTTGATGCGCCACCAGAACTTTTGGGTAAACATCTGAAATTGCGAGTCTCCTCTATGGATTCTTTCTATGCGTTGGAAATCCGCAGAGTGATGTTCATTAACAATAGTAATTAAGATAGAAAAGAATACAGAAGGAGGAGCCTAGATTTTCATCATCCTTCGCACCTAATCCAAAGTATAAATGTCAACTGTCAGATTAGTAGGCGAAATAAATTATGTGCATAAGGGCAGTTAGCAAACCACCTGATTTTAGAAATAAATCACTCAGATAAGTATTAATGACTTGTTGAGGGTTGACATTTTAACCGAATCTCATTTGACATTGGGACTGAGAAAATGGGCAAATGGTTCAGGCTCGGCAATTGAGAAGTTTGATAGAATGAGACATAGGGACACCTAGATCATATTTGTAGCTCATTGTCTTGAATCGGCAATATACCAAAACATTTGCCTTCAGAATGGACGTCAATCTACATAGTACCGTTTTGGTCAGGCGATGAGCTTTTCTAAACACTTTTATACTTGCAAATATGTATGATCCATGTCAGGAGTTATGCAGCCCATCGATTTATTATAAAATGCTCTCTGATTTACCCAAAAAAAAATCCAATTCAACACTTACCATGTGGAATCCATTTTTCCTAGGAAGTGAGAGTACTCTTCATCATGTTGTAAGATAGGCAAAAAGAAACAACACCACTGATAAATGCCTAGAAGTATATCATTCAAACAGGATGTCACCAAAAGGTCGGGATTGTATCATCAGATTGGTTTACGCTGAGAGAATGATGCCATCATGGGGTTTGTCACATCCCAGATGCATGTTAAAATTTACATCGATGTAACGTGAAACCATAAGCTTTGTGCACGACAAGGGGAAAGGTAGAAATGGCTTGAAATTTATGTGTTAGATTTCAGACTTTAATCAAGATGATGACCACAAATAGTATCAAACGTTGCAAAATATGACCATTATTGGAACAGAGTCTTTAAATTCGTATAGATAACAAAGATAATACCAACCTGTTTATGAATAAATATTCAGAAGAACAAAATTAATTACACTTCATGAGGGAAGGAGTACTCGTGCATGAAATGCAATCCGGGGAACAAATTCATGGGGGGGGAAGTTAGATACAGACCTCCTTTCTACAATTTCCCTTAGCAGCTGATTCATAGGCGTATTCATAGATGGATATGATAACATCCAATGGCATCTCTCAACTGTTTGGTGCCGGAAGTAATGCACACATGTCTTGGTATGCGGTTGCCATGACTGCCGAGTAAACATTGTTCAGCATCAAAATAGGCTAATATGTCAATCTTCGTGTTTGAATTCTCAATTGTAATTGATTCACGAATAGTGTGGCTGGGACTAACGAATCCACTCTCTAATTTAACTAAGGTAGAATCTCGTTGACTTGGATGTAAAAATGAACTGCAAGGCTCCTCTGTGTTTGCTGGGTCAGCCACTATTTGTCTGGATAATACATGGATCACTGTACGATCTTCTTCCACCTTCTTGATTCCGCTGGTATGAACGATTCCTTCTCGATCAGGTGACTCAAGATAATCGCTCAGATATTGTCCATGGATTGTGGGACCTTCAAGCACCTTATCTTCGGTTTTGTTTATCAAAGGAAACTCACCTCGAGTATCAAAGAACTGTCTCTCTTTTCCATAGTATGAGATAGTAGCATCCAAGGTCCGACATGAAGATTCTGAATCCAGAGAGGAACCTCCCTTTGGAAAAGAGTCTAGTCCCATCTTCTCCCCCAATTCTCCACGGTCTCTAAACTGAAATGTGAAAGGAGTGCTCTCCTTGGCCTCAAGAGAAGAGGTATCTACACCCTCAACGGCAGTAACAGGTTTACAAAAAGTAACCACTTCTTTGGTCTGAATTACATCTAAAACATCATTTTTCTTTTCACATTCAGGTAATTCTTTGGTATCACATGATCCAACAACAACACTATAGTGTCCAGCATTCAGTTTCTCATAATTCTGATCATTTTCTGACTCTGGAAACTTCTGGTTACTTCCCAGATCTTTCTTGTTTACTGCAAGATCACAGTGTTTCTCTTCTTCTTGCACTTGTACATAAACTGAATTCAACTTAGGCGATTTCGTGCCAGACAGTGATCCAGTTGAAAATGACCTTGGCAGAGTTCTGCCAACTGTTGCTTCCTGTTCGTTACTCAATCCTTCTAACCATGGTTCTTTGAAAGAATCCACCATCTCAACCCTTCTCATCCATGATTTTGTAGCTGAACCTACGGGTAATTTTGGTTCCTGCTTTTCATCAAATTGCATGCAGAATCTCAATTGATCGGAGAGTAAAGAAATATAAAACAAGCTAGGGTCGAATGTAAATAAAAATATGAATACCTGAGATGAAATGTTTTCAAATGTGCTAATCATTTTCTTTACACCGCTGACAGGAGTTTTCCCGCGATTTTTCCCCTTGAAAGAGATAATTTTTCTTATTTCTTGAGCCATTTCAGGGGAGCTTGAAGTTGCTGTAATGTCTTCAGAAACAAGGGACTCTGAGCGTTTTAATTGAGGATCGATGGCTTCCTTTGAAGAAGAAACTTCGTCGACATCAATCTGATTCGCAAGACCACCTGAAACCTCTTTATTTTCCAGAGTTCGATTAATTGCTTCCAGTTTAGGATGGTTCTGAGCCTGCCGTGCATCGAGTTCGGGATGGTGCTCTGGCCGATGTGAATCTACCTCGGAACAGTGCTCGGGCGCCCGTGCATCTACCTCGGGTTGGTGCTCAGGCTGCTCTGAATCTACCTCGGGACGGTGCGAAGGCGCTTGTGCCTCCTCCTCGGGATGCTGGCCAGACTGCTGTGAATCTACCTCGGGAAGGTACGAAGCCGGTTCTGCCTCTCCCTCGGGATGCTGGCCAGACTGCTCTGAATCAACCTGGGGATGGTGCTCTCGTGCATCTAGGTCGGATTGGTGCTCAGGCAGCTGCTGAAAATTTTGTGATGGTGCAACCAATATCTTTCCTCCATCCGTGCAATCTGAAAATTGTCAATTAGGCGGTTTCAGGATTCCTCTAATTCCCTTTGCCTTGGAAAAAAATTACATCACGTAGAGAGGAAAAAAAAAGTAACTGTTTTTCTTGTTTCTCTACCAAATGTAGCAGAGAGAATGTATTCTGGAAAATCAGTACTAGCACCTACTCTTGATTATATACAACACAAAGAATGAAGCGTTGATGTGATGATCAAAACGGTTAGATGAAAAACAAAAATTCTGATGTTTTGACTAATCACAAGAAACAGAAAAGTGTAGTTAGATCATGACTTCCTAAAATTCCAGCAACTGGGAAAGAATCCTTAACTGGGGCCTTTAAAATTAAGCGATCAGGTAGAGACTCTTCCTCGCAAACAAAACGAGTTGAAAAACCAGGAGCCTTATCTGTAAGATTTAAAGCTGCACGAATTAATATATAGAAAAGTCATCTCCAGGCAGAAAAACGCCGGGAGAATGCAATTACCAGTAATTTGGCCATTGGAAATGCTTTTTAGCAACTCAGCGCGTTTCCTCTTGAGTACAGCCTCCCTCTAGAAAAAAAAACATATAAAAGACGTAACATTACGTGTTTAAATAGAAACATATGCTGCCTCCCATTCATATAGCTAAATGTAGACGGCAAACCATTTCATGGATTCGCTTGTGTTCTTCAGCATTAAGTATGAACTGAAGATTCAAGTGGACACGCCCACCACCTTCCAGAGGAAAGAAAGAGTCCCAGGATCTCTTCTCCACCACTACCATAGTTTTGACATCTATCGAAGAAAATAATGACATGATTATTTGGTTAGAGCCGGAAAATTGAGGGGAAGATTCATAATGTGAGGCACGCTTGTCCGAGATAACCTGATCGAGATATCTCATTACCCTCCGCATCACAGAGAATCAATTTCAGGTTCTCACGGACTGACATAACCGGGCTGCAGTCATATGCATTGAAAGTAAAAAAAATCATCATTCTTTCTTCTTCATGGGGAGAAAAGGAATGAAAGGAAATAAAGAAAAATAAAGAACAACATGGGTGAACTTCATAAATGTACTTTATCATTAACTTTATTTTTTCTCCAAACGGTACATTATAAGTTTCCCCAAATACGAGGTTTCCATAGTCCTGGGAATGAAGGCATTTTACAGTTTGAAAACTGGGATCAATCCAATACTTTCAGGTAATTGGGACATACTACAAGTTAAAGAAATCTGTGCTGCATTTACGCCCCCGGGATTTCAAGGTGTATCTTCAATCAATTTACTTAGACAGATTCAACGCATTAAATGGCATTCCGTGAATAGGATAAAATAAGAATGACAACCATAGTTTTTCTTTCCGATAATTTGTGAAGCTCTTCAGGGTTCAGAGACCGTATTCAGCATTGTTGAGCTAACCAGCCATGGAGTTCCATATACATTCTAGAATTCCTCACACAGGAGCTTGTAATCAAAATAGAAGCACTCACAAAGAAAAATCCCCTTTGTCAGTCGTTTGATACTCCGTCTTCCCCATGACAACTGCCACGGCAAAAACGTGCCACGCTCAGTCAAAGGAACATCCACAGATAGGGAAATTTCTGAGCATGTAAGAGAGTGAATTTCATGGTGGGAGGACTAGGGTGCGCTCACGCTTCAATGAAAAGGGACCACAAACACTTGATTCAGGCGACAATGCCGACGTCGGGAGTGACGGCGACGGAAGGTCCTCCACCCCGAGCACTGAGCAGGTGGGGGGAAAACCCGGTTAGCAATGCAACCAAAAAATGACCGTAAATTGGCTGTTCCCGAGGTCTGAGCACTTGGGGGGTGGCGGGGAAGAGAGAGGAGAGACTACCTGAGACTAGAATAGTCCCCGGCATCGGCTCCGATCGATCCGAATGCCACACGAGGAGGCAAAGAAGAAGAGGGCTTGATGGGGAGGCCGTCGACTGCTCAGACACCCCGCCGGAGTGGATTCCAGAAATCCTCGACGCTAGAAGACAAGGAATCGCCGGAGACAAATTTGTATGGTGGAACATCTCGCGGCGTGGATATCCGCGGATGCGGAATGTTCTGGGCGAAATCGGCGTCGCATCGATCTGTGTGGTTGGGTGTCTTCGGTGGGCCCCATCCAACAAATATATCCGCCGTACGTTTACTTCAATACGTGAAAAATATGTTATTAACTATAAGACCCTATAAAATATCTCATATGTCGGTGAACCCCCCAACAATTTTTTCTTTCGCTAAATCCTGAAACATTGGTCATTTATCGAATATATTATTATTTATTATATTTATTATGTTCTTAACTTTGGGTCAATCCCCCTCATCCTTCTCTTCCACTAAATCCCGAAATATTTGTCCTTTAATAAATAATTATACTTTTTCTTTAGGCCAAGTCGGAAATTTAGATAAAATTAAAAGTAATAAGTCAGATAAGTCCCGATCGAGGAATACCATATTTTTCTGGGGGTTATCTGAAAACATGTATTTTGTCCCCTCCAGCCATATAATTTTGTCGTTTTCCTATGGGAAAAACCCCGGTAGATATTTTCAGGACACGATCGGTTCATAACCGTTTTCAAGATGTGGGACCCCGAAAACGCTACCTTCCGCACAAGTCGGCGGGAGGGGAGAGAGCTGGTGATCCTCCCTCTCTCTCCGCCACCGTAATGGCAGCGGCGGCGGCGGGTCTTCTCCCCGCTCTGCGTTTCTCGCCGCTCGAAGCGTCGCCCTTCCCCAAGCCCCTTGTCGGCGGCGGCCATGGCTGGACGAAGACCAGGGGGACCCGAAGAGGCCTCTCCTGTGCCCCAGGTTTCTCTTCTTCTTCTTCTTTCAGGAATGGGAGCTCGCCGGAGACCGAGTGCCCCGTGCCGCTGGAGCAGCAGCCTGTGAACGAGTACCAGGCGTTGTCCACTTCCCTCCCTTTCTCCTGGGCGGCAGGTGATCTCGGGCTCTACTGCTCCCGTCTTGCCTGCACTGGGGCAGCGTTTGCCCTCCTCGTGGGGCTCCCCGTGTCTGCCTTTGGAAGGGGATTCATCGGAGATCCCGAAACATACGCTCTCCGATGTACCCTTGGGGCTGTGTCCACAGGACTTCTTGCTGTCATCCTGGCAGTACTCCGCATGTACCTAGGCTGGGCGTACGTTGGCAACCGCTTGCTTAGCGCCACTGTGGAATGTGATAATCTTACCACAAATTATTGATTTATTAGTTTTTTTATTTTTTATTTTTCTTCTCATTCTCTTGGCTGGTGGTTTATTTTTTGCCTATTTGTTGCTGTAATGTATGGCTCCATCCACAGACGAGGAGACTGGATGGTATGATGGACAGGTGATAAAACTGTTTCGCCTATCCAATTATTCATTGTTCATCTTTACTTTCCTTTTATCATCAAGATTTTGTTAAAATAATGCAATCGACGGATAATCATGCGGCCATATTTGCGATAAATTTTCGAATAAGAGAACCCATTTTGTTGTCCCAGTCGGTATTTGAAAAATGGGATATGGAGTGCCTTCTTTCGTCATTATCTATCTTTGGCCTCCCACATACTGAATATGATCTCTGATGAAGGGACTGGAGCATGGATATCTGTGCTTTAAGTGTTTCCGGGTTATAGAATATTAGCTTTACTAAAGTTCTAGTAGTTCCATGTGATGTTATATTGTCTCATATCCTTACATTCATGTTTTGACAGTCTTATAGTTAAAACTGGGAATGAGCATGTTTTTTGGCGAGTAAAATGGAATGAAGAAGGCCACATAGGAAAACGGAATTTGACTTTCAAGATGTCGCGAAAAATAGATGTGATTATCGCAAGGCTAGAATCTACCCTTCTAGGAAATGAATTTAAAAGTTTGAGGGAATGAAAAAGGGCACATGTTCGTTCAGGTCAAGTATGGCAGAGAGGTTAATACTGGGACATTCTATCATGTTACACTCAGGTAGTCATGAACTGTGGGTATACTTCTTTTAAGGATGTGTTCCCTTTTTCTCATGTTACAGATGAAGTTCGGCTGCAGAACTAACTACTGTTGTGTCTCTAAAAGAGATGGTTGTACAGGCATCCAGCTTTCTGGAACAGTAGGTCTTGGAGAGGTCATTTTAAGGATTGGTTTGTCTCCTTGGAAGTTACATTTCAGAGAGATGTCTTGCAAGAGGGGTGGGGGTCCCGCAGCTGGGATACCCCAAAACTGGCTTTTATAGGGATGTGAATGTCCATGGACTAATGGTTTGGGTGTTTTTTTCAGTTCTGACTGTTCTATCAGGAGGGACATTATGTTTTTTTTCTGAAGGGACGAAAATGGTCGAATTTACGTGTATTTTTAAAGCTTTTGTCTTATGTCTTAGTCCTAAATCGATCTACTTAATATGTGGATACCTTCTTTAGAGTGTTGCCCTGCCAACACGCCAAAGAAAAATCTGATACAGCATGATGAAAAGTTGAATTACCTGACATTCCTGCACCTGTAATTTCTGCGTTCTATGCTTGTGCACTTATTTTTTAGTATTATACGAATGAAACCTTTTTGTTGAGTCACAAATGGAGAATGCGTTGATCATTAACGGTATTTTTCTGTTTTTCAGATATGGGTGAAAACTCCTGAAGTTCTAGCCCGTGATCGCCTTTTAGGCTCTTTTTCTGTGAGTTCACTCATCCTTAGTTCTTTGGCTTACAGATTTATGAAAAAAAAAAAAAGAGCGCCCGCAGACACATTCTTTCTGTAAGATTTTCTTGCTTGTCATTATTCCTTTGTTGTTGCGAGCGGGCAAGGCCATCAACCCACCACTTTAGCCTGAAGCAAGTTGGCTGTCCCACCCCCACCCTAAATATTTTAAGGTTCTCCTCCTATAATTTGTCTTGATCTTTCCTACCTGGGGCTGGTGGTTTGACATAGCATATAGGGCCTGTCGGATTTGAACTCCAACTAGGTGTAGCTTATTATGCGAACACAATGAGTTGACCTGTTCCCAGATCTCAGGTGTGATTACCCGAAACGTCAACCGAGATGGGATTGCCTGATCGCTGTGAAAACTGGTGCATTGCTAGATTGTCCGGGAAATATAATGAATTTCAAAGAAAAAATTATGAATATTGCATGGGGTTACTGAGTCTAGTAGAAAACTAGAATCTCGGCTCAGGTTGAGTTAGACGACTTCCAGATCTTTGATTCGTCGTATCCTAATATGTTTTTGAGTTGGGTTGACTTCACTGATTGCGGGATGGAATTTCTTTTTTTTTTAACATAACTTTCAAATGACCCATATCTAATGCAAGCTAGTAACAGCTCAGCATGGCTGTTTATAGAAACCCAGTGATAACCCTCGGCGATCGGCTCCTGTGGATGGTCAAACCCAAAAGCCGAGCTCTTCAGCTCTTCATGTGACAGTGTTTGATCTTCTCCTAACATGACTGCCGGCTGGCGGCGCTGTCTATCTTTGGCATCATTAGGTCAAGCCTGTGCTGAGCAGGGTGAAGGTCACATTGGTCTTTCTCGCCCTGTCGCTGGCTGCGTCCATCGTTCTTTTCGTCAATGTCGACAGTCCAAGAGACGCGGCGTCGGAGGAGAAGGGAGGGAGAGCGGTGGCCGGAGTTTACAACGACGCCGCCGCCAGATCTTTCGAGCCCGAGGCCTTCTGTGGTGGGGGTTCAGACCTCTCCTAGATCCTGTTATGTATACTCGTGGGGAGATGGTACACATTGCTGGTGGGATGTCAGTGGGGGCATTCGGGCTCCTACTTGTTCCCGAGTAGAAAGCAGGGTTTGTCCTGTAGATCAGCGCCTGTGTATATGTATATCTTTGAAAGGATAGAATTGCGATTTCTTGTTTAGGTGATCTCTCTCTCTCTCTCTCTCTCTCTCTCTCTCTCTCTCACACACACACACACACACACACACACACACACACACGCACAGATTGCCCATTTTCTCTCTCATTTAGCTTAAATGGAGAAGAAGAATACCAAATGATTCATTTCATTAAAGCAATATTGGTATGAATTCTAGAAAGCTAAAAATGCGTGTGTGCACAATGTCTTCATATGACTCACAATAATAATAATAATAATAATAATAATAATACAAAATGATCACTAGCAAACATTAAGTAGATTGTGAGTTTTCAATCAAAATTACATCAATTTACAAACCTTTTGTGATGACCTTAGATATAAATGCAATTGATGTCACAACATTTTGGCTAACTTATTACCCATAGCTTTATAATAATGGGAAAACTCATTACTTATGCAAATTATTCGTTGTTATAAAGGGAACCCCAATCATTTGTTAAATTGAAGCATAGTCATGTAATTTTGTGTGTTCTACTTAGCTTATCTTTACTTTGTATTTAATAAAAGTATTATTTAAAATGCCTATTTACTCTACTCTTCATCCATGGATAGATTTATTATAGATCAAATTATCGTTTTGTATCATTGGTATACTTTATGTTGCTAAATATATATGAATACTTATTGATATTTCCAATTACTAATAAAATATCATATTCTTTTATGATATTTTAATGTAGGTTCACCTAATAATGTACTTTTAGCTTCAACCCCACATTGTTAATATGGTGTTTTTAAATTAATAAATTATATTATTTAGTCAATTTCATTATCATTATAGATATGTTGAGTTTTAGAAGCCCCCAATAGGTTTCCAAGTTGACAAAAGTTTGTGATTACAAAAATATTATTTTATGCTATGAAGTTGTACATCAAGGCCAATGCTTTCATTATATGAAATTTACATTGGAAAAGAACCTAATACATTAAGATTAATATTTTTTGCATGAAAAAGTTTAGGCCATCATTTAGTATATTGTATTAAAGTTGATATTTCAATATACTATGTATATTGCAGCATATCATACTACATTATGATTGAATATCTTAATATATCAAGTTTAAATATTTTAGGATGTCAAGTTTAAGAAATACACAATACATCAAGGTTAATAATTCAATATAGCAAGTTTACATTGTGGAATTATACATTATGACAATGTTAAAATGTTACTATATGAGAAGTTTCATTGTAAGAAATTAAAATGTATCAAAATTAATATTTAGATACATTGAAATTATATTGTGGAACACAACTATACAAGTTGAGAGCAATACACTACTTAGTGCATGGAATACACTGCGTGCAGAAAAATATGTTATGCAATGGCATAATACATAAAACTAAATAAACCAATTAATAAATAGTTATGTTCTAGAAAAACAGGGTATATCAAGTAAATGAAAATTTATATTGAAATGAACTGATTTTCAAATGAAGTTCTATTGTGTATTGTAGATATATATTTTTCAGGTCTCAAATGAAGATAACAAATATAAAAATATGTATAGTATTAAGTGGATAAAAAAAGTGTGTCAACATATGTGTTGACTCACTTGAAGAGAGATGTATAACCATCCACTCAATTATTATGCTGACCCACCATCAATCAGAAGAGAGAGAATGACTAAATACTCACAAGGATGACACATTAAGATGTGGTAAACTTGATGAGATAAATGACACATAACAAGAAAAAATCAAGTGACACATTAATTATCTAACACAATATTATTTTGTAAAAAGTCTAAATCAAGATGACATGTAGCAGAACCTAATACCACAATGACACATAACAAAAATAAGACAAAAGAGATGTTGCATGTCATTCAAAACATACAAATGTCATATTGTAAGGTTAAAATATTCAAGTGAGACATGGTTAAGTCCAATTGGTCAAGGTGACAAGTGACAAAAAGATCAATAAACACACTTAACATGCGACAATATCTTTAATAGTACATGTAGTTTTTTTACAGAGAAGAATCTAACAAGAAGAATAAATCTTTGACATAGACAACAAAACTAACAATAGGTAAAAAGATATGTGAGGAGTCAATCAACATGTAGTAAGCATATATATGAGTGTAACGAATCTTTACACATTATAAGATCAATGACAAGTGAAAAGATCATCGATTGACACATCTCTATTGTTGACCTAGTCAAAAGATAGTCAAATTGACAAAATCTGACTTATATTGGCAGCCTTCTAGCGGGTTGAGTTAAAAAAAAATTAACCCACTATGTCCATATCTTAATTATTTGAACTGAAAAAGGTCAAGATTTTTAGGTCTGTGAAAAACCCCTTAAATGAGCTTTTAACCCGCACTTCAATGATGACAAATTCTCCTATCTATGTCTTTAAATTCAAGTGATAAGTTCTAGATACAATTTGAATGCACTCAAAGTTTCATCAAGAGTTCCAAGTGTTTTCATTTACAAAAATGTTGAATTTTAAGCATAGTGAGATTAATGTAAGTCTTAGATTTACATTCGATAAGTGATAACACTGGAGATGTGCTTGTAACATAAGCAGATAAACAAGTTTAGTGCCTTTATTTGATGTGGAAAGATAGACCTCTTAAAGTATTTCATATGAGTTGGAACCCTTGAAAAGTAGATGTAGATCCAATAAAGGCCAAAGCAATATAAAACTTGGGTGTCCTAATTGATTTAGAAGTTAGTGTGTTGACTTAGTAGAAAACGATGTCAGCCAACCATATTCTATGTCGACCCACTTTAATTGGAACCAACATAATTAGTTTAAAAACATATAGAAATGATAAAAATTCTTAGAAAACTTATTCAACCCCTATCTTGGTATACTTGCTATAGTATTAAAGAACCAACATATGAGAAGTTATATTGCCAAATATTTGGAGTATATGAAGTTTAATATATAAATATATGAAGAGTTACATAGTAAAATAACATAATATATAAAGTTTAATATGTACATATATTAAAAAAAATGATTCAATACAGTGGAATATAAACTTAACATGTGTGCGTAATTAGCTTATAAGTGGTATGTGATTAACTCCATATATCTAACTTAATATTTTAGTGCATAAGAATTATGTTGTAAACCAACGTAGTGTATGAAGCATAATATCTTAGCACACGATATTTATGTTCAAATATAATTTTTTTTATGAAGTTAAATATCTCATGCGCTACTAAATATTCTATGTTTTGGAAATGATAAGTAAATATATTTTTTAACTGAATCATTATCAATAAGTTTTTAAGGTGTTGAAACTACAAGAAGAACTTTCAACTCCAAGTAAATACATCTTACCCAAAGAAAGTTGCAAAACCAATGATTGTAAAGTCCAAATCACTTTTTCTTAATCCTATTTTGATGTATAGTAACAAATGTTTATCACTGCCATTAAGTTTTTATAAGCAATTTGACATTTTAATATGATGAACAACTTTCAATGTAGTATTTAATTACTATGATTTTGTGGCTCATGTTATTGTAGGTGAGTTGATACCTAGTATTCATTTATTGTACTTTACATAATTCAAAGAGAGATCACAGTAGCTTAGGACGGCTGAACTATCGTATAATTCTTGCACTCTTTGGAAGCATCGCCTTAGTCATATATAGAGAGTCTACTCACCTAAATCATGGTGTCCCGCATTAATTACATCAAACATAGTTATATATTAACTTGTGAGAGAAAACGAATAATTCATACCCTCCCCCCCCTCTCAATTCATTGGTAAACGTATAAATCTTAGGAAAATCTAAATTAAAATGTGTAATCAAGGGTGCTCTAGCAGAGAAATCTTATGTACAGATTAAATCATTATTTAGTGTTCTGTACTTTGCGATTGTTCTTGGAAGTAAAAATGATTGCTCTGCTGCCGTCCACGTGATTCAACATGTCTCTTTATGCGATCAAGTGTATGATATGCGTTATATACGAGTCGTCGATAATCCAACTCGAGCGATGTCGTCGGTCGTCGTCTGCGACTTTAGGGTAGTTAGGGCGTGGGGGCAATGGGCAGGCAGAATCGCAGGAGGAGGCCGTCTCAGTGGCGGCGGGGAGGAGTGAGAGAGCTGGAGTTGGAGAGAAGATGGTATAATCTAAGTAGTAGCTCGCCGTCCGAGATATTCCGCTGCCTCGAGCTGGAAGATCTTGTCAGAAATCTTCTGTTTGCCGGCTGTTTTGCCTCAGAAATCTGAAAGAGGCGCCGGAGGGATTGTTGGATCCCGTTGTCCTTTAGCTCTTCAAGGCCTTCTCCGGTCCGTGAGCCCGACCAGACCAGACGACGGCGATACGAGCCACTGGATGGCCGCCGGCGCTAGAAGGCAACGATCGAACAAGTAGCGCTGCCGGCGCCGTCGTCGGTGCCCGGCTTCTAGAGCCAGCCGATTAGGGCTTACAGCCCCGACTCAGCCATTTGACCTCTTTCTTTCGATGCCATCTTCCTGCATTACCTAGTAGTGATATCGTAAGAAGACAGATCTTCTACATCATGGGTTTCTGCCACATGATCATTCCTTCCAAAATCTCTGCGTTTTCTTCGTCATTCTTCGTAAGTTTATCGTAGATCTGAGGCTGTTTTTCTCTGAGTGCATGGGCGGCGTTCTCTCGGGAAGCCCTTTTGTCCTGAAAAGCCAAGGTTTTACCAAAAACAGGAGTCTAACTTTGCGGCGCCCGATTTGGTAAGGTCCCAGGGTAGACCCCGCCCCGGACAATGCTCGAGGGGGCGCTTTCCTGCAGCCCTGATGAGAGAGAGCGAGAGAGAGAGGCTCTTCGCCAGGTGTGCACGGTTCCGTTGGCAGTCATCTCACGCTCCGTTCCCTGCCACACCGCAAGGACCTTGTCGGCGGCGAACGTACGCCGGCCACACAGTGGTGGCGCTCGAGGCACGGGGGCCCTCTCCCTCCTCCCCTGCGTAGGTCTGCATCGGGCAGGCAGAGTCCCCACGCAGCTACGCCACAGCTGGACGCTCCCCGGCCGTCAAACGGCGATTACACAGAGTGAGCGAGAGCGAGAGAAAGAGAGAAAGAGAGAGAGAGAGAGAGAGAGGATGGGGGCCTCTTGCTCGACAGGGAGCAGTAGTAGGTCTCCCCGTCGCCGCCGGCTGTCGCAATCTCACCGCCGGCAGACTAAATCACTAGTTAAACGAAGAGGCCGAAAGAATCAATGCAGATGTAGTAGCATGGTCGGATCAGTATTCGGAATGAAGTTAGATAGGAAATCATGGGATCGATTCATTCGTACCTGATCAAGCGTATTTTTTTCTCTTCTTCTATAAACCCAGAATCCATGGGAAGCGGAGATTCATGGCATGCTTGCTGTTGCTGATCGATTCGAAGGATGAACTCCAACACCACGAACACAAGTTACGCCTTTTATTTTTACTGTTTCCTTACTGGGTTCTTCTTGCTCTTTGAAGTATCCTTGTTTTATACTTCATAGTCTTTGCCAAGAACAGTAAAGAACTGTTCGCCGTGTCATGTGAAGTCCTGATCCAAATCTAAATGGGAAGTCTGTGAATACGGAGGCTTGAATCCCTCCGATTTTGGTGAAAAATGTTACGAACGGACGGGATTCGACGGGAAAAACTGAGACTTCTCCGCCTGAGGACGGAGCTACTTCATCGCTGGTTCATGATAGACCAGGGATCTACCACTCCGAGCCCAAACGCCAACACGAACAGAACAGCTGCTCGAAGCTCCAATCAAGAAATCTCATCAGACAGGTGAGCCCTCAGCCTTGGTGTTCTCGTGAACTCGCAAATAACTCGTACTGTGCATCCTCCAATCAACCTCTCCTCCTCCCCCCGTCAACCGATATATCTAACTCTCCTCTCTCTCTCTCTCTCTCTCTCTCTCGCACATGGACGCAAGGAGAAACTGTACCCAGCTCAGAAGGATTTTTCTGTTGAATAACGGGCCCCAAATCTCTGCTCTCCACAGGGTTGAGCAAAAAATTATAACCCTGATGAACAGGTCCTTGAGCAATGGTGTCTTACAGCCTCAGGGTCTTGATCACTATTATCCCCCTTCCCGAGGATTCTCGGCCCTCGTCAGCCAATCCATACTGGCGGACAGCAGGAGGCCTTTACAGCAACAGGAAATGAGGACAAAGCTTGCCAGCCATGACAAGAGAGAGAGAGAGGTTCAACTTTGAACGTCTGGCGGGCAATCAAAGGGTAATAATATCGAGCTATTACCTCCTAAGGAAGTAGGTCAGTGGGGGTCTCACCAATATAGTCAAGGTCCCAAAAAAAGAGCAGAGATGAAGTGAGGTTAGAGTTATCTGAGTCTCGCAGGAGACATTGCATTTCTTTTGAAGGCTATCGCGATCATTTTTGTTCGCGGTTTAAGGCACGAATCAAAGGTGGAGAAGCACTCCAAGCACTCCCAAAGGAAAGAAAAATGGGGCCAGCGACAGAAGAAGCGGAAGAAGGAAGAACGAAAGAAGCGGCGATCGCGAGCTCAACCGCGGATCAGGCCACTCGAGAGAGCCATCAATAACAAGGCGGCTTCCTTCTCGTCCTGGGGAAACACTCGGTGGAGGGCCGAGCTCTTGCTCAAGCTGATGGCGAACTCATCGAAGAGGAGGCTCGTCCGGGTCCGACCTGGAGTCAACCGGCACCTCTTCTTGAATGGGACGGTGCGCTGACAGCCTGAAGTCTTCTCTTTCCGAACCGTTGATGGTGCAACGGCGGGGATCAGGCCGCCGGTCAGAGCCGCCGCCGCCGCCATGGCCCTCCTTGCCTTCCTCTGTCTGATCCCGCAGGCATTACAGAGAGACTAGACCATGGAGAAAGGAGGTCATTAAAGACGGCAAGGCATCAGATGATGGCAATACACAGCGAAGAGACCGCAGGGCTACCTTGGGTCCCTGTGGGCCGCTCCTCCATAGCGGGGTCTTCGTGGTGTTGCAGTCGGAGCAAACTCTAGTCGGAGCACCACCGACGTGACAATGGCGACTATCGATGTAATCGCTCTGGGTCTTGTCTTCTTCCGATTCCGGTTGGTCTTGAGGCTCCACAACGATCCTCCTACGATCGTTAGCGGCGGTTCCATCGGAATTCGTCATCCTCCTCATGAATGTAATCTTCGAAGGCGTCCACTCGGCCGGACCATCATCGGAGAGATCGCTCTCGTCGTGCTTGGCCAGCGCCTGCGCGGGCAGTAGACCTTCGGGATCGTTCGATCCGGCGGAAGGGAAGCAGTGTGGGTTGCCCTGCAGAGGAGATCAACGATTCAATACGACCCAAGAAAAGAAAATCTCTGGGAGAGATGAACTACAGATGATCGACTTACCTCATGCCATGTGCCATGATGACGGCGACCGGGAAGGTGATCAGGTGGGAAGGGAGAAGAAGACTCGCAAGTAGGGGAGTGAGGGAGATGGCAGCTGGCGGTCTCCTGAACTGAAGCCATGAGCGAGGGGGAAGCCGATGGATCTAGGCCTGCCGAGGAGCCAGCGAACAGGAGACGAGAAGGGAGTAAATCACCGACCAACCAGGTGGGTCTAAAAGGCTGCCCGAAGCTGATCGACATGACAAACGAAGGGGTAAATCTCTCTTATAGGGGGCTCAGGGATGGCCTCAAAGACGCCCAAAAGGCATTCCATCACGTGAGTCCAACGCCATCCAAGGAATATGGCCAGTGAAGAGAAGGAAGAGAAAGGGGGAGGAGGGTGAGATGGAAAGGCATGCAGGACAAGGCCAAAATGTCGGAAACGCCATCCAAGGAATATGGCCAGTGAAGGAGAAGCCTTAGAGATGTCGGGCAAACCCTAGTCCTGCATCCATAGCTCAGTTTCCATCGATTTTCTAGAAAATCGATCATCTAGATAGCTCAGCGCTTAGCACGTCGCCTCTCTCTCTATCTATCTATCTGGCTAAGTGGCTAGCCTATTTATGTATCTATCTCTGTTTATAGGTTTGGCCGTCTGGGTAAGATTATCTTGTCTAGTTCTAACAGACCCGCGACGGAGGAAAGCAACGAGGAACGGAGTACGGAGGAATCGAGGGGATCCGTGGAGAGATCAGCATGATGTAGTCAGCGTCGTCACAAGCAACAACCGAACTATAAATATCTCGCTCGCGGTCAGGCGTAGGGATACGAGAAGGAGAGGGCATGCGGCGATAGACATCCCCACGAGCAAGTGGGACGCTTGAGGACTAATCTATTGGCGACCACTCCGTTTCAGACTGCTCGAGGATCCTATCCCATTCATCAGCGGATAACATGCCTCCATCAACGATGAAGAGAGTGGATACGTTCATGGCTTCTCCGTCACTAATAGGCGCAAGCAAGAGAGAGAGAGAGAGAGAGAGAGAGAGAGAGAGAGAGCATCTGAAATATTTGTGAAGTAAAGACTTCAACTATGGGGAAAGTCCAAGAGAGTAATTGTCAGTAGGTGCACAAAATCTTTATGGTCCTGCCCCCATGTAACATGACACCGTCCCCATGCCAAGAAGGACCCATCTCTCTCTCTCTCTCTCTCTCTCTCTCTCTCTCTCTCTCTCTCTCTCTTTCTCTATCTGCCTTTCTCTCTCTACCGTTGACGACGTGTCTCGCTGGGTTTTCACGGCGATTATTTCCCCACGAGTGGTCAAAGAGCAGCGGGCAGTGAGACGCACGGGAGGCAAATCCAGCCAGCAACAAGGAGACGTCGAGGGGATTTGTCGACGGGACAGCGACGCCGGCGGCGTCCGCAAGCGGCCGGAGGGTCATCTTCTTCGCCGGATCGGCTGCAAAAAGCCCACGTCATCTCCCGCCGGGTGGCGCCGCCTCTTCTGCTCATATCACCATGTCACCATGAAAGATTACGAGGAGATAAAGTCCGGAGGGGCTCCAATCAGGACCACACATCCTCCGGGCTATCTTGGTCTCCTTCAACCTACGGGGGGGGGCCGCCTCACTTAGCCTTCACACCTCCTTCAAGGAGACTGATCTCTTGATTAGAGTGGCATCCATATGAGATCAGACGGAACCCTATCTAATTCACCTAACCAAATTCTTAAATAGATCCCGAGTTCATCGATGATGGGCAGGTCTTCGATCGGATGATCATAACCGATGCTGCGTGCATACACAAATAAATATGATGTACCATGATGACCCACCTGTCGCATTAAGCGGCTCGTTTATCAGGATTTCATGTTGGATAAATCACTTCAGAGAAAGTATTTATTTAAATCCAATTTCTTGGAAGGTCAAAGCTCAGCTCCCTATTATAACAATTTGCTACTTGGTTGGTATATTACTGTGAGTGTACAGATAAAGAAAACACTAGTTCTTGGACAGATTCATAGAATCTTATCTATAATTAGGCCGTCTCCATCAGGTTATATCAGCTTTCAATGTTTTGCAAAGTTCCTGAATTGATAGAAATAAATGATCATAAGCTTGTCATCATACTATCTTCAGGGAGCTGACTAGAACCGATAATTAACACTTTTTTTTTCCGATAATAGAATAACATAACCAAACAACTTAAAAATTGAGAATATTACCTTGACCGCCCAATATTTATCCACAAGCAGTTTTGGGGTCTCATTTCCTGTGGGTTAAGGGGCCTAAAAAAATGAAATGAGTACCAAAAACATAGATAGATATTGAAACTGGAAGCGAATAAACCATGCAACGACAGGACACTAGACATGCATATTGCTTGATGATCATTTCTGCCAGGGGTGCTTCATCTTCAACATAGATAATGAGGAGCTCGTTTCCTCTCTCCTCTCTCCTTCCTCTCTCTAACAGAGCACTCCCTCTTTCCTCTTCAATCCCGCTCCCCTTTCCTGACAACAAAGACTCCATTCTTCTGTGCACTGCTGTCAAAGCTGTCACTGCCACCCATGCAGCAGGATTTAACCTCACAGGCCTACTCTTCTAGCAACTACACTTGGAGTGGACAGAGACCGAACCCCAGTGCGCTGCAAGTCAGTGATGGCGCGGATGCTGGGCACGAATCAGGAAGGTGAGATGCTCCGCGCTGCACATGCGTGACTGTTGACTTCGCATGTTGACCATGTACAGCTACACTCACTCAGGCCTGTGCCAGACAAGAAACCCATATGCATTGAAAAACTGTGTCATTGGATTAGTGGATCCACGTGGGATCACTGGCACCACGTCGAATATGGTGGGCTCATATAAAGTCTGTTGAGTAAGAGAGAAAGAAGAAAATCCCATAATATCGCGGGGTTTAACATAAACAAGGGCAAAAATGAAATTATAATCAATTGTCATCATCATAGATGATAGAAGTTGAGGTACATCAGACTGATTTCGACAGTATATACAAGAGTCAACTGTAGGTGATACACTCGGAACAGGGGACAATGATGTGAATGAATCATGGAGAGAACCAAAACCTTGCTAAGCTTGCGGAGAACCAGGTTCACCTTATAAACAATTCGACGGATCCATTCTCCGCCGATCCCAGGTTCCAATCCATCCGAGTTAGTCTTCAACCTCGGTGTTGAAAATGAAACTTGGGAAAACTGTCGTGATGTCCCTGGAAAAATCAAGAACTGGTGTTGACCCTCTGAACAAAACGCGATTCTTCCAAAATCACAGGTCAGAATCCACATCCGCATGACTTTTGAGGGCAATTCTCTCACAAAATCCGCGGATGTGCGAGATTTGAACACCCGAATTATACTAGCTTATCAGGAATCTTAGAATTCTAATAATTTCATACATCAATGGATGTGAAACTAGTAGAAAACAAGAGGTGAGCGGCTTGCTCTCCTTTGCCCATGACTTGGGAATCTCTTCGGTCATTCAATGAACAGTACAGACTCTTACCCGAAGAAGCAACATAAATGGGTTATTTCTTTTAATTAATCGCAAAATTTAGAGAAACATACCTCAAATAAGGGAGCGTCATATTCCTCAAAATCGTGGGATGCCTGGCAACAAATTCCTTCCAGTCTAATTTGTTAATCTTGCCGTCTCCATCCGTATCCGCATCAGCAAAGGTCTGAATCAACATAATATTAGAGCACCTCACCTGAACATCATTACAGAAGAAAAGGCATCATCAGGGAACATTCTTGCCTTGTCAATTATTGCTTCAAGGAAGGTATCTGGCAGCTTCATGTCTGACTCCATCAAAATAGCGATTAACATCTGTTTGACCTGTATTATTCAAAGATGGGGCAAAACATATGCCTAAATATAGACAACTTTGGATAGCACAATGTGAAGAAAATACAGAAAGAGAATATAAATAGGGTCAAGGAACTCACTTCTTCACGTTCTATAAATCCTGTCTGTCTCAGGTCATACAATCTAAAAGCAACTACAGGAAAAGAAGAAAATAACTCACCTAGTTAAGCAATGCAACGAATTAAGAAAGTATTTCCTTCATAGTTCATACACTCACAATTAATTTTTTCGTCTACAGGAGCATGGGGATGGAAGATGCTGAGTGCATGGACAAATTCCTCAAATTCAATGACTCCATTCTTCTTTTCATCAAAAACGTCAAAAACCTAGAAGAAGCAACACCATTTGTAAGGTGAATAATGTGAGGTACAAGGGAGGAGCGAAAATGATGCTCATCGTAGTAGAGTAAATTTGTCGTCCAGAAAAGGTAAAAGAAAGGGTATGCTTTATAAATGAATTAGTCTCCTGATGAAGTCTTAAGATAAGAATAAGCATGAGTAGGATAATATTTTTTAATTTACACCATTTCACGGACTAGTAATGCTTTACACGTGGCCTTAGAAAAGATGACAATAAGAAGAGGGCACATGCAACCATTGACACTGGAAAGACAATTCTCCCTTGTTGCAGTTGGCTCTTATCCGCTACTTTAGTTGGAGCACAAAAAAGGAATGAGATATGTAAATTGAGTCAAACCATATGCTATGCTAGTGCACTATCAAATGGCAACGAGTGCAGCAACCCTCGTCTTTGGAGCCCTCCAGTCATCCTTTTCAAGACCCCTTACCGCTACTTTCCATCATATCTCTTCGATTACACAGAGGATCCTTTTTGTGATGAAAGATACAGCAGAAAAGTGGTGGCATCCATACCTTGAAAGGAGTTCGCATATTCATCTAATTCGATCTCAGATGCACGGGGATTCACAAAGTGTTGGATATTAAAAAAACTTGCATTATTGAGACATTACTTAGGGTAGGTGGCCCTCAAAATAAAAAATGGAACAGTCATTAACGTACCTCCAGTCAAAATGCGTCTTCCAAATTAGTCAAACATTTTGAGTCTAGGTAAACCAAAGTTCAATGACTTGTAACCTAAACAAAACATGATGGATCCTGCCAAACGAAGTAAACCGAACCTAGAAAATATTTTAGGATCCTTAATATAAAATAATTCCACACTGAGGAAGACAAATAGAAAATATAATCAATAATTAGATTTGAAAGAGAATTTATACATGGTAATGTCAATCATGATGACATGCATGGGCTTCACTTGTCTGGTAGTATATTCAGGCTGTCATAATGACTTGGGGAAAACTCTCGACGAAGGTTGCTTAAAACCTTGGGCAACGCATGTCATAGTGTTATGCCCTACAGGTTCAGTAGCACAACTGCTAGATTTTTAAAAATTAGTCTGCATGCTGACCCATCAAGAGGGCAAAACTGGACAGCTATGACCCATCTAACAAACAGTAGGCGTTAGGAGGTAGAATTGAGTTTATGTTTTGAGAAGCATGTCATGTTTATCTATTTGGAAATGACCTGAATTAATTAGGAAGAAGGCCAATAAAACCTACTTACTCTATCCAAAAATAGGTTCTCACCAAAAGCAGTCTTGAAAAGAGCCAGCTGAAGTTCTTCCTGAAAAGTTAAAATTATAATCATTAAATAAGATTATAATTAGAGTACCAGCGAGACAATAAAAAAAAAGGAATATATATGCATATACAGGTGCCATTTTTAATTAATGCATCATACAACTACTCGGTCAAATACATTTCTCAAAGAAAACTAAACTATTTATTCATCATAGAGATTACACATCATCAGTGCTATCACCATAAATTTCACACCATCTCTCTAGGGAATCCTTTTAAGCATATTGCCCAGACATCAGATCCAGCGAACCTAGGAACTTTGCAAACTCTCCTGGTGAAAGTGAATTATTCATAATTAACAGAAGACGATTTGTTAAATTCCCGCGACAATAAATGTCTGGAGAAATTTGCCCTCTTGATTGGATAGGTTAATCTTAAGCAGCTAGGAAACAAAGAAAAAAATCGCATCACTAGCAATTAAAACTTCCATTCCAGACCATGTCAGCCTACCAATTTCACACCCAACAGTCTTTCTACACCATCATCAATGTTCAATCAAAGCATTGTGGATATGGAGCCGATATCAAACTTTCAGATCCGCCCTTCCATACCCCCCCTTCCCCGGGACAAGAGTCCCTTTGTATCTTACAGTCCCGACAGGCTGAATCAACGCTCCAATACTCTACATTCAAAGCAAACTTTGCAACAGCGGACAACATTTCTCCACGGTTTATTGAACAAAAAAGTCAAAGAGGAAACGAAATTGAAAAGAGAAGAGTGAATATATAATATACAGCAAAAGTAGAAATCCATAGATGCGAACCCCAGGGGGAGTGCTAGTGAGAACGACTCATGCCCACCTTGTGAATTAAACCATCGTCGACGATGGATCTGCTCAATTTCTTGAATAGTTCGTGTAGTGCCTCAACCTCGTTGACTCCGACTGCAGAAGAGAGGAACAAATGGGAGACAATAAAGAACGTCGGAAGAAAAATTCTAGATCAAGAGAAAAAGAACAACGATACGCGATGCCGCCAAAAGAAACTACGGAGAATTCGAGAACCAATGAGTATGGGGACGGCATATATGGCTTACAGTTTGTTTCATCGGCCATGCGACCAAAGTCTTTGAGCCCGAGGCGCACGGGCCTCTGACGTGGGCGTCTACCGCAGCCATACTGGAAGCAGCCGGCCACCGAGAAGATGAGGATATCGATGATCGCTATCAAAGGTATACATGCGGCGCAAAGTCGCTCGGGCAAAGTCAGCGAGCTCGAGCTCTGCATAAAAAAAAGACGCGCGTAATAGTGATTGCCAACCAGCGATCGCCATTACAAATTGGGTAATGGGAAGAAACTCACAGAGGCTACCCAGGAGTTGGGCTGCTCCATCGTCGACGGCGACGAGAAGATCGAAAAAGGAGTAATGAGAGGGAGAAGGAGGAACCCGCCGATTAACCATTATAATGGAAAGCCTGTCGGTGCACGAGACGGAGAAAAGAATTTGAAAAAAGAATTTGATGCTCAACCGTCTGAGTCCTACACGCATCAGAATCCTTCGCTATGCATTTTTCCGACTTTGGGTTCAGAAAATATATTTAAATTAAATAGTATAATAAATAAAATAGCGTAAATATCCCTTTCCGGTTCACTATTCCAGCAGATAAACGAGGACGAAGGCACGAGCGACGACGTGACTGGTAGGAACGTTCATTTCTGGAAAGACTTCTCGAAATGCATTCCGGTTTTTTTCAAAGTAATTAAAAAAAATCAAAATACATATTGGGTGTATCGTTGATGATTTCGAGAGTGTCGATGGGTGTCTGATATACCCGCGCAACATTCCCGACTATACGGAACCAGCGGTACGATTTTGCTCATCGGAGACGACGGCGCCGCGTATCAACGCGGTTCGCTCCACGTGGCATAATCACGCGTCCATGTCGTTCTCTTCAGCTCTGCCGTTGTCCCCACGTCGGGAGAGAGAGAGAGAGAGAGAGCCTCACCGCCAGCTAACTCTCTCTCTCCCTGTCTCCCTGTCTTTCTCTATCTGAGTTCAGGATTGGCTACCCACCCATTCCGTCACGATCTCAGTCGCCGCTTCTTCAGCCTCCTTCCTCCTCTTCCTGTAGATGGTTCCCATTTCTTCCCAGTTCTGAGGATTCGCCGCTGATCAGGTCACCAGTTGATAGGAATTCTCAGAGATGACGACCTATGGGACGATCCCCACGGCGTCCTCCTCTGGGGGGAAGGGGCTCGAGTTCATCTCCCGCGAGAAGGAGAGGGTGAGGGCTGTTCTGGAGACGCGGCGGCCATGGAAGGAGATGGTCCACTGGCACGCCTTCAGCGTTCCCCCGAGCCTCGGGGACGCCTATATCAGGATCCGGACCAACGGCGGCTACTTCACCATGAACTACGCCATCGTCGTCCTGGTGATCATCGTCCTCAGCCTGATCTGGCACCCGATCTCGCTCATCGTGCTCGCGGTCATGATGATCGCCTGGCTGTTCCTCTACTTCCTGCGGGACGAGCCTCTGGTGATCTTCCGGCGGGCAATATCCGATGGGGTGGTGCTGTGTGTGCTTTCGTTGGTGACGCTCGTCGCTCTATTTCTCACCAACGCCACCTACAACCTCATCGCTTCCCTCTCCACCGGCCTAGTCGTGGTTCTCATCCACGCCATCTTCAGGAAGACGGACGATCTATGCCTGGCGGAAGGGGGCGGCGGGTGGTACTCCGTCATCGGCGAAGCTCGCGGCGAGACGTCCGGATCTCCGTAGGCTCAGGATCCGCGCCTTCGTGTACGATTCGTTGTGTCGATCTGCTTCTCACCGCAGCCCCAACCTCCGCGCCTGCCATTTGTTTGTTCTTTTGCTTCTTGCTGCTCTTCATCCCGATAAATGCTTCTTCTAGGTTTCCACTGTTTACCCCCCTGCTGTTTGACTAGGGTTTCTCATAACCGGTGAATCTGTCCGATCAAGCGCTGGTTCGATCGGCTGGCGGATCGGCCTGCATTTGTAATAATTGTGTTCCTGTACTGGATCCCTAGAACATGGTGAGTGGGAGACGACCATCTGACGAGTCCCGACCCACCATGTTTTCATTTGATTCATAATCTAAACCTGTCATTCACTGTTCCATCCATGGATTACTTCCCCAAAACGAAAGCTCTCGTCGCCAGGAGAGAAATGCGCCACCAGAGATGAAGAACAGGCACCGGGAATCGTGGTTCGAGGATTCCAAATCTCGAGAAATAGTTCATCGACAGATTCCAAATCATATCGAATGAACCAGGCAGGTATCATCGAATCTTCAGAAGTGCGATCTACATCGCTACCGCGACAACCCTGTCACTGCTGACTGAGACTCCAGGAAGATCAGGCAGGTGTTGGAAGCATTCTTTCCAGACTTTGATCTGGCTGCAGGTGGGTTGGATTGGATGGCTGGGGGGACGAAGGAACAAGAAGACCGTAGGTGGGCCCGGCAGTCGTCGGAAATTCAAGCTATCAAATAACGATTTAAATTTTATAAATAATTAGCGTCAACTTTGTCGAGAATTATTCTAAAGATAATATTTTAAAAATTCCCAATGGAGACCATTACTGGAAAAGGTAAATTAAAAAAATAATGTATAATAACTAGTTCCAATATATATTATTACAATTTATTTAAAAAATAAGCGGGACTGGGGGAGGAATCAGCCGTCCCGCCCGAGTCGTTAGTCGAGACTTTTGGCATTTAGAGTCAGTATCGTTTAATTTAAACGATACCTGAGAAACAAGATGAACGGACCGCGAGACTCCTCTCCCGGGCAAAGAGCCGTTAGGAGTTGGAGGAAATTCTGTCGTCAAGATTGTCTTGGGAGTCGACAGGTTCACGTCGGGCGGAGACGGACGGCGGCGAGTGAAGGAGAAGAAGAGTTTCAGCGGATCGGGAGAGGCTGGATCCAGCGCTGGAGAGGTGAATCCGGGAAGGAGTGGACGGGGGAGGCAGAGGCGGAGATCCTGGATCCATCGATCCATCCTCCCCTTTCTGTTTTTCTCTCTCCTTTCTTTCTCCTCTAGTGGTGAGATAAGCTGATGTCATCTCGAATATTCGAGTACTTCGTTGTCTGCGGCATCGGGCCAGAGATCCAGACCCTCGATGGGGAGAAAGGTTACCACGGGACGGGGTATAAGTACGCTGTTTCCCTCCTCGATCAGTTCCCTGCAACCGACCACTCCCTTTATCCTCCTCCACCCCCGCAGCTGTCAACGGTGTGCACTTCTCCTATCATTCTCTATCAGCAACAGTCTATTTCTTGCTTCCGATCTGATCCAATCTTTCCGAGTCCGTCTCTATGTTGAATCCCTCATTATCTCTGCACGAGTTTTATTTTGTTTTGATTGCACTAAGACTCGGTTACGGTTGTCTTGATCAAGTTACCAAAAAAATTATGTGAAACTCTCGATGCTCGTGTCGGTTTTTTACATTAAAACTCTGATTCCTGTGCAATGCACCCACAATTTGTCGCATTGAAGACAGTCTAGACCATCTTATACAAATACTTACGGCTTTGTTTCAATTCTTGATTTATTTCATCCGAATACTTACGGCATTGTGTCATACAAACCCGACACCATCTGAACCTTGCACGATAGCCCGTAAAATTATTGCGGAGGACAGACCATTGTCTTCGTGTACTAAGTTAAGTCGAACGCATAATTTAAAGTAAGATAGTTAGAAATTCATCTTCATTTTTTATTTTTTAATCTTCTAGACCATCAATCATGTGAAGGGATGGATAAATTCTGCTGGATTTGATTTGAAGCATAATATGCGTGTATATGTACACAGTGACTGGTAGAAAGTTGGTATATATCCGTAGCCTGCTGAACTATTTTCATGCTATCCACATCTAGGTGCCATGTCCTGGGTTGTATATTTTCTAGGATCCGCGTTGTTGGGGTTTTCTATTCAGTGGGCTATCCATTTTATTCTTTTAGATTTCTATTATTTCTGTTCCAAACGGGTAGACTCATAATTTCCATGCTCTTCTGTTTATTCACTGCTTCTGATTTCATTTGATGTCCTTGGTTTTTTATCCTCTACTCGCAAACTGGAAAATATTATCTTTCATTGTAGATGGATCACCACTCCGAATCATTATTATATACATCTGGTGTTCATTTATTTACTTTTTAGCACTACTGTGTGATGAGACGTGCAAAATATTTTCTTGAGACAAGTCTAATTCGAATGGAATACAAAAGTATCTATTTATATTCCGGTTCAAATCAGTGCTTATGATTTTTTATTCCGTAAAATAATATTGCTCTCTTTTTTCATGGTATGAGCCATTACTATAGTGTGTTCTGCCAGCCGGTATTGAGTTCTATGACTCTGGAATTGACTCAAATGATGTATCTACTTGTGCACGGAGCTATCCAATAGTACTAACTGGTAATTCTCCGGTTCTGCTATGCCTTTTAGTTTTCTTAATGTTTTATAATTATCTATTTGCAACTTTCTTCTTTAGCAATCATCATAATTTATGATTAGGGGCAAGAATAAAGAGTAGAAATCATTCAGGAGGGGGAAGCCTATGTGAACGAAGGAAAGAACATGGTCTTCTTAAACAAGAAAATGCTTGTTCATGTCCCTTACAGAAAAGTATATTCTGTTTTCCATGTGAGTGTAATGTAGTTCTATAGTGGAAGTCCTTAAGAATGGAAGCCATATTGTATCCTGGTGCATCTTCTAAATCTCTTGTGGAAATGAACTTCAGAGATCTAGTTGGTCTGGTGACTCCTCAAATGCTTCTAGAGGTTCTTTGCAAGGTCCTTTGCAACATGAAAGGACACGTGGATTGTCTTCCATGTAAAATCTTCCTCGGGAAAATCCTCACCTTGTGTAGAGACTCATGCTGTGTCTCGTCGCCTCATCTTCCATGATATGGCAGGAAACCCAATTTTTTAATCGTCCACCATCTATCTGCATCCTTTTTTCCATTTGACAATTGAAAGAAAATAAAATAAATTTGAGATATTGTTGAGTGGTCGCTGGCATAGCTGCATTTTCTCGTGGAATAACCATGACAAGCAGACTTCTCATTTTGGATTGACGCCACAACTAGCCAATGAGCAGGATCCTCAACAGAGAGAGGTATCTCCCTTTACATCTTTGAGAATCATCTATCTGGGGATAAATTGAGAATAAGTTGAGCGAGTATTGGCCATAATCTTGTAAACGATAGTAGTAGCCATAGGCATTGCTGACTACATCAGAAAGATGAACATAGATGAATGGGAAATTAATTGTTCTTGAATATAACAATCGGTTGAAAAACGAAAACAATTAAATGAGGAATTGAAAAAATTAGCCAATGGAACACGAGCTGTGTTCTTTATGGGTAACTGGGGTGGTGATGTTCTAATTTCCTATTTTATGCAGGGACCTTTGCCCTTCAAGTTGATGTGGTATGTTTCATTGAACGATTAGATGTTCATTTTATGTTTTGTGACAAACTGCAGAAGGAGATGGCTCAAAAATTTACGTTAGTTGCATTGCTTTCCGGGACCCAGTCTGTAAAGATATTTGTGAGGCATATGGTATCCCAGCAAACTCATTTGCAGATAAATGTATTTGTCTTGTATCACGCTACCCCAGTTTTAGTGTGCTTCGGGATGTACTGGAAGAATTGTTTAATCTCTGCTTTTCTTCCGTTGGAAGCAGGTTATGTTCTAAATCTCTCTTGATTTTGTCATTTTTTCTACTCCCTTATTCATGTTCCCTATGCTTCTCTTTTTTATCGTTTACTAACAGCAGTAGGTGCATGACTTTATCCTTATATTTTTTATGATGTGGATGTGTACACTAACCATCAAAATGGGTATGGATATCAATCATGGCATATATTAGAAGAAAGATACCAGCACACACGTGTATGATCAAACAATATGAATTAGTGCAAAGATAAGACTGATTACAATGTGGGTGATGATCGCCAAAAAAAAAAGAGAATCTAGTGCTCAGTAGGATGCGGCTTACCTTTTTTAGAGTTCTAATGTATACAATGTTCAAACCGTAGGAAATAATGAGGCATTTTTCCTGAAAGTCAGATCTGAAGTGGAGGATATGTCATGGAAGGCAATCCTTGTGATCAGATTGCTCTCTTTATGTCGAACATGAATACTTCCTTGAATGTCATCAGGAGTCATATTGTCACTTTGTTTATTGGGGAGTCATTTTCATTGAAGCTTTGGATATGCTACAGCACAAAATAGGCATGTAAAATATCACTGTAGTGAGGATCAAAGGTGATCAGAAGGTATGCTGTGTCTAATCTTGTTTGAAAACTGTTGTGCCATTTGAAAAGCGAGACTTGATAGATTTTTTTGAAGATAATTTTTTCGCAAAGGCAGTGATTATTACCGTATGTGGTAAAGACAGAGAGGTAAACCGTCTTTTCTAATGTAGGATATTATTTTTGATTGGGCGGTTTGCATGATCTTATGCATCATAGTGTAGATACGTCATCGTGCAAGTCACTATTCACTTTCTGAACAAAAGAGAATACATTTGATGTTTCTGTCCAACGAGAATTCTTGCCACACCTGATGCCTCTGCACCGTTTTCTCCCCTACCTCTTCACCCTTCCGTAACTGGGTGCAAAGATTTCAGTTTTGGCTTGTGATTTGACAGCCTCCAATGGAATCAGTGCCACTTTTTCGGTCCATTGTTACTGAGGGGCTATACTAGTTCTCTCAAACTAGTGAGCAAGTTTCACAGACATGAATCTGTCACTACGGATATAGAAGTCACATCTATGGTTAACGTCTGCAAGGACAACAATGAGATCCCATCCGTCTGATAAGCATAACTCTTCTGTTATGGATAATGGCATGAGTGATTAGCAATCTCTACATGTTGTTCGCCGGATCATGACCTGGGAGTGATCGATAAAATATTGATGTTTGATGAAGATTGTTACGTTTAAAAAATCACGGTAACTACATGAGTAGGGGACCCCGTGAGGTGTAGTGATTAAAAAATCAGAAAAAAGAACCAGACAGGTGTCGGCTGTTGCTCTTATGTCCAAGGTTGTTTCACAGTTTTTACTGCTCATGCAGGATTGGCTATATTTAACGAGGTTGTCATTACATAGTCCCTTTGCATTGACACAAAGTTAGTTGTCACAAACGAAAAGGTGGTACACCGGTTAATAATATTTTTGTAGAAATTGTTTCCATCATCACAATGCTAATACTATTTTATTTTATTTATTTTATTTTATTGTATTTACATCTCTATTAGTCTTTTAGGTATCATGGGCATAACTATTGCGGACACTTTTCTTAGGGCTTGCTTGAGTATTAAGCCATAGTAAACTTGGTGAGAAAGAGCTATTTTCTGTAACACTATTTAGAAGCCACCTGTTTTTTTCCTGTTTATGAACGTCTTTATACAAATTTATGAATGGAAACTATTGTTTCATACATCTATTAAATGGTATCCAGTCTATGAAAAGTGCTTTCTACACACTATACACTGTTTTCATTGCACTGTTTCTGACAGGGTACTTCTTTAATGCTATCAAGTACAGTTCCTTATTCTGTTCTATGCAGATATTTTTTTTGTAGCAGTTTACATGTTGTGCATCTGCCATACATGGAACTCACAACCATCATGAAAAACTTACAGCTTGCCGTTGTGGGATATCATAGCACATATGGTATCGAATGTTCCTCTTCCTACACCGGGAAAGGATCGAGTTTTATTTGCAATTGATAACTGCCTTCTCTCTGTGGAGGCTCCACCAAAGGAGGGCCTTCCACATGCAGATGTAATGGAACTTTTACAAATATGGAGTTTCTTCTACAATTTTCGTATAAATATTTATGACAATCATAATTTTTCACCTGATGCAGATATCTTTTCAACATCTGATGCAATGTTTGGATGTTGATAACTTGATCAAGCTTTTCACGGCTGTTCTTCTTGAAAGAAGAATTTTACTTCGGTCAAACAAGTAATTTCCAGAAAATCCTATTTTTAAAAAACTGTGGTCAGATAAATAGACCTTGCCAATCGATTTGAATGATTATCCAATACTTCAACAAGGCTTTCACTAATATGCAGAGTAACTCGGTGAAGCTATTTTTTGGGATTAAATTTAAATTATCGAATAAGATTTTTTTATGCCTTCCTGCTTTAATTTAATTCTCATAACAATTCCATAGAGAATTTTTTTCATCCATTTAATTTTTTAAAACCCTTATTTTTACTGCCATTAGGGATTTTGTTTATTTTCATCATGGCATGATGCTATTTCTACTGAGTAATGGTAATGCATTTCCTCCCTACTTTTTGACTCATTATAAAACACATTCTTACGTTGAAATCAAGTTTGCATACTTCATGTTTGTCAATGGAATATAATGTGGAATAACTGGAGATCTTTTTCTTGTTCCTCAGGTACGCTCTTTTAACTCTAGTTTCGGAGGCTATCTGTCATTTGATATATCCATTTAGGTGGCAGGTAAGTGCAAAGTTATTTCAACTAGAGAGTGCATATTTTTTATCAGTTAATCAGATTATTATTGTTTTTTAACTTTAATCAGGTACACATTATATCGTTATTATGATTATTTTCTTCTGCGCTTACGAATTTCTTGGCCTCTTTGCATGTCTCATTAAAGTTTTTCTGTGATTTTGCAGCATGTGTATATACCATTACTGTTTTTCAAGGGGGTAGAATACATTGATGCACCTACACCATACATGATGGGGCTTCATTCTGGTGTTGACACATTTGGTCTCACGATGGACGGTGTAAGTTAGTTTTATTTGTCTGGCTCTAACTTCTGACGTCAAATTCTCACACCTGGGACCGACTAAACATCTATTTTCAACTTTTTGCTAGTAGTTTACGATGAATATCTCATCACAGTATTTTGTGATGCATACTTTTTTATCTCATCTTGTCACGGTACATCTTAGAAAGGATCTGTTGTTTAGTTGCCATTAAATCCTGGTGCAAAAAAAGTTGCATACATTCTGACTGTGAATTAAGACCGAAACATTGATTGTCCCCTGTATCAGAGTATAGTGTTAATGCATTCTTCTTAAGAGTGCTGATAATAGTAAGCAGAGCGGATTCTTACTCTCGAACTGTTATCTGTTATACAATATATTATGATATTATAAATGTTAACGATGGGAAAACAGGTTGCTGTAGTATTTACTGTCATATGATTAACATATGTTCAATTGAAATTATTGTCATATCACTTGAAGTAATGTGAGAAAACAGCTTGTTTATTTTACTACTGTGACAAGTTTCTTTCTCAGAGTTGATCAACCTTCATAGTGTGCAGGACTTATGTTTATCCTCAACCATTAGATGAAATGTGTGTTCCATTTTGTCCATTTTCGAAGGAGATACTGCGAAATTTCAATGCTTGATGACAAAGTTTCATATAGGATTTCTCCTGGCATGCGTTTTCGGGTATCACATCATCTTCACTATCATCATTAATTACTGCAGGTCGTTATTGTGGATCTAGAGTACAATCAGATCACTATAACGGAGGAAATACCACCTGTGCCAGAGCCTGAACTAGGTTTTTTACGTGGCGAGATAACTAGATTGTTGCATCCAAAGATAGTTCAGATAGATCAACTGAAGAAATCTTCAGGCAATGTTTTTGATCTGCATGGTAAGGGAAGCAGCAGACCTTGGGGGCAAGAGCATGATATTCAACTCAGGTGATATAGATGAAGAAAATCATTTTTAAGCCATTTATTTATTTCTTCAAAATTAAATGTCCAAGATGTAACCAGCATAAATTTTGCATGTCTGCTGCAATATTTATGTTTCAGAGTTTTTATTTTGACTGGCACATAATCGTAATGCAGTTGGTTCTTTGGCTAACATCCCGTTTTTGTATAAAATCTTTCTGTTACCTGGGGAAATAATCGAGGCGTGTTTCTTTATTACACTTGGATAAGCTGCACAACTTAGTGCTACCTTCTTAACCCCTCGCTTCCAGAGAAACTGGTTGATCACAGAAATTGTGCTATCAATTTCTGGTACCACCTTGAAAAAGGTTGGGGCGATAGTTGTTTGCCAGTTCCTTTGGACTCTTCATTATATATAGCAGTTCCTAAGTTGATTGGATAACGCTCATGATCAATCACAATGATGACGGCGTTCCTGTCCATCACCTTATGTAGAAATGCCATTGTGTTTCATTTAGTGTTGCAATTCAATGTGGAGAAGGGTGGCCATGCCATTGCAATAACAGATTTACACTAAATGCATTTCTTTCTCATCGTGATGCAGGTTGATATTTCTTAAATTTTTCGCCTCACTTTTGAGTGGATACCGTAATTTTATAGTGAGTTTCTCCTTCATAATTTGATATTTTCATCCACGTTTGAAGAATAAACTCTGGTATTTCTGTTGATCCAATCCCTCTTTATCAGGAAAATAGTGCAACTCATGTTTTTAACTCTCAAGCATTTCTAAAGAAACGTGCTCGCTCGACTAATCAACCACCCGAATCAATGACAATGGTATTCATTTAGATTAACTCTTACTTTGAACCACTTAATGTTTCATGTCATCATTTTCGATCTGCTCTTTCTCTTCTTGATGTTTATAGTGCGTTTTTCTTAGTTGTATGTAACTGAATACTGGTAAATGTTACTTGCTTGATATATTTATATGTGACCTCTCAGTTTGTTGTTCTGATACTGTTGTGAAATAATCTTAAGGAAAATCGTGCTCTATATTAAGGAAAATGTGTTGTGAGCTGGCACGTGACAATATTATTACAGGAGTGCCCATATACTTGCACATCTGAAACTTCAAAAAGGAAGAGTTTCAGGAATTCCATGTGAATTGTTAAAAGAAGAAAGCCTAGGACCAGGTGAGATATTATGTTCCTTACATACAAACTTAGTTTCTTTTCTACCAGGAGAGGCATCTTAAATTTCATGGTATTCATAAATATTTGAGATACACCTGTAGATCCTGTTGTGATCTATGGGAAGAGCATCATAGACAAGACTATGACTGATTACTATGGGTGAATAGATCCCGTGGGCTACTTGACTGCCCTTTTGGAAATTTAACTGTTTAAGATACTCATCTGGAAGAGTTCCAACATAGACCGTGTATATTTTACCACCTGAAAAGACAACGGTTTTGTCACCCACAGGTCACATAGCTAGTAATTCAGTTTTTAGAAACCAAAATCGTCTGAGAAAAACCTTTGTTTGCCTCGTGATTTGGTAGTTAGAATCTATACAAATTTTTAAGGGGTTCTTGTAGGATCCTTGGCCATGATTCTGGAATATTTAAAGCGGAGTATCTATTTTTCTGTGTAATCTAACTTATGCCTGGGCATCATTTCTGAAGTTCCCCGTATTTATTATCAATCATCGGAACAAGTTTCTAAATCTTGTAACAGAAAAACTATGGTCATTTAGTGTAAATCCCCTGCTGTCTAGAAATCCTTTCTGAAATAGTTCAGAACGGTATTTTGACACTATTTAGAGAAGTTCTGAGAATCACAATTCATCAATGTTAATTAAAAGATAAAACATATAATAGTAAATTGTGATTTTCTATTCATATCATAAAAAAGTATTTTATTCTTTCTGGTCCATTTGGGATTTAGTATTCCAAATGCATCCATATCTGATTGAGTCCAGCCAGTTTGTGTGGCATGATGTATTTATTGGATGAAGCACTTGACTAAGCCTGCTGCGTTATGCTGAAAGCTAGATTGTTACAGTCCTACATCTGCTCGGAAAATAATATGTTATGATTAAAATAAGATAATTTGCCAATCTTCTGGTGAAACCTTAATATCTTTTTGTATCTTCTTGGCAAGCAAGTGACATGACCCCACACAAACACTTCTATAATATTTGTATATCAAAAAGCATGCAGTGAAATAAAATGCCTAATGCTTAATTATTATTTTTTCACGTCAATGACAAGGATGTAGTAAAACATGACATGCCCTTAGGCCACTCTGACTCCATATTTTGGTTCGTTTTGTGTCTCATCTAAAAAATCTTTGAACTGCTTATCAAGGAAAGCAGTAGATTGCAGTTGATGTGGAGAAAACAGGAAATGGACCCAAAGCGTCACCTTTGTGGAGTATGTATTTAGAAAAAATAGAACTTGATGTTTTCAATGTTACCGTAACAGTGTGTGATTTTGATTTGGTTATGGTCACCTAGACTGAATCTAAATCAAGGCCTCATGGCATCAGCAGATTTTTAGGCCATTAAGCACGAGAGCATCCTCGTCATGTTGGTTTTGTCCCAAAAATTTTCTAGTGCTTTAGTTTGTGCCTGCAACATGACGAAATCTTAAACTGAACTTTGAAATGAGTGCCAATGTTACCTAAAAGAAAAGTTGGCTACTTGAAGTTAATTTTATTTTTTTTACTTTGGTGGAAGCTACCTCCTTCAGAGAAGTTGATTAAGGATCTGTAGTTTTCAGTTAGTTGCTAGGAACGGGCACATTAGTAAATTACCTCAGGAATTTTCCATGATACAGTGCTACTTCACGACTTGTGAAGGATTATTTCTATTTTTAGAGTTGATAGACTTAGGCACTAGTCTTTTTTCTAGAAAGATAGATATTTCTCTTTATGGCATTCCCCATTTTTTCAGCATTCCGTTGTCATCTACATCAATGAAACAATAATCGTCCTTCTGGTTCTTTTCACTTCCGCCAGATATCACAGTTTCTCGATTCACAAGGTTTTTCTGACTATGTGGAGAGAGTTGCGACTTCAGATGGTAATTTCAATCTTCTTCACAAGTTACAAGATGCAATTGGGAGAGGTCAAAGCCCTGCTGCTATTCTTCCTTCTCAAGGGGAACTAGAGATCATAACTATATCAGATCCTGAAGTTGGTTCAGAAGGTGATATGCTGATGCCTTCATTTTGATTAGCACTCGGTGAAACTTTAGATAGTGTTGTATAAGACGTTATTGCTCTCCAATGCTCAGCACTGTTTTATTTTTTATGAGTGTTTGTCTTGACCGATGTGCTAGATAAAGTTGAAGTCTAACTTATAACTGTTTTGGTAGTATCATTTGGTAAATCCTTGACTAATGATTTATTTATTTATTAGGATCTGGTGCTAAGTACTGTTATGATCGTTTCCCATCAAATATTAGAACGGAAGAGCAGGAAGAAGAACGTAGAGTAATTCTGGCAACAGCAAGTGGGAACATTGACCACTCAGGAAAGTATGCTCCCAGGTATGCTGTACCAGCAGCTTTCAGATACCGTAATCCGAATAATAAAGCCAAAGTTTAACCAGATCATTTGATTATACAAGTGAGAATATTCTTCCCAGTAGATTTTGACATTGGCATCTTCCTACCCCTTATAATCTCAACCCTGAACGGAAATTAGCTAGCTTTGTGTTTGATTGGGTTACGTGAGCAATTTTTTTGCCAGATTTTCTTTCAGTGATCTCAAAAACTGAGTTAACTTTTAAGTACTGTGCGGCCTTTGTTCCTTTGTACGATTGTCAGTTCATACTGAAGCATGCATAGTATTTGAAACCTTAAATGTAAGTATCCCACCATCTCCTTCATCTATACCCTGCCGTTAAGTGATTCTAAGATACATTTGTGCGTATGAGACCAATGATTCTATTCAATGAATTATTTTTTAGAAACATTTCATGAATTCATTGAGACCCACTTAATTCTGTCTTTCAGCTTACCTTCTCTGGCAGTAGGCCTGGATCCAAGGGCAGAAAGTCTTAGCCCCAGGGAGAGAGCTGTGAGTTTTTCTATCAGTAAAATTTGTATATTTCTGTACGTATCTAGTTCTTGAACTGTGCTTGTGGCTGACAGGCTGAGAGGGAAAGAATGGTCTTGGACATCAAAGTAAAGCTACAGGTAAAGTCTTTTATGTTTAGCAATGAATTGGAACGCTAGCTGCATGTTATGTTGCAATGTAATTTTATAGGGAAGCAAAAGAAAGAGTGCAATCGAATTCGTCTTTTGCGCTACCAATTCTTGTATCTTCGTATCAATCGGTTAATAACATTGGTCCCTACTTCTCTCGAAAGACATCGAATCTACCTACTACAAGGATGTAGTCCTATTCTTTTCATATTTTTGCAACATGTAAACTCTTATTCTAACATACTACAAGGATGTGCGACACAAAATGAGTACGTCTGCATTTTTCTATTTTTGCCTTTATGCCGATATTCGGAAATATGCGCAGGGAACATTGATTATTTGGTTTGTGATCCTGGCACACGTTTTGGTGATTACTCCATATATGCTTGGAATTTGATTTTTGCCCCTTCCCATCTATCTGACTCTAAACAATTAGTTTTTCTATTTTATTTGGTAGTTAAATCTCATTTTCAAAAGTTACGAGTTTGTGGTCCTCAGGACTGGGAAAGAGGTGGATTTTTTTCAGTTTGCTTGGGGGGGGGGCGGCTTCTACTGACTATTGTGCAGTTCTGAATATTACGGTTTTGTCGTACTCTGAATAATTAAACCTAACATGATATGATGTAGATCATTTGTCATTGTGTTAGATGGTATTGGCTTTGTAATCCTAAGAGAAATCCACAACTTTAAGTGAAAAGGATTTTGGTCCCATTGATTATTATGGAATGAGCAACAACAATTGCTCTGTGATGGTATTTACCTTTGTTCTCAGCGTGAATTCTTTTCTAGAATTACTGGTCGAAATTTTATGTTTTAAATTCTAGAAAGTTGTTTATGAGCCACGTGAAAACTTTTTGATGTTATTAATTTTCTTACTTTGATATTTCTGTGTAAATGAGGTCCCTTCCGCTGGTCATTGTATAGGGTTTGTGGGTGCGTCTTTTGAAGCTTGGTGCGACTGAGGATCCGCTCTCATCTTTTGAGTATGGCACAATCCTTGGTATGATTCGTAATACTTCATCTTGCGTAGCATGCTGTGGTTTCAACTGCATCCAATAGCTAGTCTGCTCTAGATTTTCTGGATAAATATGTTATTATCTCATGATCCACATTTTGTCTCACAGCTTTAATCGAGTCAGATGCAGAAGGGATTGGAGGGAGTGGGTTTGTTGAGTGTATTAGGGAACACATTCATTCGGTTTGTATAGTTTGGAAAAGTTCTATTGAATAATCGTCCTTACGGGATTATTCTTATTTATTTTTAACATTACTCTTAGGGATGGCAATGCCGATTGACAGAGGAGCAATTTATTGCAGTCAGGGAACTCGTAAGTTTCGTGACTTTCTTACCCTGTGATATGTTTATTTCCAAGTGTTGGATTTCTAAATCTTGATGTACTGTGTATGGGGATTCACACCATGGGGATGGTCATCACAGGAACTTCTAGTCTGAGGGTATATTGGGAAAGATCACGTAGGGTTATCTCCCTATTTATGGGGTGATAAATGTCAATATAAAGTGAGATGGTTTCCCGCTCCTTCCCTGTCCTCTCAGTCAGAGGAAAGTTCTCCACACCGTCTATTTCTCTCTTTTTGTTTCAACACCAAGGTGTGACAGTTTTTTTGGATCTTCAGAAATTTGGTTATTTGTTTTCTAACCTTCTTAGTGCATTTTTATCAGTTTCACTGATTGATATTTTCCTGAGTTAACTTGAATTCTACTTCGTTATGGAATACTTCCTGAGGGCCTTTTTCTTTCTTCGATCCTAAAATATATTATGGGGTCTAGACAGATTCTTAGTTTATCTGAACTGTGAGTCCACTACTCCAGGTTAAAGTTTCATGCCTCTACAGCATTCTGATAAAAAACCTGTCTAACTTTCACTGGACACAATCTTCAGGATTCGATTTCCCTTAGTTTATTAGAGTTAACTAGTCTTGTAACCTTGAAATACTACCTTGTTATGTTCCTTAGAAGTTTTCTTTTTAGTTGATTGCTCCTTTAAAAGGTAAACTTAATGTTTTCAAAAGAATCTGCTTCTTAGTATTTGACTCTTCTTTCAGGGCCAACTTCTTATTTTCGTTAGGTTTCTTGTTGGTGAGGTTTATTGTCTTATTAAAGAGAGACATGACCCTCATTGTCGGCTTGTTGAATTATTGTGACGAAATATTGTTGATTTCTTTTTTCTTTTTCGATGCTTAAGTGTACCATACTCGTGTGCTTTAATTCGCTTTTTTCCTCCTTTATCACTTTGATGATCCATGCTTACCTCTGAACACTTTGCGGTTCTAAGGCTTACAAAAACTTTCATGATGAATTGGTTGGATAGTCAGTATTTGCTTGTCATTGTTGGTGGATCATCACTGCATGTGGAGATAGAAATGAGGAAAATAATCCGGTTCGTCGTCAGATCAGCATGCCTTGGTAGTCATGTGGAGATGTAGTGAGGGATACTTGAATTACCAGTTCCTCATGTCTTCTTTTACAGATTAAACGCAAGAACTTCCGCATGATACAAATTAGAACTCCGGTTTGGACTCATTTATGCTGTCATTCATGGGTTTTTTGGAAAAACAACAGTGGAAGGAGAATGACGAAACTGTTGGAAGAAATTGTAAATAAGTCCTAAATTGTATTTTTCATTATCAATACCTTCTTGAGGCTGCCTCTTCAAATTGCCACTTACTACCTGCTTCATGTTGAGCGATTCTGATCAGATATCACTTTTATGAAAGATATTTGAATCTTTGGTTCCCTTCAGTTTTGACTTAAATTAGTCCAAGCCGGAGTTCATATCAATAGTCCCTTCAGAGTGACATATGGTCACTCTTTTGCACTTAATGATCCCATATATATTTTTCTCCTAATTTTATCACTATATACTGGATTTTTTATTTATCTGTCAGATCCTGTGAGTTTTTATTTCTGTATATAAACATGTATATCTTATGTGGACTGTTGGACTAATAATGTATCCAGCTCAAGACTGCAATAAGTCGTGCTGCATCACGAAATGACTTGGCAACAATAAGGGATGCGCTTGAAGTTTCGGCTGAAATGTATAAGAAAGATTCAAATAATGTCCCAGATTATATACAACGCCAGCTTATAAGTCTATCTATATGGGATGATTCACGGTAAGTCTTGTAGAGCGCTTGCTGCTACTTTATGTAAAGAACAATTTATCGCTTTCTGTGTTAGGAGTGTTTTATTTAGTTAGACACTTGATTAGACGTCAAATCACTGAGATTATGTAATGTTTTCAAAACATAATCATATATGCTCGTAATTTGTTTGTTTCTTCAATATAGTAAACTTCTGACTTGAAATTTTTCATCCTATGTCGATGACTATTGAGAACCATCTATGATACCTTTATACCATTTATGAAATGCGTTTGGAGACATTTTAATACATTAATTGATGCAGTAAACTATGTGCCAGTATAAAAGTCGAAATTGGTCCATAGCTTGGAAATATTTTAAAATTTGTTCATTTGCTGTATTTGGTCCTAGTTTCACATTTCGTTGCTATGATTGTCGATTAGGAACAACCATTCTCATTGCTGTGGAATGGAATCAGTTCTTATTTTTCACCAGAGTTAATAGGATTGGACAGTGTTATGGGGTATTAAGCTGAAAAATCACCTAAAGTTTTTCAAAAATTCATGTTCTTTTAGTTTTTTGTCGAACTGAATTCTATTTCGTTGTTTTTTTTTCTGTGGAATACAATTATCTTAGTTAACTGCCCAAATTGATGTTTCCTTATCTGTTCTCTGTTGCAGTTTCTGGGAAGCCTATTTTGAAAACTTAATGGAGTGCTCCTCGAGCAAGTATGGAACCAGTTTTTCTTATATTTCTTTGGTTCTCTTGTATAAAATTCTTAATCTACCTTAGAGGTACCTTTTTGACAATTTCAGCAAAGAGTAAATACTGTGGCACAGAAATTTTTTAACACGAATAAATAATAACCCTTCTGTAGCATATATTTCCTATCATATCATTGTTAGTAATGATGAAAATACACCACAATAGTACTTACTCATAGCGTTAGCCTTTTCATCAAGCTATGTACTCTAATGTAATTCTCGGATATATTCATTTCAACTCACATTTTGTGTTACATTTTCTGATTGCTCAGCTGATATATGCTGAAATTTATTTTCCTAGATAATATGCAGGTCTTTTTTTACGTAATGATTGAACTAACTACACTTTCTGGAACCTGTAACTGTATACAACATTTTATATGTTTCAGATCGGTCAATTATGTCATTCTTGTGACTACCCAGCTTTTTATTGTGGCATCACACATGGTAATACTTTTTATGGTCTTTTTATCATCAGGGTTTGGATATCTATCCAAATTTTAATTGCCTCTCCAGTACTAATCTTTCATCTTTGTTTCATCATGGAGGCTGGATTGGGAATTCCTGACAATGATGCATGGAACGTTATTGAAACAATTGGAGAGAAAAATAATCTTGGATTTAAGCAACTTGTGAGTCCTTATTTGTTATTATTAACTTTAATCATAGTATTCATACCCGTAAGTACTGATACCACTGATTTGCTTCCAGATCAAACTTAGAGGATTGCTGTCGCATATTCAGCAATTGCGGATTGGCTATTGGGGATTTTCAGCAGGGAAGGTCCAGTCCATTCTCTCATATGGTTTGCCATCCCCGCGTCCACAGGATGCCACAGATGAAAGCCAACAAACTACAGAGGCATCTGGAGTGGGGAGGAGTTGGGTGCAGAGTATGTTCAGCAGAGATGCAGCATCAAGAATTAATTCACTTAGTCGAGCTCGTAAGTGGACCTATGACTTCAGCAATTCTATTCTTGTTAATTGATATTTTTCCTAATTTTTCAAGGGAATGCTTGATAATTTATATCCTCATGTAGTTTCATATTCTGCTAGACTTTTGCATTTTCATTTCATTATTCTTATTCCTTCTTCCTATTTCATTTACTTAAATTTCACATGTTTCGCTGTTTCATGGATTTTGTAGATTACCGGTTCATTTTGGATTTTTACATTATAAACCTGAGTCTTGGCCAACCAGTGTTTCCTAGCGGCTCATTAATTTATTGTCTAAGTCTCCATTTCTCAATAACTACCCATTAAGAGCCATGACCAAGTCGAGATTAGTGTAAGCCTGATATCTCGCTGGAAAACTCTACTCAGAGCATATGGCACTTTTATATCCAAACCCAATAAGGATTATGATGATGATGACAATAAGGATTATTTTCATTTTCAATACCGTTACTTTCTGTGTTTCTTTTGTCTTTTATTCTTTTATGCAAATGTAAATATCGAAACTAATAGCTTTCTTTGATACCAGAGCTACCCTCTCCTGTACAGAAGAAAATTCAATCTAGTGTTCGTATTCTGAAGGGTCATTCAGGTGCTATTACCGCACTTCACTGTGTAACAAGAAGAGAGGTTTGGGATCTTGTTGGTGACCGTGAAGATGCGGGATTTTTTATCAGTGGAAGCACTGACTGCACGGTAGTTTGAAGTTTGATGTTAACTTTCCTTACATTGTTAGTTATTTTTTCTTCTTGGACTCATGAAAAGGCTTCTTTTTATCTTCTCTTTGATTCACACCTAAAATTTTATGTATTATCTAATATCACGAAGAACAAGTGGCTGTTCCGCTGTAGTAAGCCCCTGGTTGAAGTCAGAATCCAGTTTGAGTGCTCAAACTCCTATGATATGAGGGAGTTTCTGAAAATATCATTTCTGCTACCCCACAGTTCGTAACATCACCCACTGGCCATCCTGATATGAGGGTGGTTCCTGATACCTTTTTTTATGTGGTCCAGAACTTTGTCCCAATATTTATGCTATTGATTGCAATTTTCTTTTCATTTCAGTAGGGGGGAAACCTGTTGAAATAAAGACGGCTAACCAAATTCATTATAATTATCTCATTTACTTGATACTGGCTTCTCATTGTCTTTGGTGCATAATTTGACTTTCATTGCACTGTTAACCAGTGTGTTTCATTACGGAGTTTGGCACCCATACTCCCCGTTTTCAGGAATTTTTTTGGGGGCATGCTACTATAATATTCACATGGATCAGGTTGCCCTGGTATCCACTGTATTTGTGTGTTTGGACCATGGATGTAGGAAGAGCATAACTATGGAATAATCCATGTTTTTGTGTGTCTGGTCCTCACTTCTTCTTTCTTTGTTTTTTGCTCTCTATTCTATCACCTCATGCTAATGATAAGGATCCCACCCCTAACATGATGCATGCATTTTTCATGATTACAGGTTAAAATATGGGATCCTAGTCTTCGAGGTGCTGAACTCAGAACAACCCTCAAAGGGCACACGAGGCGGGTGAAATAATTTTTCGCTTCATCTTTTCAGTTATCATTAGTGTCCACTTAGCATTACACTCCATGTGTAATGCTGATGTTTATTTCCACTTGGTTAAAACAATAGTACATCATTTGTTTCTTTTCACTGCAGGCCTATTCGTGCTATCAGCTCTGACCGTGGTAGAATTGTATCAGGATCTGATGACCATTCTGTAATTGTTTGGGATAAGCATGTATTCCAACCTCTTGAGGAATTGAAAGGTCATGACGCTCCAGTAAGATTCCATCACCACTATAGCCTTTCTGAACTTCTTCCATTTACTATTTTTATCATTTAGAGAAATGTGGAGTTACAAGTATTTTCTTATAGATTCATTTCTTCTCTGTGAAAGACTTTATTATGAGTAGAGTTGGCCTTTGCATTTCAGACAAGGATTGAATTTTTCAAAATTGATGTCATTTTAACACGGCTACTCAGAAGCGGACATATCATTCTTCTAGTCTCTGCACATAGCTGAGGGGCATAATCTGAACGCTTATATCATCTGAAGTTATGGTTCCAAATCAAATTAGTATGGCTGTTGTTAATTGAAACTAAAGAAAGTGTCGCAGCAATATTCAGGGACTGGCAGATTTTGCTCTGAATGTGCGAGACATGTAGGAAAGTGAGAGGCTCTCCAGTAATATTTCCATTGCATTGTAGACGTTCTTAATGTGGAGTCTTCGTCAGGTTATTATTATAGCACTTTTATGTGCAATGTGAGCTTGTATACATTTACAGCCCCCATTTAAGACCAAAAAAAAACAGTTGTTAACATCTACTTACGGTTATGGTGAAGCATATTGCTTACTGAATGAATTCTCACTTCCGCTATCTTGTTTTAATTTCCTTCCAGGTTAGTTGTGTACGGATGCTTTCAGGAGAACGTGTACTAACTGCTTCTCATGATGGTACCGTGAAGATGTGGGATGTAAGAACTGATACTTGTGTGGCCACTGTTGGTCGCGGTTTAAGTGCCATTCTCTGCATGGAGTATGATGACTCTACTGGAATCTTAGCTGTTGCGGGAAGAGATACGTATGAATATATGAAATTTGTATTTCCACTTCTATGGATTTGCTTATTTGCAAGTTAATGAATGTATTAAAGCTACAAGTATTGTGTTGTCAGGGTGGCAAATATCTGGGACATTCGTGCTGGAAGGCAGATGCACAAGCTTCAAGGACACACAAAATGGATCCGGTAAAACGCGGGACACAAATGTTCATTGTTTAGTCTCTCTCATACTTTGGATTCCACTCACTTGTGGAGAATTTGTCGTGCAGGTCCATAAGAATGGTTGGTGACACTGTACTAACTGGAAGTGATGATTGGACTGCTAGAGTTTGGTCTATTTCTCGTGGCTCATGTGATGCAGTCCTAGCCTGTCATGCTGGTCCCATCTTATGCGTGGAACATTCTCCAGCTGATAAAGGCATAATTACTGGTTAGTTACTTCCCATTCTACTGAAATTCCTTTTCCTTCTACTTTCAGAGAATTGTTATTTTTTCGCCCTAGATAAAGAGTTTGAGTTGCTTGAACTATTTTCTAGTTTTGAACCTGTATAATTAGACATCTGGTGCAATCACTTCCAGGTTCCATTGATGGGATTCTCCGCTTCTGGGAAAATGAAGAAGGTGAAGTGGCTCTTTTTTAATTTATTAATTTCTGAGAGAGATAAATATGATTACATTTTCATGTCGCCAAAAGTTTACCTTTTGTCGTCAGATTGTCGCAGGCATCATTCTTGTTTCCTCAGTATCCCATCTTGGTTAAAGGATTTACCTATGCTTTTCATTATATTGTGCATCTTTATAAGATAATCATCATTCATCATGTCTGTACATCAGAATGCTTTGCATATCGCACCTTGTCTTGTTGAGTATTGTTGCGGGTTTATTGTGCGGTCAGAAACAGGTGATGAAACCGTTGCTAGTCAGAATGAACAACGGTCACTTTCAATAGTGCAATAACTAGCTTCAGCATCCATCAACATGGATGATGTGTTTCTCACCATTGAGGGTTAATGTCTATCATTAAAGATGATTACGTGGAGAAAACCTTACTATTGATCAGTATGCGCCTTTTTGTGCTGCTTGCTTGAGCTCCTCGCCATTCTATCCCTCACTTTTTGCTAGTGCTGGGGTGTCTCATCATGATTATTACATTCTAGGTGCCTCAGCCACAAAGAGAGATATGATAAATTAAGTTTTCTGAGAAAAGAATGACCTGCGAGGATTTTGAGATATTTAACTCCCAAAGGGCCGTGAACTCTGAGTAATCTTATCAATAAAGCATAAAGGTAAACACTGACGGCCATACGAAAAAAAGACAACAAATAAATTTTTCAAATGCGTTAGCAACGGGGTCAAATTTGAAAAATTCAGCTGGCATGGAGATTCTGTGGGTGTGAGGTCATATCTGATGGATGGACCGATTGGTCAAGAGAGCTTAGTTATGACCTATTCGCTTTAGGAAAAATAGTAAACGCTGAATTGTACAGAAAACGGTGAGGAATGACTCCCCTTCCCCCAGAGTCTTCATGGAAAAACGCAGCCAGAAATATGAGTAGAATAACTCAATCTATGGGCTGATTTGTCCTGGAATCTTCCAATTCTGGAGATATTCCCTGATTGTTGGGCCAAGCTGGCTAATCGCGTCAGATCACGAGTGTTGGTATTGAGTATGAATGAGTTGTTTATTTGGCGGAAGTATTATGTAATGTTAAGTATGTTTTTTTCTTATTTATCCTCTGCTTGTGTAATTTAACATGACAATAAAGATTCTGTGAAGCACTCTCCCATATTGAATTGCACTATTCACTGTCTGAATTATTAAATTGTCTTGCACTTGTGACATGAATGTGAAAACTGTTCTATTTTTTCACTCATCAATGCTGTAATAACGGGCAGATGTCAGGTTTCATCCACTGAGGTAGAAAATAGCATTCTTAATTTGCAGTCGATTTCATCCATATGTTGATTGTGCTGGGGTATACTGTTCTTTCTAACTGCAGGACGGATAAAATGTACGAAGAATGTCACCATTCATTCTGCTTCTATTTTGTCCATCAATGCTGGGGAGCATTGGCTTGGGATTGGAGCATCAGATAATTCCATGTCTCTCTTTCACCGACCTCAAGAACGATTAGGCAGTTTCTCCAGCACAGGATCGAAGATGGCTGGGTGGCAGCTGTACAGAACTCCTCAAAAAACTCTGGCAGTGGTATCTGACATACTATTATCCTTTCTTTCTTTTTGGCGTGCATTTTAATGAAATCTAAATGCAATCATTACTAGGATTCATATCATCTCCCTGTTTCATTGTGAATCCTATAACATTAGGAAGTAACTTCATTTTAACGTATGATGGGATCAAACAATTCCAAGCTAAAGTACACGTACCCTGATCTCTTGGATTAGGTTTCCTCTCCTCTGACTGGTTTAAGTTGGCTGGGCCTTTCTATTTCCAATGTTTTTTTTTTTGTATTATTTCCTGAGCTTAAAGGCTTGCCTGGCTTATTTCGCATAGCTTTGATGAAGAAACAGGCCAATTCAATCTGCTTTACTTGAAGCAAAGTCTGCTAACTCTGTCTTCTCTAGGTTTTTCGGTTGATGTATCAAACCACGAGCTTACACTCTTGAGTAATTTAAGCCTTGCAGCAAAAAAAATTATGTAGCTTGCACTAACATTTGAACATGTTTATCCTTGGTATATTTCACATCCCCAATATTGAACAGATTTTACGAAATATTGTCATGAAAAAAAATAAAATTGCAGTGACCTTCTAAAAGATGTGGCTTGAGGGATATAATCCTCATATTCTGGTTTACCTATATATATATATATATACACGTTGTTATGTGATAAAGAGAAGTATGTCTCAAAAGTTGCATCATATTCTATTGTGCATGTTATATTATATTAGGAGTTGATAACCTTTTAGGGCAACAGGATTGTCAAGGTCTCTGCGTGATCAAGCTTTTTAAAGCTTTATCAGTAGACATGTAAGGGGGAATCTAGAAGCTCTTAAGGGTATGTAATAGCTTTCTGCAGATGATTATAAACTTGGTAGTCTTGTTCCTCCTCCTTTCCCTTTTTATGAGTTTGATATTTTTAATAGCTCGACAAGGGGGAATCAGAATATTTTTATATGGATTTCTAACTTTGTCTTTGCCTGTGGTTTGGATAATACACCGAACAGATATCTTGATCTTTATCAGCCTCAGCTGATTGCTACTCGCAGACATCCTCCCTCATTCATATTTTGATGATCTTACCCAAGAACCACCACCACCACCGCATCTCTCGGCAAAGGGGAAGAAAAAAAAGAGAAAAAATAAGCTATTTAAGCACTTTAGTAGGGTAACTCATGGTCCAAATTAAAGGATCTTATTTTCTTTGACATGGTGGATGCCAAATCATGCAATATTTCATGCTTGCTGACTTGAAGAATCCCTTCTTCTACTGCTCATCACCGTGCTTTGCTGTTGCCATTCTAGGTACGGTGTGTGGCTTCTGACCTTGATAGGAAGAGAATCTGCAGTGGCGGCCGCAATGGACTTCTTCGCCTGTGGGAAGCCACCATCAACATCTGAGTGCTCCAACGATTTGGACTGGTTTTAAGGGTGAGACTTCAATCTTATGTCGATTATCATTTATTTATTTATTTATTTATTTATTTATTTATTTTGCTTAATCATATATTCAAGATACAGTAAAAAAAACTTTAAAAAAAATTGGCAACACTTGATAGAGACTTGATCAGCATCATGGTCCCTTTTCTGCCTTGAGATTTCTGCTGAAAATCCATGAATTATACCAGTAAAATCTTGATGAATAACAACAAGCCAATTATTTGCCCAATATGGATATGGTTTCAGATCTGCATTGATCCCATTTAAAGCTTGTTCTTCGGGATGAGGAGCTTTCTTCTCCTGGTATCCCTCTCGACTCAAGTACGGATTCAGATCCTCGGAGGGCTTCTTGGTCAACCATAAATTAATCAAGAGGATTTTTAGGCGTCCTCCTGGCTGCCGGTTATATACAATAAACGACGATTTTGTAGGAATTATCTTCCGAAGATGTTGGAAATAAGGCAGATTGCATGAGCTGACTTCTGGCTCTTTTCCTCTATAGCTCGTGGGTAATTGGGATCTCTGCTACCAAATTTTGGTCATCATTATTACATTACGTACTCAGAATGGGAATGAACCCAAACTCCATCTCTCTCTCTCTCTTTCTCAGAAGAAGTTGAAGTTCGCGGAAAGTAGACTTTCTTTGACTTCATGGTGATGGGACGCGAACGAGATAATTAAAAGGAATGTGATCGCGTTACATCGCATCGCGGCGTCCGCTGTTGACTCGCCAAGATCACAACGGGAATAATAATCCACCAAAGCCCGGGCCCGCGGTGTCCGCTGTTGACTCGTCAAGATCACACCGGGAATAAGATTCCACCAACAGCAGGGCCCGCGAAGTCCGCCGTTGACTCGCCAGGATCTCACCGCCCCGCCCCCCGTTTCTCCAGGACAGGAATCTGACGGAGTCCACCAGGACGCCATCCTCCGGGGAGGCGGCGCGGTCCAAGGCACATGGGAAGCTTCTTATTATCTCGGTGCCGCCAATCCATCGTCCACCGCGCTGGTGACGGCTTCCATGAAGGCGGCCTCGTCCCATTCGCCCACCTGCGTGCACCAACCAGATCACTAATCTGTCGTGATCACTCGCCATAACGATAAAACCTACAAGAATGAGGCAGATTTTATGAGCCGGTTGGTGGGTCATCCTCATTCCTTTCCTAGAGCTCGTGCTTTAAACCCTAAGATTTCCTGGATGTTGACGGGAGAACCTCAAAGTCATGTGGTATCTAATGGTCATGCAGCGTCATCTTCGCGTGTGAAAGGAAGAACACCCGACGAGGCGGCCAAACCAACCGCTCCCCAACGAATTCCATTGAAACAACGGAAAAAGTGTTTTGACCCTCCGTACCTCAATCTGAATTTTCAAAATGGCACGTCCGAACGGATTCCCATGGCGGGAGAAGCCGCGGGCTTCCATGGAGACGACGCTGAGACTTCCCATCTCCTTCAAGCGTCTGAGTACCCGGAGAAGAAGCCCCACGGCGTCGCATTTCACTCTCACGGTCACCCTCAGCTCTATCTGATGCCCCAATTGGGACGATGATGATTCCGGCATTCTGTTTACTCGGATCTCCACTCTCTCTCCTGAGGACTCGGCTTCGTCCGTGGGATCTTCCGGGGCCGTAAGGTGTGCCTCCAGCGCCCGGTTCTTCTCCTCGAGGCACGATATCTGTTCCCTCATGGCGTTCATGCAGTCTCTGGTGCCTGCAAGAACAGACACCCTGTCCTTCTGATAGGAAAATTCAAGATCGTATGAGTGAGTTCAACAGCGAAGAACAATCAAAATCATGACAATGCTCACATGAAATATGGGACTAACTGACGATGAGTTTAGTAAACCCATCTGTTCGATCGCACGACACATCTGTTTCAGCTTTTTTGTATCACGTCGGGATTACGAGAAGAGCACACGAATCAAAGAAGGCGGAGCAAAACTCGGATTATAGCGTGTCACATCGTTCATTTATGGGCAGCGTGACGTGATTTCGTTAATCTTTCAGCAGTGCAGCGGTATTTAGTGGCCACGCTACGTACCCTGGTATCCGGAGAGAGCAACGTCCTCAGTACAGCGAAGCTCTCGTTGAGCTTCTCCCGGCGCTTCCTCTCCGTCATCAAGTGGTGAAACTGGGTGGCGACGGGTCGGGGGCTTTCCTGAGTCCTTGTATAAGCTTTCGTGGAGCCGATCTGCCTCATGATGGCGAGGGCCCTCTTGATCATTCTCTGCCTGGGATAACAGCTGTCGGGGTCGCCCAACGGAGCGGGAGATGAGTTGTAGCGGCCGAAGGCCATCCCTTTGCTGCCCAGAGCCGCCCGCTGCGGCGCTGGTCTAGCGGAGGGTGAGGACGGAGACGAAGAGATGACGGCCAGAAATGCCGTGGCAATCGCCGCGTCGTCCTCCATCGGTGTGGGAAAACGCGGGTTACGCGCTCCCCCATATGAAAGCATGGCCACGTGGTGCGGCCTCGGAGTCGCAGCTTCATCCACGGAGAGCTGGTTCCGATTGTTCTTGAAGAGATCCAGAAACGACGGCTGCTGAGCGAATCCCTCGGAGAAGACGCTCATTATCCTCCCTTGCATGTCCATCTGCATCTTGCGAAATCACATTCAGCGATCTCGTGTTAATCAAGACCTTGGGGTAATCACGGACGGGATTGTAATATTCGCAAGGATTCTCTCACACTGGTGGCAGTAGATACTCCCAGTTCGATCTCCACGCCACCGCGGCTCATAAACACCGCGGTCTGTCGAGAGAGAAACGCCGTGAGCTCACGGTTGATGATTCATAGCTTTAGAAACACTCTCCAGACAAAGACCAACCTTAATCCCCGCTTCCTGTGACAGTAAACAGAGTCTACGGTTAAGCTACCAGTCAGTCAAGCGAAAACAAGGGGTTTTCCGCTCTCTCTCTCTCTCTCTCTCTCTCTCTAACCTGGTAGAATAGGCGTTGAGAAGGAATCCTCGCCGAGTTCATGAGTCGTGATGCGTCCACCTCTAAGTAGCCAAGTTCCTCCTTGAAGGCGAGGCCCGGAAGGCAGCTTTAGAGAATCAGTGACCTCCGGCCTCAGCTCGAAGAACCTTAAGGAGATTATTTCTATGCCACGAGAAAGATGGAGAGGGAACCAGATTACCCAGTTTCGACGCTGCAGATGGATCTCCGGTAAAGATCAAACAGCTGCCGGGCAGGGGCTTGGATCCCCTCGTTGAGCCATCCGTGAGTCGAAGCTAGACAACTGGTGCAAGAAACTCCGCTTACCGGAGAGTGTTCGCAGAGACCAGGAAGAAGACGATAATAGAGGGTAAGAGGGGAGAGAGAGAGAGAGAGAGAGAGAGAGAGAGAGGAGATGTACTCGGCTGGTCGGGGAAGATACGACCAGAGGCAGATATATACACATCCCAGAGCATGGCCAGCGCTGCGGAGAAAGTTGCTGGGGGAATCGTCTTGGGGAGAGAGGACGGCGTCCATGACAGTTTGGAACGATTTTTAGAGAGAGATCCAACATATATAACCGAATACATGAAAGAATGACGTCTCCGCCGCTTACGGGTTCGTCTTTCGTCCGCTTGGGGAGGTGTGGAATATAAGGTAGAAGAGAGACGGTACCAGTAGCCAGAAAAATATAGAGGTCTTGGTCAAATGTACTCGAAGAGACTATTCAAAGTCTTGCCTCGTGAGGGACGAGAGTCAAACGTAGAGGTACGAGTCTTCCTGTCCACACTTTTGAAAATCGCTTCCTTCTTCATGTCTTCGACAGCTACCAATCATTTTGACGCTATAAACTTGGAACGGAGACCCATTTTGTTCTTCGTTTTCATATTTGTCCTCATATCTAATTTTTAAAAATTTATGCCATCTAGAAGGTAAAAATGAGGGCATATATGTTCTGGCCATGGGCAGTCTTAAAAATACGTTTTAATGTCGAATAACCTTATTTTTTATTGATAAAAAACATCTAATTTTACAATAAATTTAATTATGAATCTGTAAAAGGAGAAAAAAATGAAGACCCAGGGAATAAAGAAATGCACTATAGATTTCATTCAGCAACTTGATAATGTGTGATTAATGATTATTTCTTGAAAAAAATCATGCAATTTTGTGCTTTTCTTAATTTTTTTGTTTTATATTTAGTTATTTTAAAAAAAATGAGCACTAGAAAAGTCACAGCTCACCAATACCTTATGAGAGTCTCATTTAACAAACGTCTTATGTTAAATATTATTTTGAGAGATTATTGATATCTCCATAGTGGAAAGAAGAGTAGCAACTTGTTCAGTTAATTTATATCTACAAAGAGAGAGAGAGAGAGAGAGAGAGTTTTGTTATTTTCAAAAAAATATAGTAGAAGATACGTGGCTACAAAATAATTTGGAAAAATGATCGTTTTAGAATGTGATTTAATTAAGTTATCTATTATCATTTTTTAACTCTGACATAAAAAGCAAAATGCTATTTTTGGTAATATAATAATTATCAGGATATGTGTTTTACTTATTCATATTCTATTTCTTTGCCTAAATTGGGCCAAGACAGAATCTTTTTTGGTGAATTAAAAATAATTTGAATTAATTAATGGGAGATTCTATCCCACTCTGGCAGCGAAAAACCAACGCTGATATTATCGGTACTATCATAAAAATAAGTCAAATTATTATTTTTATTATTTATTATCTGTTCTTCTTGCCCAAACTGGGACTTTCTCTTGAAGAACGGCCGATCCCACGGTGAAAAGAAAGCCGTTAAGACTGCAACGTCTGTGGAAAAGGTCGTCTTCTATCTTCATGGACTGTTGCTGATTCTCCTTTGCCTGGCGCCCTCACTGAGATAGTGAGGCAGGGAGGTCTCCCTGGGCCAGTGGGTTCCGTCCCGGACCCAACGCGGAGCGCATGGGCGTCATGGCGGCTGCTGGGTCTTCTCCCTTCTCACTCGGTCTCTCGCCTACCTTATCTTCTCCTCCAGCGGCCGCTCCCTCTTCCTCAATTCCCTTCTCGGTTTTTCGGTTCGGAAGATGCACACGAGGAGCCGCAGTCAATTCGCGGAGGCTTCATCTCCGTCGCTCCTTCCGCGCGCGCCTACTGCCCTGCGAGGAAGGCACAGAAGAAGAGCCCTCCTCCAGAGGAACGACGATTACGCCGAAGAAAACTCAGAAGCCCCGGTCAGATTTCTACGAGCAGACGGGGCGGTGGTCCGTCAAAGTGCCTTCTCAAAGGACGCGGTTCCCTTGGCAAGAGAAGGTAGCTGAGGTCGTGGAAGAGAAGAACCAGGAACCTTTTGTCCCTGCTCGCTCGCCGCGTAAACCGTTGGTGGCCGAAAATGGGTCATCTCCGATGGCTCGACCCGTCCGCAATCATCAGATGGGTCGCGTGGTTTCGACTACTTCGCCTCAGGGATCCAAATCCAGAGGAGCATTGTCTTCTTCGACGAGGACTGTTTTTAAACAGGATAGTAAGGGTTCGAAGACTGGTTCCGCAGCGCCAGAGGTTTCAATTCGACACAGCGAAGATTCGAACGAAGGCCAGCGTTCGGCGGATTCTGATAGTGGAAAAAGGACCACTCCCAATGATTACCCAGACTTTCTCTCTCTTCTCATGGATGAGATCGATGTGGGTGGTGAGCCGCCAGCATCTGTTCCTGTTGCTCATGGAGTAAGAGGCGGGGGCACCTCTCTGAATGGGGACGATGGACGCCAGATTCCTTGTGAGAATCTTGAGGCAAACAAAGAAGCGGAGAAGAGCATGATAAGTTCCATATTAGAGACCCTTAAGACATCGCGCAACAAGGATGATTCTGACTTGAATCCTGACATGGAAGATGAAGATGAGTCTGTTTCTGTTGTCCCCACCCGTGACACTATTTCCTTTCCATGGGCAAAGGACGGAGTAAACAGCGATGGCCAGAAATCGCGTTGGAAGAGCAACACGCTACTGGCAGAGAAAACAATCCCAGAACCTGAGCTGAGAAGGCTAAGGAATGTGGCACTGAGGATGAAGGAGAGGACGAAGGTGGGGGCGTCAGGGGTGAATGAAGCCCTCGTGGAGAGAATTCGAAGAAAATGGAAGGAAGTTGAGGTTGTCAAGCTGAAATTTGAGGGTCCTCCTGCTCTACATATGAAGAGTACTCATGATATCTTAGAGGTTCGTATTTTCTCAACATTACCTTGAATTTTTCATCAAATGGAGCAGAAACAATGCCATTATGTATCTTCTTACATTTGGGACATTGATTCTTGGTTTACTTAAAACAAAGAAATTGACTGCCTCGCAGTAACTGCTGGTGGACTCTGGTGGATTTTTTTTATGTTTAATTCGAATGGTATATTTGTTTTTTGATTCTCGACACTTCATCACATTTGTTTGTCAAGAACATGGTGAACTCATTGATGTGTAAAAATTTATAGTTCCAATTCTCCCTATGATGGTGGAGTAAAATGTGCCGGATTTGCATGTATTGTCCGGTATTTATTTTGCTTGATCCACTTGCCTAGGAATTGAACTTGATTCCAAGCATTAGATCTTATGTTTTCTTTGCTTCCTAGAAAGCATGTGGAAACTGTAGATTCCAAAAGCCCTCTATTTTTCCAGCAGATATATCCAAGTTGTAGGAAAATTTTATTTTTTTTTGGAGAAATTATATGTGGTAATCAGATGCCTCTAGTGAGAAGGGTACGCATAAATGATGAATTTAAAGATCTAATGAGTTCCCTAAGTGAGCTCCTATCTTCTGACGATATCGCTCAAATAACCAATAATAATTGCCCAGTGAAAAAGAGAAAAGTGATCTAAACTGAAGGACCACCGGTTGCCTGATTTGAAAACCAGTGACCATAGGGCCAAGTGCCAGAGTACTGTTAATTCAGAAACTTCCTGCTAATTTAGTTGTTTATCCCTTTATTTGTTCTTTTATCGATCCATATTCAATGAGTTAAAACCTTAGGGCTCTCCGTATGCTATGATAAATATGGTATATATATATGTGTGTGTGTCCTATATAGACACGTATATATGTATGTATGCACATATATGTATGTATTTATGTGTGCGTGGAGAGAAACACACAGAGAAAGAGTGAAAGAGTGAGAGTAAATCCTGAAAATAAATAAATACTACAAAGCCCTAAGATTCCTTTTGACATGAATAAACTAAACATGGCAAGTATTGGCAGTCAAAGTTGTCAGAGTTTTATTTTGGGAGGGAAACCTAGTGAATGTATGAGGATTATTTATATATATATATATGTGCATTATTCGTGTGGCACCAAGTATCCTTCTTTACATAGGGATGGGATTTCCCACTGCCCGGCATGTGTATTCTACCATGTTATCTTGAGCGATATGGAGCATGTTATGGGGTCCTCATTCTTTGAATCAGCACTCTCCATCCCCTTACAGTTAATGACAAAGGTACAAAGAATCATTCACCACTTCCTATGCACTTCTTGTTGTAACTGAGGATCAATTCTTCCATGATGCCTGTATTTTCTCCATGGGATTCATAGTTTCTGAAGATTCTCTCCAGAATTGACTTGGTAATGAGCACCCTCTAAATTGATTATCCCTTTTATTGTCAAAAAGAGTTTACATGAAAATGCAGGTGGGCACTCACTTTAAAACCTCAAAAGCAGGCAGATCTTTGTATCCGATTATACATATTTGGTATATCTGCACATGGATGGGTAAAGTATATTTATCATGAAAAAAATAGAAAAAAATACAGATGAACTGAGATGTTCCCCGGAGAATAATATTTAATATCGAAACCTAGTTGTTCTGGTTCTTGAGGTCTGCATGCGACTTATTGACAAATGTTTTCCTACCACCATCATCTATGTTTCAGAATTTCTTCACATTCTTTGAACATCCCTGAAATTTAGTAAGTTACTAGTGTGTATAGTTTGATGCCTCCTGACACCATGGTTAGCATAGATGCGCTCTTAGTGACTGACGCAGAAATGCGTAATTAAATGATGGTGATTTTCTTGCAACTCAAAAAAAATTCATATATTGTGCTTTATTGAAACACTTGGGACGGAATGCAGAACATGTTTTCTTGAACGATCTTGCTGCAGAAATTCAGACTTCCTCAATGTTAATGTGCATATTCTATTGGAACATGTTTTCTTGAATGACCATGCGGAACATGATCTCTTTTTCAGTATTTATGTATGATTTCTTTAATTCTCAGAATGTTTAATCTTGACGCACATATTGTATTGAGAATGTTTTGTTATTCTTTATAGAGCTTGATGCATGCCCCTAGTATGTTAAACCAAGTAGAATTTGTAGAACAGAAAATAGAAGACAGTGAGACAGGAAAGCAATAGCAGTAATTTTTCATGTGAATAATCCATTTGAGTACTGCAACGGTTAATTCTAAAATTTGCTATTTTAGCTAACGCAATTTTCATGTCAGAAAAGAACTGGGGGCATCGTCATTTGGAGGTCTGGAAGCTCACTTGTACTGTACAGGGGAATGACATATGGGCTTCCTGGCATGCAAACGTACCCAAAGCATGATGATTCTGTGGATATTTCTTCCCCTTCCCCTGGGGATTTGACTGGTATTGCTGTCGAAGAAAATAAAGATGATGGTTCAATTCCACTTTCAAATAGCTCTGATGTGATCTCCGTCACTTCAGATGACCCATCCCTTGGATCAAACGATAAGTTCGATATTGATAGCTTGCTGGATGAGTTAGGGCCTCGTTTCAGAGATTGGTCTGGACGAAACCCTCTGCCTGTAGACGCAGACTTGCTCCCTGCTGTGGTTCCTGGATATAAGCCACCATTTAGACTTTTGCCATACAAAACAAAGCTTGTGCTTCGAAATGGGGAGATGACATACTTGCGTAGGCTTGCCCGATCTATGCCTCCTCATTTTGCCCTAGGTATCCTCCTGAAAACTGATCTCTCCCCTGTTGTGCACAGAAAATCCAAACATTCTTACCTGCCTTTATGTTGCTGACCACTACCATTTTTACCTACCTTTAGGTAGAAGCAGAATGCTTCAAGGACTGGCTCAGGCCATTGTGAAATTGTGGGAGAAAAGCATCATTGCGAAGATAGCCATTAAGCGGGGCGTCCCAAATACCTGCAACGAGAGAATGGCCGAAGAGATCAAGGTGGTGGATAGAATTCTGTGTCATTTATGTTGGCTGTATGCGGTGATGTTTGTGTGACGTTTTATTTCCTTTAACATTAGACTGTCACCAGTGCTTGTTATCATGGTTGAAATCTGTTCGTTGATTGATGCTTGTAACCTTTCAAGGAAAAAAAATAAAATCCTTTTATTTGATTTAATTTAATTTTTTTTCATGACTGATGCGTATATATGCTATTTCTATTTGCATGTTGTCAAGACAAAGAATCCATTGCGGTTGTGAAGATGCCACTTTTCTAGAGATGCTTTGGTCTTGAATGTGGCACATCCAACTCCTGAATCAGCAGGCTTTCTGGAACCCACAAAAACCAGTTACTTACATTATGAAATCAGACCTTGGTGCACTAAGAGGATCATGATAACTTCTCGATATTGCCCAGTTCTTCTCCCTCACTTTGCAGTTGACTGTAATCCTGTAATCTGAACGTTTAGAGCAGTTTGAAAACCAGAACTTGGGATCTGGTCGTTGATCTTATTCGTTTTCCAATCATTAAATTCCTTCTTTTTTTTAACTGAATCCAACATCCGATTTCATATTGCCTGGTCGTCTCACTTGTTTTATTTTATTTTCCCATTCAATTACTTTAATTAATCACCTGTGAACATAATATTACCTGATTCGGCTCTTCTTGGGTTTGTCTTGCTTACAGAAATTGACTGGGGGGGTACTTCTATCCAGGAATAAGGAGTTTGTAGTCTTCTACAGGGGTAACGATTTTTTGGTACCCACCATTACAGAGGTGTTGAGCGAGAGGCAGAACTTGGCAAATGTCAGACAGGATGAGGAAGAGCAGGCTCGATTGAGGGCGTCAGCCTTCATGGCCTCAAGCACCAGGGCTTCTACTGTGCCACTGGTTGCTGGTACTCTCGCAGAAACATTGGAGGCGAAGACCCGTTGGGACAGCCAACCTGATGATGAAGAGAGAGAGAAGATGGCGAGGGAGCTGACTTTGGAAAGGCATGCTTCAGACATTAGATTCTTGGAGAAGAAGCTGAATATTGTATGTCTTCCCACACCAGAAAATCGCTGTTTATTTACATCTTTCTTCAGTTTTCGGGCCACTGATCCCCTGTTTCTGATGCCATATAGGCAAGGGAAAAGGTCAACAGGGCAGAGAAGGCTTTAATGAAGGTGCAGGCATTTCTGAGCCCTGCAGAGCTCCCCACTGATCTGGAAACCGTGACTGATGAGGAGAGGTCCTTGTATAGAAAGATGGGCCTCAAAATGAAAGCTTTCTTATCCCTGGGTGAGTTGACCTTTTATTTTCTTTTCTCCCTACGGTTGCTCAAGACTTGCAGTTATTAACTCGTGCTCTTTCTCTCTCTAGGAAGGAGAGAAGTGTTCGATGGTACTGTGGAAAACATGCATCTGAACTGGAAACACAGAGAGCTCGTGAAGATCATCGTAAGAGGGAAGAGCTTTCCCCAAGTGAAGCACATCGCTATATCTCTGGAGGCTGAGAGTGGGGGGGTTCTGATCTCTGTGGATAAGACCACCAAAGGCTATGCAATCATTGTATATCGTGGAAAAAACTATCGCCGGCCACAGGTGCTGAGGCCTAAGAACCTCTTGACTCGGAGGCAGGCATTAGCCCGTTCAATCGAGCTCCAGAGACGTGAGGTAATGCCCAGACCCAGACATTCATGTGCCTCTTAACCATGGTGGTCGGTTCTTCTCACGATTTCTCTCTGGGTTCTCTTACTCGTCACAATCCCAGGCGCTGAACTTCCATATATCTACTCTGCGGGATAGGATTGAGATGCTGAAGTCTGACCTGGTAAGCTCGGGTTGCTGTTTTGAGGGGGTGTCCCCTGACAGGCAAATGTTTCTCTTACAAGTCAACTCCTTTCAGGAACGAATGAAGGTCAACGGGGCGGGTCATCAAGATGCACGTTCACTTCTGGATCGCTTGTATCTGTCTGACGATGATGTGGAGGTGAGCATTGGATTAGGGTTGTTTTCCATGATTGTGTGGAGCAACAAAAATGGCCTAGTAGCTCTCCTTGTTTGAAAGCTATGAAGCCTTTATATGGGTTGAAAATTTCTGAGTCAGCGTTAATAGGTCAACGGAGATTAATCGTCGTTAGAAACCCTAATAACCAAATATGCTGACTTGTGCATATCTTTTCATCAGGATGAAGGAGAGGAGGCCTACCTTGGGACATACGACAGCGATGACGATGATGTGGATGAGTGACGTGGCAGAAGAATGTTCCTTGCAACGTGGAAGTCTGGGGAGAGGTGGAGAGCTCAGAATCCACGGCCATGCTTTCATCTCCGAGGGCCCACTGATCCATTAAATGCCTGCAGATGAGTTTCTGCTTCTGCTGGCTTCAGTGGGGGCAGGTGTGAAGAAAAGGAAAGGAGGCTTCTTGGAGAAGAACACCCGGCATAATCGCCAGGATTAGAGTGAAAATTGACCATTTCCCGCTGTAGAGCTCCCAGCGTGTGAGCAAGTGATCCATTGATGAAGCGTTGGTGCTTGGGAAATCTGTGTTAAATTTCAAGCTCAGATTGTTCTAAAAAATTACTATTATTATCATTATTATTATTATTTATGATGTAATTTCAGCGATATTCATTTATCGAACCACGATAGTTGACCCTTTTTCATTCCTCCATGGAACTATGGATGTCAATCCTTGGCATACAGCTGCTACCGAGATACAGGGAAAGGAGGGAAGAGAGAGAGAGAGAGAGAGATGTCTACGAAAAGCCTGATAGCGAAAGCGTAAAATATTTGCAAAAGTTTAATTCAAGTATTATTAAAATCTAAAGTCAACCTGGGATATGTCAATGGGCCGTTTCTGTCGACCGGGAAAAGAAAAACCTTTGGCGAAACTCGGCCCCGCGAGTAGACGAGCGAGCCTCTTCAACGTCGTCAACTCCTCTGGTCAACATGGTATTGAATAAGAGCATTCTCTCTCTATTTCTCTCTCCGTTGCATGGAAAACACTCGTCAACGTTGTTTAGTAAGTGACAGCCTCGTCCTCTCTGTCCAACGCCATACGTTACGATTTGGTGAGCGCCGCCTCTGGGTGGCTCAGGTGCGGATATGAACTACTACAGGGCGTCCACCGAACCCACTTTACAGACCCTCGCCGAAAGATCGTCATCTCGCCGGAGCCAGGATGGATCCTCCACAGGGTTCCTCCCCCATGGCTTTCGCCGCCACCACCGCTCTTTTCTTCCTCGCCGCTCTGCTCCTCCTCCTCTGGAAATGGCTCCCCCTGGTTAGCGCGAAGAGGATCTCCAACCTTCCTCCTGGTAGAGGCAGAATGCTAGGCCAACGTTTCCATCGGCACTTGGCTTCTTTTCTCTCTTTCTTTCTCATGATTTTGTGTTCCATCTCTTCTTCTTCTTCTTCTCCTTTATCCTGCTCGCTCTGCCCCTCTGGAACCACAGATAGCAATGTCTTCACTCTCCCTCCTACGTCACTGAGTGATTCACTTTTGTTTTGATCCCGCAGCCGTTCCGGGGCTGCCATTGATCGGGAACCTGCACCAGTTGAAGGAGAAGAAGCCCCATCAGACGTTCGCCAGATGGGCGGAGACTTACGGGCCCATCTACTCCATCCGGACTGGAGCCTCCTCCGTGGTGGTCCTCAACTCCACGGCGCTCGCAAAAGAGGTAAACTCCCCCCCGGCAACACTTCCGCAGAGCAGACAGAGACAGAGTTGACGACAGTGTCCTCCTTGCCCTTGCTCAGGCTTTGGTGACCAGGTTTTCATCCATCTCCACAAGGAAGCTCTCTAAGGCGCTGACCCTGCTTACATCTAACAAGGCAATGGTCGCCACAAGCGACTACGGCGACTTCCACAGGATGGTGAAGCGCTTTATCCTTTCAAGCGTTTTAGGCTCAAATGCTCAGGTAATCAGTCTCCACCACCTTTCCGCCATATCCTCATGCCCAGAAGTGATCCTCCGCCCTACCTGTCCTTCTTCACAACTTGTGAAAACAGATGCGGCACCGCGGCCTCAGGGACACGCTGATAGAGAATGTCTTAGGATATCTCCGTGCCCAGATCAAGGACGAGCCCCTTCGGGCTGTCAACCTCAGACCAGGGTTCCAGATGGAGCTCTTCAGCCTGGCTTTGAAAGAAGTGGGTTCCTTCTCCCTGCAGATTCGCCTCACATGATGAAAAGAGAAATCATGGTGCTATTTGCCTGGATTTTCTGTGGTCGCAGGCTGTGGGGAGGAGCTTGGAGTCCATTTTTGTGGAAGAACTCGGATCGGAGATCTCCAAGAGGGAGATGTTCAACATACTGGTGGTTGATCCGATGATGGGCGCGATCGACGTAGACTGGAGGGACTTCTTCCCTTACTTGAGATGGGTGCCTAATAATGGCCTGGAGAAGAGAATCACCCAAGTACTGGAGCGCAAGATGGCGGTCACCAGAGCTCTGATAAACGAGCAAAGGAGAAGGATTGCTTCTGGGGAGGTCATGTTCTTTCTAGCTCCCATCTCTGCCTCTTCCAGTCTCTGAACCTGACGAAGCTCTGCTATGATTGTCCAGCCGATCGACTGTTACCTAGACTTCTTATTGTCTGAAGGTGACGCTCTTAGTGAAGAGCAGCTCACTTCTTTGGTCTGGGAGGTGATAATCGAGGCCTCGGACACGACTATGGTGACGACAGAGTGGGCCATGTATGAGCTCGCCAAGAACGAGGAGATTCAGGTCAAACCCACCCTCATACAAAAAAATTTAGGATTTTCGTCTTCATCTCTCTCTCTCTCTCTCTCTCTCTCTCTCTCTCTCTCTCTCTCTCTCTCTCTCTCTCTCTATCAGAGAAATTAATTGAATTCGGCTGGTTGGTTCAGGAGAGGCTCTACGAGGAGATCAAAGAGGTCTGCGGGTCGGAGAAGCTCTCAGAGGAGCATCTCCCCCAATTGCCCTATCTGAGCGCTGTCTTCCATGAGACTCTCAGAGGGCACTCCCCTGTTCCCATCATCCCCCTCAGATATGTCCATGAAGATACGCAGCTGGGGGGCTACCACATTCTCTCTGGAACAGAGGCAAGAATAATCTTTTCTTTCCATATTAGACCCACTCTCTCAGATTTTCACCCAGAAGCTTGAAAATTTCCTGCAGATCGCCATCAATCTCTACGCCTGCAACATGGATGGGAGGGAATGGGAGATGCCCGAAAAGTGGAACCCTAGCAGATTCTTAGACGAAGGGTCCAAATCCATAGATCTGCGGAGGACAATGTCATTCGGAGGTGGGAAGAGGGCCTGCGCTGGATCTCTACAGGCGATGCTGATCACCTGCGCGGCCGTCGGTAGATTCATACAGGAGTTCCAGTGGAGACTGAAAGAAGGCCAGGAGGGCGACACAGACACAGTTCAGCTTACCGGTGTGAAGCTCCAACCACTGCAGGCGTACATAACACCAAGGTGTTTGGTCGCTTGAAGATGAGCTTTTTTTTTTTCTTTTTTTTTGGGTGGGGGAAGGTAATAATCATTTCCAGAACAAGCTTCAGTGATGCCCTGTCCAATGGATGATTTCAGTTTTCTTTGTGCCTTCAAGTTGTATGACCAAGGTGGGTTCCATCCCTCATCACAGTGGCCCAGGAGATGCTGCTCCATTCCCGCTGACTTTTTACAGGTGACACCTCTCTGCCTTTTCTTGGAGACCATCTCATGTGATCAGAGAAAATGAATAGCACATGAGATGCCCTGGTATGCCAAAAGAACATTAATACATAAATTAATTAACAAGAGTATGATGATCTCGAACAAAACAGCATCACTCAATTGGCATACCAGGTCATCTAAAACCTTGCATTTGGGTTGGAGAACCATTGCTAAGATAAAAAAACATCCTTAGATTAAGAATCTAGTACAGTACAGACTTTTGATCTTTCTCCGCACCATGCTTTTTCTATGGAAGGCTTTCCCTGTGCTGCATTTTATCAATCTTTTACACGTCTCCAATGGTAGAATTCGGAGAAAAATTGGAAACAGCGGTAGGATTTCTGACGTCCAGAGACTATTACATTCGTTGCATTCGCCGAAGCTCTCATACCATGGATGAATATCTCTACAATCCCATGGCAGCCCTGTGAGGACAACTCTGTGGGGGCAAGACTTTCATTGCTAGCAGCGTAATCCTGTTGGTTTCTGTTCAGTGTTCCTCACTTTCACGAATAAAGAATTTTGGCTGAGAGTGCGAGTAGCTGGTCAAGGGCTTGTCGGTTTCATGATCTGTCACCTGCATTGGTGGTCATTAAGGACTCAGCGTTGCTGTTGACACTGATATCAGCCAGTTTCTTCCCCTTTCTCTTGCGTTTTAGCTTGTCTGCTGCGCTATCGGCTTCTGAGACGATTTTTGAAACTGTGAAACCAGTGACTTCAAATATTTTGGCTCTAGCAGGGATCAGTGAACTCCTCAGTACCACGTCCACTCCTTCGTAAGTCCATGCACCCAGAACAGCCTCCCCCTTCAGTCCAATGGCAAACCAGCCAAGACCAGCAGCAGCTATATCAACAGAACTCACATCCCAACTGTTACCACTGACGCGGAATTCCCTTCTCGCCCATTTCCCAAGATGACCAACGCGATCTTCGCCAATGGGTGGCTGCATTGATGATAAAATGAACAGTAGTTCGGAGAAATTAATGCAGGTGGATACTTGTAATTGACGGAAATATATATTTATCATCACTGCACCTGTAATTGGCGTCCAAAATGTTTTTCTAACATTGAGCACGCACTGTCCATCTTTCCCATATGGAGAGGAAGAAGGGGCGATGCCCATACCGTAACGTAAATGGTATCTACTGATATTTCCTCCACGTCCAACCTCATTAGTCCAGCAATATGAACTGAATGACCAGCCTGTCATCGCATGAATGTGCACAAATCAGAAGAAACTACAAGTTTATGAAGATAAGGAAATATATATTCCAAATTTCATGTTCAATTAAGAAAATATAAGAAGTAAAAATCTTAATCAGAAAGACTGACAAAACCCTAATGGTTTCAGCATAGAACACTTAACAGGCTTAGAATATCGTATCTCATATCATGCATAGCCGAATCTGACATCCAGACAGGTTTAAACAGGCTTTACCCCAATTTTATGCGATGCTTTCATCACGCCAATAGCTTCTAAAGGAGCTATCTCCTGCTCGTACATCTAATCATTTCTTTAATCTCCATTTAAAGCAGAAAATAGACTGAAACGGCAAAGAGTCATATGCCCCCCCTTTTTAATTTTTGTTCTGAGGGATCGGTTGCTCTCCCAGCCTTTTTCATGATTGTATGCAGATTACTGAATCTGGATCCCTTCAAAAGCCACTTTAAATCTAGACCCCTACTGAATCTATGGCTAACGTTGCCTTTTCATAAAAAAAGAAGCAACAATTTGATGACTCTTTCAGACTTTACCGACTATTCTGTATCTGAACCAGTCGGTGAAAACTGAATAACAATAAAAAAATTACAAAAAAGCACTAAAATTGATTAGCTCTTTTTCACAACCTTCAGAAACGCATCCCACAGCATGTAGCTCAGTGAACGAGGAAAGGAGGTTCTGGGGAATTAGAGTATCTGGTATTCTAGTCAGTGCCCTAATTGTCTCCTTACATAACCACGTACCATATCACTCAAAAGTGTAAAAATGTTTCATACTATGAGATGACATTTGACCCAATTCAGTGATTTCAAGGAAACTTCCGAACACTATGATAAACTGCGAGAAAGAATGCCCATGTTTTGGCCGCTAGCTCATCGATTGATTTATTCGATCAGTTAGGGAAGATAAGGGAAGACCACCTGCCAAAACTGACTCAAGGGACTCGCGAGGATCCATTACAAGGGACAAGCATTGTGAGTAGTGCACAGAGACTTGATCGAATCCTTTTGGCTTCAGGCGAGTTAGGCTGGTATTGGCTGGTACACCTACCCAAGAAGGGGAAGATGCTTTAGGAGTGAAGGCAGATCCTGAGAAGGTTGTTTAACACATAAGTGACACTATTCTGACGAGTGGTGGTCTTGCTAGCGAAGTAGAACTTTGGGATGCTGTATCCCATGGTTTCTAGGGCACCAGGAAGCACAGTCTCAGCGTAGGAGAGGTGGCCATTGCTAATGGTACAGGTGATGTGGAAATTAGGACAGCATTAAAGGCAGAGTCAGAGTCGAGCATGAGGGAGCTAGAGAGTGTTGTGTACAAGCTCCCTGCCGCTGCTCCCAAACACATGTGAATGGAAATCAGGAAAAGGGGTCATTTCCATCTCTGGTACGCCCCTAGCATGGCTAAATTCGGTTCTAAATGAAAATTACCAACCACGTTATACAAAATACTGAAAATCACTCAGAAATATCATCGTAAGTATACCACTTTCCTGAAGTAGGGGAGCATGCAAGTGACTACAATTAATCTATTGTATTCTAGCATCCACCATAAAAGGCCGCCTTAAACATCCAACAATTAGGAAGGAGAGGAATACCTTTAGAATTTTTCCATACTCACAATAACCCAGGGATCCGAACTTCACTGGATTTTTTTCAACCAGGTCATTAGCATTTCGACTATGTGTGTATGACCACTATTGGCTAATTAGCAAAGGGATACCTACGAATCCTAACATAACATAAAGTAGATCATCACAATCATAAGAAGTATGGATAATGGATGGAGAATTAAACCAAACGGTCTCAAGTTTTCAGCAACAAGCAGAAGCCAGGTTCCCAACTTCAGATACTAACCTTGATCCTGTAGGTCCTCGGTCTTAATTCTTTGCTTATATGCAACAGCTTTTGTTCCTCTGCCATCAACCTCATTGATATCTGGTAAGGATGCAGAATTCCTGGGGTGTCAAACAGCTTCGCCTGCCCAGACAGAATTCCCTCCACTCTAACAATCCCTAGGGTAGTTCCAGGAACCGGAGCTTCTGTCAAATGGCTCACCTTCCCCCCAGCGCACCTCCCAATAGCATTTATCAAAGTCGACTTCCCTGCATTCTGCGCTCCAACAGCCCACACGTTCCCCCTCGATCCGACCAACTGTCTCACATGGTCCACAAGATTCTTGATTCCCCAGTCTTTGAAAGAGCTAACCAGATGGACTCCGGTGATCTTGTTTGCTCCACCGGCATGAGCCCGCTGCCGGACCCAGTACTCCAAACCCGTAGGCGACAAGGACGCAGGAAGCAGGTCGATCTTGGTCACAACCAGCAGAACTCGGGGCACATTCCCAGGCTTCCCCTCTTTCCACGCCGAAGCATTTTCCTCAATCGAAGCCGAAATTAGCTTCGCTACCTTACGCGGGAACGATCCATCGAAGTCCACGGCATCAACGACCATCAGGATGATCGACCGGCTGCCGGCAGCAGAGACGAGCTTTGGCCCCACCATGCGATCGAAATCGAAGTCGGGGAGGAGGTTCTCCGCAGCGGCGTTCTTCACCCGGCCGTAGTGGCGGAGGGAGTGGCAGCGGGCGCACACCACAGGCGTAGAGTCGCGGCTGTTCTCGAACGAATCCTGCCGTTCCTTGTCCGCCTCGTCATACAACCGTCCACTCTTGAGGGAGTAGGAGATTTGGGGCTCGTCCACCGCCACCGAGATTCGCCGTACGGAAGCATGGTAGTCGGAGGATTTCAGGGAAGGATTGGAGAAGAATCCGGGCAGATCGGGATCAGAGTCCTGCATGTGGACGCCGCAACCGGGGCAAAGTGGGAGGAGGGGAAGATCATGCGAAGTCTCGTCGTAGCATCCTCCGCGAAGAAGGGCAAGAGGAGGCAGAGGAGGCGATGTAGGTTTGGATGGGGAAGAGAAGGACCTACTAAGAGCAACGAGAAGGGGATGGAACTCAACGGGGTTTTCAAAGGGTTCATGACCACGAGAGAGTGCATATTTGAACGGCGGAGCAGCGACGCGGCGCAGCAGCAAGGGCCTCACCATATTCAAGAAAGAGGAGAACCTTCGACCCGCCTTCATCATCCCTCTTCCTCTGGTTCCTTCTTTGCTCGAGCCCTCACCAGCAATGAAGTTCGAGCAGCAGCGGCGGGAAGACTGCTCGGGAGAAGACGATTCTCAAGTCGCGTTTGACTCGCTGAGTGAAGAATTAGGAAGATGATGAAAATAACGGATCAAAATATATGTCGTAAATGGGTATTATTGCCCAACGGATCCGTTGACGATCCAAATAGGATCCGCATCGTTCTGGTAGTTACTACTATCTATAAGACTCCCCGTCCCCCCGATTCCCGCAAATCTCCGTGCGTGAGTCTCTAAGCTTCGGAGCTGCTCTCCCTCTTCCTCTTTCTCTTCCCCATCCCGTTCCTCCGGTGCCGGGACGAGATGGGAAGTCTCGATCGCGTCGGCGTCGTCTCGCTCCTCGTGTGCTTGCTTCTCTTTCCTTGCGCCGTCGCCTTCTACCTTCCCGGCGTCGCTCCCCGCGATTTTCGCAAGGTATGTTTTGCTCCTGCTCCTCTCTCTTTTTTGTCGTTAGGGTTTGGATCTGAGCGGAGTGAATAGAGCATATATTTCCTTTCATTTTCTCTTCTCGTTTTTCTTGTTGAGATCTGCTGTTTGATATGCGTTACGTCGTGTATTTTTCTTGGTATCCGCTTCTTGAGAGTCATCTATTGTTTAATCTATATGAAATTGGAGCTTCTAGAAGCAGTATGCAAGATTCAGTTCAGAAAAGAGTCATATTGCCTTTGATATTGCTCTTCGAATTTGGATCTCGGTAATTGATTGCCAGGTCTGGAGTAAATCTACCGGATCTGTACCTCATGCACGTTTCGAGGGTAGTCTGGATATCCATATATTCGTAACTTTTGAAAAATTCCTTGAGAAACGAATCTGTCCCGATATGTTTTGTAAGTGGCTGTATTTGGTCAAATAGTAGACTCCTTTATTTGGATATGAGATTGTGAGAGTGACTGCGCCTTGAGATCATCATGTGCGGTTTTGGATCTGATCTTGCGCATGTTCAGTCAGTCACTTCAATTTACGTTCTAGTTTCACTTGTCACATAGTTTCAATTCTTCTACTTTTTCTCTAACGCTGCCTTTTTTAAGTTCATGGAATTTTATATCAGCTGTATGAGGATGATTTTTTGTCTTTTCTTTTTAGTGTTCTTCGTATTCAGTTTATTCTCCCTTGTTAAGGAGCCCACCAGCAAAGTAATGTTGCGTGATATTCAGAAAATCCATTCTCTATGTTTTCTTCTGCCCCATTTTTGGCGTCATGCTGCTGCGTTCATTTTTTAGGATTTCTCCCAAACAGAAAACTTGATTAAACAGCCTTTTGTAATATTTTAGAATATGCCATTAGCAATGACGGTGCATTTGCTAGATTTAGAGGATTTATTGCTGAGATGTGTATGTATTGGCTGTTTAGCGTGTTTAGTGGTTTCCCTTGAATTATGGGCTTTGTTTAGTGATTCTTGCTCAATATGCAGGATGATGAGCTTCTGGTGAAAGTAAACAAGCTTTCATCTACAAAAACACAGCTCCCATACGATTATTATTTTCTGGATTATTGCAAGCCATCAAAAATCATGAACAGTGCTGAGAATTTGGGTGAGGTTTTACGTGGAGATCGCATTGAAAATTCAATCTACACAGTAAGGCATCACTCCTTATCTGCATTATGATTAAAGGCAATTTACTTTGTCAATCCTTCATTTGCCTAAGATTTTTCGTGTGGCAGTTTAAAATGCAATCTAATGAAGTGTGCAAGGTAGCATGTCGTGTAAAGCTTAATGCTGAAGCTGCAAAGAATTTTAAGGAGAAAATCGATGAGGAATACAGGGTGAATATGTAAGACGTCATTTTTCTTATCGTGCCATATTATAGAGTGTTTTTTTGTGTGTATTTTATCCGTTCTAATGAAGTTGCCGCCACTATCTATATGCTTATAGTTGAAGATGTTCCTTCTGGGGTATTGATAGTATTTAACGTGTGTGCAGGATTTTAGATAATCTTCCAGTGGCCGTTGCAAGGCAGAGGAGAGATGGCATTCATGCGAAAAGTTATGAACATGGTTTTCGTGTGGGTTTTAAAGGCTCTCCTGCTGTAAGTCGCTTCTACATTTTTACGTCACGTTTTAGTGGGAATTCTTCAGCAACCTGACTTCTTCCGTGATTGCAGAGTAAAGATGAGAAGTATTACATTAATAATCATCTCAGCTTTAAGGTCATGTTTCATGAAGATCAGGAGTCTGGAACAGCTCGCATTGTTGGTTTTGAGGTTTTCCCACTCAGGTAATTTCACCTTTAATTGAAGCCTTCGTTTCCTTTCAGTGTAGTCTGTCGGTTTTCCATTCATATTTATGGCAATATTATTTATTTTTGGCTACCTTTTCCTTCAACCATCGTCTCATCTGACGACGAACAAAGATTGCATTCGATTTTCGCCCAATTTATGGGGAAGCGTAGATACATGTAGCATTGACTGTTCATCATTTTGTCTGTGAAGTAGGCAGTCCCCCTCTTATTTATGTGCTTCTTTATAAAGAGGTTCCACGTATTCAGCACCTTTTTCGCACTTGTACGTGGCAAGGTTTTCAAGTGGTTTTGGTTGCTGTGGTATTTGCGCGTAGATAACCTAATGAAGACTGCATGTGTTCTATACTTTCATTTGCAGATGATTAAATCTTTTTTTTGGGGATATTCTCGTGTACATCACTCCCAAGTATGCGGTGGAGTTTATTTCTTTATTAGTCTCTATGTTTCTTATTTATTTGATTTAGGAAGCAAGATGACTACTAAAAACTGCACTCATTGATTTAGTCTCTATGTTGGCAGAGCACTTGGTAGAGTTCGATATTTAAAAATTAATAATAAATTTTATGCACTCTTAGATGAATTCTGGAAGAGCAAATATCTGCATTGCATGGGATCATTGAATGCAATAACCCAGAACCTCATGCTATATCTGTGACTGTCCAAGAGCCAGTGATCCATAAAGGAGAATGTTCATGGCGTAGGTCACGTCTGTGTGTTCTCTTGATGTGCATTAACGTGATCTGGTGATTTCTTCTTTGCATTGCTCAGGTTGTCTTCGTTGGGTGCTCTCTTTTTGATTTCTCGGGAAAATACTCCAGGCCATGTTATCATTTTACGAATGGATAAAAGCATCTGTTGTTATCTATCGGCCCGCTTTGAAATTTTTCTTGGCAATCTATTTCGCGTACCGCTTGTTGTTTTGGATGCTCCTTTTGACGTCCTCTATTTTTCATCTGTTTCTTTGGAACAGTGTTAGTCATGAATACAGGGAGTGGGATAACAAGGACCCCAAATTGACGACCTGCAACCCAAACACCAAGGGCGTTCCCAATGGTCTCGCACGCCAAGAAGTGGACGCAGAAAAAGAGGTTGTCTTCACGTACGACGTCACCTTCGAGGTACCCCCTCTGCACTTATGACTCCCTAAAAAACCCTTATCCTCTCCCCCTCCGTTCTCTAACTCGAGTTGGCACCTCAGACGAGCGAGATCAAGTGGGCATCGCGCTGGGACACCTATCTCCTCATGAACGACGATCAGATCCACTGGTTCTCCATCATCAACTCCCTGATGATCGTCCTCTTCTTATCCGGGATGGTGGCCATGATCATGATGAGAACTCTATACAAGGACATCGCCAACTACAACCAGCTGGAGACTCAGGAGGAAGCCCAGGAGGAGACGGGCTGGAAGCTCGTCCACGGGGACGTCTTCAGGCCCCCCGTCAACTCCGGGCTTCTGTGCGTCTACGTGGGCACCGGCGTCCAGTTCTTCGCCATGACCCTCGTCACCATGATCTTCGCCCTCCTGGGCTTCCTCTCCCCGTCCAACCGCGGGGGCCTGATGACAGCCATGGTCCTTCTCTGGGTATTCATGGGCCTCTTCGCCGGCTACTCCTCGGCTCGCCTCTACAAGATGTTCAAGGGCGGCGAGTGGAAGAAGAACACCTTGAAGACGGCCTTCATGTTCCCGGGCATCGCCTTCGCGGTGTTCTTCGTGCTGAACGCCATCATCTGGGGGGAGCAGTCCTCCGGCGCCGTGCCCTTCGGGACCATGTTCGCGCTCGTGTTCCTCTGGTTCGGCATCTCTGTGCCGCTGGTCTTCGTGGGCAGTTACCTGGGCTACAAGAAGCCGGCCATCGAGGACCCGGTGAAGACCAACAAGATCCCCAGGCAGGTGCCGGAGCAGGCATGGTACATGCAACCCGCCTTCTCGATCCTGATCGGCAGCATCCTCCCGTTCGGCGCCGTCTTCATCGAGCTCTTCTTCATCCTGACCTCCATCTGGCTGAACCAGTTCTACTACATCTTCGGCTTCCTCTTCATCGTGTTCGTGATCCTCATCATCACCTGCGCGGAGATCACCATCGTGCTGTGCTACTTCCAGCTGTGCAGCGAGGACTACCACTGGTGGTGGAGGGCCTACCTGACCGCCGGCTCCTCCGCCTTCTACTTGTTCCTCTACTCGGCCTTCTACTTCTTCACCAAGCTGGAGATCACCAAGGTCGTCTCCGGGGTCCTCTACTTCGGCTACATGCTCATCGTCTCCTACGCCTTCTTCATGCTCACGGGCACCATCGGCTTCTACGCCTGCTTCTGGTTCGTCCGCAAGATCTACTCCTCCGTCAAGATCGACTAGCCACCGACACACACACACACACCTGTGGGGGCGGAAGAGGTACGTACTTACAGTTGATGATAATGGGTGAGGGGAGTGCAGAAATGACGCACCTTCTTCCTTTCTCCCATTTGCTTCATGGTCTTTCTTTCTTATACGAGATAGTTGGGCGAATCCTGTAGGCGGACCTGCCGCAGTCGGCGTGAATTACTACTACTTCGGACCGGGCTCTGTACCCCTTCCTCTACGAGTTTATTTTTATCCACCATCCATTTAGTTTGCTTTCAAGAATGATTAGTCACATGTCTCTCTACTCGTCGGCCGCCGTGCTTCGCGCGCGTCCTCCCCCCAGATTCATTCAACGACTCAACCACCAAAATAGTATAACAAAATCCTGTCTCCCTCGACTTTTAGGGGCGGGGGTGAATTTTTGCTGTATGATTGAGATTCAATCCAGTTAGTTCTCTGCGCCCAAGTGTGCCCAAGAGGAGGCATCAATCAGATACTCTGGCATTTCCCTGCGCGCGCGAAAGTACAGCGTCTCGACTCACAAGTTAGTTGTACACGCTGATGCATGCATATTCCCCCCCGCCCCCTAATATAATCGGCAGCTGAAGCCGCGCGGCGGGGTGGGGGGGTGGCGATGGACATCGGTGGGGGCTACTTTCTTAAAGGCATACATGGCCAAGAAAGCAGGAGGTATAGATGGGATGGGATGGGAGGAGCCCGAGGCTGAGGTCACTCGGAGTACTCGGCGGCGGCGTCGGGGGAGGTGAGGCTGGAGGAGTCGTCCGAGGACGAGGCGGCGCTGCGCGTGCCGTTCCCGAAGACCCCGTGGCCCTTCGGGGCGAGCTCGGAGGGCGGGGGCCCCGCGGGTCGCTGGCCCTCGTCGGCGAGCTTCTTGAGGAGGTTCATCACGGTGGGGAGGAACTTGGTGGAGAGGGCCAGGATCCCCGGAAGCTGCAAAAAGAGGGAAGAACGGAAACGGTGAGGGGGAGGTCATGTGGATGCGCGGTAAAAATATGAGGATGGATCAGGGAAATGAATACTCACGGCGCCGTTGCTGAACTCGCCGGCGATGTCTAACTGGACCCAGAGGGCCTTGACCAGCAGGAAGGCGACGAATAGGACCCCGAGATAGAAGGGATTTCTGCCACCGCGAACGAAGAAAATGTCACGGCAGGTGTGGAGAAGTCAACCTTTTTTTTTGGTACCTTGTGGGTTTACTTCTGACCTACCTTAAGAGTGTCATGAACTCGTTGAAACCCAGGATCACGATGGCAACGATGGCCCACGGCGGAGGCAGCCAGTTGTTATTACGCTTGTGCGCTTCCTACAAAAGAGAAAGAAGAAGAATGTAATCATCTTCCGTCAAAAACGCACGCGCTTTAAGAAAATGGCATGTTTTTTCTATTTTTCGTTTAATAAGCGCAAGATCTCCAATAAAATACCACAAAAAAAAAAAAGTTGAGAAGCAAATGGGGCATCTGAATTATATAGAGAGTTCATACTCCACAGACGAAAATATAGAGAGAGAAAAAATAGACGGCCTTTCGAGCATACCTGAGCAGCAATAGCTTGAGTGACAGTGTATTCGGTCTCCGCCTTAAACTGCCTCCACAAGGACTTGCATTGAACTGGTGTTATCAATGTTTTTGTCGGAGAAACCTGCCAACAAAGTACGAGGCATAATGGAATAAAACAGGATCACCCGCAAGAACAAGAAACACAATATTTATTATATATTTTTTTAATTTTATTTTTCGGTTCTTGATGTTGAGGCAACAACGCCACGACAAAACTGAGCCCAGGAGAAAAAGATCAAACATTTAACTGTTGATGTCATGCATTTGATGGAAGTTATAACCCAATTCCGATGTTTCACTGAGCATGTCGTTAAAAAATGACCAAAAGTTATGACCCCAATTTTTGATTTCTGAGAGAATTCCAGGGGAAGCACATGTTCCTGCCACAACTGGTGGCTTTTGATTAGACTTCCCTTAAGAACCCTTGTTTTCTAAAAATTGCATGAAAGTATCTTGGAAAATTGTCACAACTGCCAACCACCTTCAGTGACGGAAGCGACAGTAACACGTCCATTAGCATGATAGCATTTACAGCCTCTTCTCCCAAAAGAAATTGGCAGGCTATGAACAATTAAGAAACTGAAGCATGGACGGGGAAAAAAAAGAAATCAGGTAAAATCATCCCAAATTTTAATATGTTCAAAAAGACAATGAAGCCAGTAGGAGAGAGAAGGCAATGGATGACCGCAGATATGGGAAAGTCGGTAAAGTATCATTTTTCAAATGATAAAATTGCAAAAGATCCTGGAGATAACTTGCAAGTGCGGTCAGACTCCAAAAAATGGGTTCAAAAATATGAAGCAATGCGGAATTCCAGGTGCAAAATCATCAGGGAGCATCCACAGAAAACCCGTTTCTTAAATACCGTCAATGACATAAAACAACAGCCCAACAAGAGAAAAGAACAGATGCAGTTGCATTTTTCTTTTTTCTTTTTTTTTTAAAAAAAAGTCGACAGGTTGCTATACCGCACACGGAATATTTCTCAATTGTTCAACATGTAAAGCACAATCTATGTGGATGGTAATTACCTTCTCCCAAGAGCTTGAAGCTAACGGATCAACTGAGACAATACTCCTGTCAGCAGCATTTGCCTTAGCAGTGTCCAAGAGGGCAAGAGAGAGAGTATTCTCAATATCGTCTGCACTGTCGTCTAATCGTATTGCAGCCATTACTGAAAGCAACTTCAAGGACTGCACAAAATTAAAGGTAAATCGATAAGATCTCTTCACAAGAATAATTTCCGGTGTAACACAATGAACTTGGGTGAAAATCATCAACTGAGACTTACAGCAGTGCGGGCTACTTTTGTGATCGCTCGGATGTCTTCCTTCCCTGTCCAAACTCTCGGCATCGAGTCTGAGTCACGACTGAATAGCGTAGAAAACCTGCAGCAACAATCTGTCAAAAAAAATATCCTTGAAGCAATGCAAGATAATAAAGAGGATGAGCGCCCAGTACCTGTCCTTCATACGGATCAATACTCTTGCAGCTTCTTCCTTTGCCTTTGATTCAACAATATTTCTTGCATAGTCCTCCATGCCTGTGAGCAGTTTTTCCTCGGCTTCTCTGTCTAGATCAAAACTAGAGAGTGCAGAGGAAAATTCAGCAAGGGCGATCTCAGATTCACGCCGCAGAAGCTTTCTAATGGCTGGCCATGTGTCATTGCTAGCTGAATCAAGAAGAGCTTCCACAGGTTCTGCAAGTGCTTTACTAAGTTTTCCCTGAGGATTTGAAAAAATGAATTAGTAATCATGAACTACCATTGACAAAAAAAAAAGATAATATTTCGCCAAGTAGTCAATTAAAGTTACCTCATAAGACGCAGTAAGTTCAGACAATTTAGAAGCACGAACTGTTGCAACATGCGCATCAATATCACGCCTAAGCTTCTCTCGAACCTTGGATGATTCCCAACTTGCTTGTTTGACGGCTGCCTCTGCAATGTCAACAGCCATTAGAAAAGTCAAAAAATAATAAAGTAAACGAAGCTGATGAAAAGATGGAAAAAGATAGAATTGATAGCTTTACTTTTCAAACATTTAAAATATCCTTGAAATGAGTTGCCAATTCTGGCACTCGCACAGAATCTACAGAACGGTGTCATCAGTTAACCATCACAAAGTCGAGTAAGGAGTAAACTATGATGATCCAAACGTCCAAGGCTATTTCCACTAGCCATCATACTCATAACACTATCAATTGTTTCCCCTTTACATCATGATAATAGATAAACAAACTTTAAGTATGAACTGTTACAAGCTAGCGTGGTTACCCACACGTGTCACCCTTATTGTGTAGGTGCAAGAACTAATCCAAACGTCCAAGCTAGCATCGTTACATCTAAGTCATACGTGTGACCCCTTATTGTGTAGGAACTAATCCTTCACAGCCAAGATAACCAAGGATCGTAACCATTGCAAGGATAAAGCATGGTTATTTTCCTCATCTTCCATTTTTTCCCCTAGAGGGCTTGTAATATTCTTGGTGCCAACGGTGAAAAAACCATACAACTGGATTTTCTCACTTTTTTTTGGCTGCGATGTATTGGTAGGTTTTCCTTCTTTCGTCACATTCAGTCCAAGATCTTTTATCTTCATCCTCTTAATCTTCCCCTTTCTCCACTAGAGAATAATTTCTCATTCTTTTGAAGCTTTCTGGAAAGGATCTCAAACCTCAAATATCAGCTTTCCTTCCTCCACGCACATCCTCTAATTACAGTCTAGGATCTTTTTTTTCCTTTCATTATCTTTAACTTCTCCTTTTCCCAATGGACTCTAATCTATTATTTTATTGGTGCATTTTATGTAGGTTTTCCAAAATCCATTCTCGACCTTCCTTCTTCTGTTCACTACTTATAGTCTACAATCTCTCCTTTTCATCATCTTTACCTTCTCCTTTCCCTATTTGACTAAAATTTCTTATTTTAACGGTGTATTTTGTGTATTTTCTAGAACTTTTATTGTCAGTTCTTCCACCATTCACCTCATTATGAACACAACATTTACATTTCAACTTCTTTCCTTTTCTCCACACATCTGACTAAACAGGTTCCAAATCAGGGTATTTCTGTAATCCTTTTTAGGCAAATGACACCGTGGATATAATATAAATATAACCGTTTTTTAAATCTGTGAACAGATTACTAATCTTGTGTTTGTCAAATTATTAAAGGATAATCATCATAAGAAATAGGCAAAACCATTTGAAATTAGGAATCAGTTGTTTTTCAACAAATATTTTTCAACGGCATACTTAAAAGTTGGGACAGGGGACGATTGTTCTCAAGACCGATAGGAAATACTACCTATCTCATCTGATCCTTGGTAATCAAAATTCATAAAGTAATTATGGTGAACCCAAATGGCATAGAAAAACTGCCATAGACAACAAACTCAGATTTGTTAAAGCAACACCACCAATGCCACAAAATTAGGGTTGTGTTTGATAAGAATGGCATTCTCATATAATATTGCCCACAGATTAAATGCTTCCAAGTGTCAACAAGTCCAGACATGTAATACCTTACAGGAGTTCAACAATATAAATATACGCATCAACATTTCACCATTTAACAAGAGTTCAAGATTATGTGGAATCCAAAACATAAATTGCACAACTAACAAATGATATAAGTCTACATTCAAAATGAAAACATGTAACATGGCTGTGGGGAATTGGTATAATAAATCCACTTATTTGTTAGTTCCTCCTTTCCACTTAGTCAAATAGCTACTTCGATTATATTGCCACCCCCTAAAAAACGCTTTTGCCTAAAGTTGATATTTCAGATAAACACCATTCATCTTACAAGGTAAATCAAAAACGTCATTCAAAGGCAGAAGCCAAACGGTTGCAAGAAATAGCTTATATCTCCCCAACGCTCTTTCCATCTATGGAAAAAAAGAAGTCCCTGGACTTTCTGCCTTCTAGGTTTAACTTAATGGTACACATTGACAAACAAATGAAGCGAACAGAAATCCACAGGCAATTGTAGCCCTAGGACACTAGAATTTAGAGAGTAGAGCATAAATAATTTACAAAGCTTATGAATGTATCTTCCTGAAAGCCCCATTTTGCCAGAAAAAAAGAGTAGTAAGCAGTAATGAAAGAAATCTACCATCATATATAATACATACCGGCACATCCTTCATCGAATTTTGACAAAAATGATTTTGTACAACTACGAGAAGCTGCAGCAAATCCTTCTCCCTTGTTCAGAAGTTTCTCAAAAGCTTCCTTAAAATCATCTAGGGTTTTGGTCCGCAGATGAGACAGTGTAGACTGGTATGCAGGATACGCTATCTATAGAAAACAAGTATTCAGTTAGTTCGAGAGAAACATTCTTGACAAGGATCTTTTAGAGCAGAAAATTCATCACAAATCTTGAGCCTTCGTAAGGAGTTAATTCAATTTCACTTTTAGTCAGTAGTATGGCAGGTACTGATAAAGAAGACAAATCGAGAAGGAATAAAATCCCCCCACCACACGCATGACTATGCTCAGAGCTAGACAATTGGGGATCACATGCTGACCAATTTTAAACACTGATGATCAAATATGTAAAAATACACGTGCTCTTCAACCTACCAAAGGACCAACCTAATGGCCACTGGACGTGTTATAAATAGCTGAATCATAGTCCATCTACGTTTCAAGCATTCCTTTTGCAATCGATAAAGACAACCATCTTGGAAAATAATTTCACGATTTATGCCAACCGATATCTTCAAAAATTATGATATTGGTTTGTGCAACTAAATGGATGCCCGCAAAAAAAATCAGTCCAATTAAACCATTATGCATTGGAACTAGGGATCCGTGATGTAAAGCAATGACTTTGTACACATGAAACATAGACGACAGAGAAATAAAAGTTATCTACACTTTCCACGAATCATCGTCAGGAAATAAGTTTATATAAAGAAAAATATTGTTCCTTCTTTTGTAAGGAGACAAGGCCTATCATTTTTCTCCACATAACTTGACAGAAATGATAGACAAGAAATGAACCAGACAGATAAGCTTTTAATGGGGATCTATTATATTGCCTTCTGGTCATCATCACAAGAAAAATTTGTATTTTTATTTTCGGATTTATAAAAATGAGAAGAAAAAAAAAGCTTACCTGTAAAAGTTTTGATTCTAGTTGATGTCTCTTTGCCGTTCTGACACCATCATCAAAATAAACCGCTTCCATGTCATACCTATTATTTCACCAATTAACAATGAATATTAGGTTAAAGTTACTTGCGTAATAGAAGGAGAGAATCTATTTATTTCTTGATGAAGAAACCCACAACAAGAGACTAAAAGAAGGCAGAAGTGCAACTAAAACAGAAGAGAGAGGGTATGAGTTGCTCGTAATTCAGAAGCCCAATAATACAAAAAAACAGCATGCAGAAGATAAAAGATCGATGAAAGGTTGGAATATTGAAAAATATCAAAGCATCAACACATCAGCAACTCAGTAGCATAAATCAGCAAAATATGTATGGCAATCTGATCAAAATTAAATTTTAAAAAATCTTCAGATTGTAGACGCTAAGCTGCATTCTGACTAACCAGAAATAAAAAGAAGGAAAACATGTAAAAATAAGTCAAGTCTACTAACTAGGTCAGCATACAATTAGGAAAAAATGAAAACCGCACTGGGGAATCCCATAGCGAGTCACGTATATTCACATGTCCCAAGCTGGACTGTTTTGGAAAATAGCTAATAAATCTGTAAATGTAAAAAAGAGTTACAACTTAAAATCAAACAACACTGGCCAACACACTATGCTCTGGTTTTGCCATTCATGACATTTCACTTTAATGTGATGGAAATCTGCATGGTAAACTCAACAAAAAGAAAAAGGCTACATTGCCAAAAGGCTAACCGGAGGTCACACGAAAATGAAAATTTAGGCTATAAAACTAGTGAATAATACCAATAGTAAGATGTTAGCGCTACATCCTGCATAATGACCCTGTCATTAGTTAAAAGCAAGGAATCGCCATGAACTTTTCATGGGAAAAACCACATTATTCAAATGCGGAACTCAAATGAGACATCAGAAGGCTAAGAACTTTCGTGCTCACTGAAAGACAATTAAAAAGATGAAAAGTCTTGTTTCCCATGCCCCAAAAAATAAAGGATGCTCACCTAGAAAGCCAGGAACCAAGGATAGAGCTGAGCCTCTTCCCAAAACCTGATACTAGACCGACCTGTACACTTTCTTCAAGCTCACACCAACTCTGTAAAAAAAATTAAAAGAAGAACGAAGATCAAGTCACTGATGACCGAATATCAAGTATAGCCGCGTGGGATTTGGTGAATCTTGGAAAGATTAAGAAACTGTGAGCTTTTTTCCCATCATTGAACTATTGAATTATTCTTTCATAAATGGGATAAGGACAGGATAGAGCGCCAATACTTCAAATGGTTTAAGTACCCACGGTAATCTTGAACAAGTAACAACTAAATCAACAAGAATTCTCCTGGCTACAACTTAAGCTACAGAAACCATTCATGCTTCATTGATCATGATTATGAGGAGATGAATGTGCAGCCCGTGAGGAAGAATATGGAAGTTCTCATAATATTGTTCCAGTTGTTCTTCATTATTCCTCGGGATATCGTTATCGCTTTCTGCTGTTTATAGAAATTTGCCTCAGTTTACTTTGTTTCCTTCCAGGATCTAATTCAGGCTATGTTCGACAATACTTTTGTTGCTTCCAGGATGCATTTCACTCGAGAACAATAGAAGTTCCTCTCATCCAGAAAAGGTCAAAAAGAGAGTAGAGAATAAATCATTCTGTTATCCTATCAGGCACCTCGTCAGCAGTGAAGGATGAAAGATGCAACGTTTCCATTGGTAAAAGGGAAAAAATTAGTCGATAATAAAACCTTGGCTAATATAAGGTACCTCGTCAGCAGTGAAAGATGCAAGCTTCTCATTGGCAATTTCTTCACAACGCACAGTGGCGACCATGATCTACAATCAAGATAATAGGTCTTTAGAAGTTGGAATCAGGAAAAAAAATCAGGGTTCCCCAGATAATTTCAAGTAACAGAATTAAAAATATGACCTTATGTGCAGGCAAGTCAAGGTCCTTGTTCTCTTTGATAATTTTCCAAATCTGTTGAACGCTAAAAGAAAATCCAGAGGCGGGAACAACACCTCGTCTGTCTCCAGCAAGTCCTCCAGGTGCAATAGAGTGGAAGAACCTTTGTCTTAAATTAGAAACCTTTATTGAAACAGAAAACAAAAAAATGAGCATGTTGATTATACAACTAATAGGTAAATACAAGTTAGCAGAAAGACTGCGACCAACCTCAGCTCATTACATGAAGAATAAACCTAAATTTTCCTAGATAAATGGAAATTGACCGGAATTATCTAAAGCAAACGGAAAATGTTACGTATATTTTACTTCTAATAACCGAGCAGCTCATGGCAGACTTTTTATCATCCTAGCTAAACGAAGAGCAACAGAATATCTAACAACAAAAAAACACCTGTTCTTTGAACTCCTCTTCTCTAGCTTCGTAACTTGAAAGAGCCACTACCTCCACCTAGATAATTCAATGGATAAAGGGAAATCAGATTCCTAACAACCCAAAAATTTCAGGAAAAAAACGACATTAAACACGTCACAGTTTCTTACAACAAAGAATTCACTGAGTGGAGTTTCTTTATGAGCCTCCGGTTTAGGAACTGTGTCCCAGATCTGAAAAAGAGAAAGCAAAACGGTAAAAAAAATACACTACAGCAATATTCATGTACGAAAACGCAATAGAAGAGAGCGAGTACCTTTTGAATATCTTCCCTCAGAAGCCGTTCCAAGTTTTCCAGTGGTGTCTAATGATAAAGAAACGCAAATTAATAAAATAATAATGAAGAGACCAAATTCCAGGACATTCAACTAGATTACAAAAAAGATAAAGAGGCCAACCCTGGTTTTGTCGCGAATAACAAATAACAATGTTGTTTTACGGGGGGTGAATAAACGCAGCATGACCTATATATCAATTGAGAATAGAGTAAGCAAAATGACAAAACAAATACCATAACTTTGTAAGACAGATCTCGACAAATATTACCTGGAAAACTGTCTTTAGGAGAGGTTTATTAGCAGCCTGTTCACGACCAAGATCATGACACCACCTGTACATTAAATAAAGGTACTTTTGGAAATCCATTTTCAAGAAATATGTTTGACAATTCTTAACTATATATCTTTAACAATGATCTAAATTCAATGGCATCCTAAACACTCATTCTCGCAATGTGCCACATCAAACATAGGGAGAATGTGTAAAAAATACGTTGCTTACATTACATCAGAAAACTTACATGTTGATAAGCACAATGTCAGAAACTGCTAGGGCAAAAAGGGCGCTCTGTTTCTCAAAAGCAGTGTCATCCTGAAAATGAGGAAAAAGAAATCTGACATTCAGATTTCCAGAATCACAACGAGCGGAAATAAAATAAAAAAAAAGACCGGGTCACAATATGAAGTAGCCAACAGCGTGGCTTGTCTGTTGCTCGTTATTGGAGAAGGTCAATTCATTCTGGGTCACCAGACGTTCGAAAAGACTCCCATGGATATGTTCAATAAGGGTTTTTAAGTCTCATTACAGAATATAAACGATATAACGTGATACACCACGAACAAAACACAAAAAACTGAATAAAGTCCAAATGATAGTTTATCAAAATATTCCCATCATTAATGCCATGCTTCCACAACAAGTTAATTCATACATGATCACCTTATTTTCATAACTGTTAAATAAGCAGTAAAATACATCTACTTTAAATTATTCAGATAATTTTTTTTCTTTCAAACGATACCCTTTTGTAGCGCAGGACGAGTAGTAAAATCCAAATTATTAACAGTCAGGATTACAATATTTTGTCAAAGTGGATGTTGAAACGAGCGCATTTAAATTAAAGAAATCATTACACCAAGTAATCGGAAAAACTTTCGTTAAGAAGCAAGCACAATTTTTCACAACAAAAAAGGGGGGAAAATTAGACATATTTCTTTTAATTTTAGAATGCTGCTTTTCAAAGTGATCCAAGCACTATTTATCATTGAGCATACAGATAACCCAATGGTAAAAGGTAATATTCTATGCAACTGACTCACACCACAGCATTTTCTAGCAAGTGGATTCACTAAATAAAACAACCAATGTAAACAATGTAACGGAATTGACCACAAGTTCACTTCGCCCGTATCATTAACTAGAAGTGGGCATTCCATGAAATAGGAAAAAAAGGAGCTATGCATTAACTTAAATTTTAGAAGCCCAAGAGACACTCATTACATCCCAATGTCATTAATTTCCTCCAGACTAGAAAAATAAAAGTACCTCTCCACGCTCTCTACCATCAGTGCCTTCCAAATCCATAACAAGCGTACAAGGTTCGATACCAGAACATTTAGCCAACCAAATTCCTTTAGTAGTTTGAGACCTGAGAAAGGAGATTGACACTTTTGTCATGCTTATGTCTGACTGCTTTTTCTGTTAGTTTAAGAATGAAAATAACCAATAGTAAAGTATGAGAACTTGCCTGCCGATATAGGCATCCATTTCCCTGAAGTTGGTGTAGAAAAGATGGTTCAGTAGAGTGCTCTTTCCTACGGAAGATATGATTTAGAAAAAAATTATGGACAAAAAATTTATAATAACGCCTGTAGAGTTTAGTCAGGAATCTATATAAATTGAAAGCGAAAAGACATGATAGGATGGCTGAATTTTATTTTTTATATTGATTGTCTATATTTTCCAAGTTTGAATAAGAACAGCCGAAACATTTCGGTCACAGCATAAATTGGGGTCAAAAAAAGAAGGAATCAATCACCTCACATTGTTGAGCATAAAGAAGACATGAAGCGCCCTAAAAAACAGTTTTTCTAACTTGCAAGTTGATTGGTAGACTCCTCTTTGCCATGTCAAATAGGAGTACATTTCTAAAACTAGTTGTACAAAACAACCTTGAAAGAGCAACCAACATACCACTACTTTGGGGACCCATTATGGAGACAACTGCATAAGAAAGCCCACATTCAGCTAATTTCACAGCCTTTGCGAGATTGTCAAGTCCAGATGCATTAAATACACCATCACCATCAATGAGCTGAATAGAAGAACATTTCTCGGCCATTTCTGCAAAGTAAAAAAAGAACAACTTAATGCCAACTTAATGATTTATTTTGGAAATACATTAGACAAGAATTATATGCAAGTCCAACAATTTCTGAGAAACTACACTTGACTACTTATTATAGCTCTTCCATGGTAACATAACACTACAACACAGTTTCAACTTAATTCTCCAACATTTTCATCTGTGCTTCTCCCTTGACTTGGCATTTCTGAGTCGACAGTCATTGATTTGAACCCAATAGCATATGAAATTAAATCAAATATGCTCGCCTGGAAAACATTTTTCCAGGAATACAGAAATTGAGGTAAAAAATATCGCGAGAAGAATGGGAAAGATGACAAAAATATAATGACGATAACTTAGACAGGAATGTTACTGGAAGAAAATTTTGAAAAAAGCTTCTTCTTTCATGAACTAATGTATATAGTATTCCAAGTTACAGAGCCATTCAAAGTTTTATCACTTGATCCATCACAGCCACAGTAGATCAACTTTGAATCATTACAAAATCCTGGTGCAAAAACACTTCAAACTGGTAGGTTTAATAAACTAAATGTTGCCCTAGATTCTTCGAAGTCAACAAGGGCTGACAGGACAGCGCCAAGCAATCTACCACCTTTACTAGGCATGATCACAAGTCCAGAATGTAGACGGGGTATCTACTAGGGGATTAGGTTGTGCTCAATGGTTGATTGTGGGATAAATTCTGTTACATCCGTACGGCGGAAGGGCATGTCACTTTTGATACTCGCTTCTTCAAATGGAAAGATTCGCCTCGGAAAGAAGCTCTATCACTGAACTTGGAATGGATGGCGGAACGTAGGTAGCAAGCAGTTATATGGATACGGTGCCCTTTACCCGTAGACGCTTCTCCAGCTCTCGCAAGTTCATAACGAACACAAGTTCCCCAAATTCCAAAAATAACGCAAAGACATCCCATCTGGAAACCCCCTCACCAAAGCTCAGACGAACTCGATCAATCCAAAAAACCGTTGGTGACTTCACATCAGTAAAGCAGAAACACTTAATGACCACAGCATTCAAAAGCAAGCGCTCAATCTTTACTACTACGTCCAACCCACAGCAACAAGCATGCCGGCGGCGGGGAAAACTGAAACCGGCGAATAACCGATTTCCATGCCGATCAGTCCAGTGTAACATCCAGGCAAACAAACCCGCAGAAAAATTAACCGGAGGGGAGATCAGGAACAGACCAGAAAAAAAAGGCGGATATCGGCCTTATCTCCGGGGATCGCGAGACCGCGAGATCCTTCTCCCTTCCTCACACCACCCCCGTTCCGTCGGCAACGGGAGACACCGGCGAACCCGACCCGTGGCGGAGGAGAGAACGAGAGCGAGAGCGAAAGCGAGAACGAGGGAGAATCAGCAGGCGGAGAGGAGATCCAGGTTTTTACTTAAATAGCACGAAAAGTTGCCGCCGACTGGACGAATACCACGTTAAAAGAAAGACGACGGAGAATGAAGAAGGCGGGGGAAGGGGAATAGACGGTCCACTCTGTATGGCTGGATGTTGGGCCCCACACCGCCTAATGGGCCTGCCAGCCGGCCCATTTCCCACCCGCCCTGATGACCGTCTTCCTAACCGCCGACGAGCGGTACGATAGACCGCGGGTAATTTTACTCCAGCGTGGAGAATTTAGCGACGCGGACCGACAGGGCGACAACTTTTGGCTAGGTCGGCGGCGTCGACGCCCACCGAAAGTCCTCGGGCCACGTCAGTCTCCTGTGGGACCCATTTATTTCTATTTCGAAATGTAGTATGTGATAATTTAAATTTTGAAAGTGATAGTTTTATTCGATTTAAATAAAAAATGAGGGCGGTGAAGCGAATGACGACTTTGCCCCTCCCTCGACCACCTGGGGGGTCGTTCTGATCCCACAGCCCCCAAGACTCTTGCCGTCAAATCTGACGTCTTAAATATATTCCCAAATGATACTTTATTATATTTTATGCCCCCCCTCCTCCCATAATCGCCTAATCGCTTGTCGCTTGCTTAGCAGAAAATCTTGATGGGATATAATTAAATAAAATCCACATTTAAGGTTTATAAGTTTAAAAATAAGAGAAATTATTATTTTTCCTTCGGATGAGACTAGGATGGTGGGCTGGATGGCCCGGCCTATAATGGGCCTGTCTTCGAGAGTCGAGACGGTAAAAATCTTCAAACGGCTCGTCCGTAAGATGACTGTTTTAACCAACTCATCAAGGTGGCCCACTAAGCGGTTAACCCAAGTTGACGAGTCTCAGGACCCAATAGAGGCCCAGGTGATCACCACGAGTAGCCAGCCCAACGGACAGACGAGATTTATACTGAACGTTACAGCTCAACCCACAACTGACAAAATACACACATAGATGAAGATAGAGAGAGATAGAGAGAGAGAGAGAGAGAGAGGAGACAGAGCGCGCCCCCCCCCCCCAATCTCCCACCTCAATACTGGCCGAGGTTCTATCCACGTCTTCCAGGGTCACGCAGGACCCAGGAATTTTCATAGAGCCTCTATTTTTTATTGAAAAATCTCACCAGTCGGAACACCAACCAACGACAGAATCCCAATAGCCACCGACTCCCATGTGCTGGCACCCGCTTGCTGCCGAAGAGAAAGAGGAATGATCTTCCGTCAAATACGCTTCTAGCAAATGGCACGTTTGATAAGCAGCAGTTGCCGCACGAACACTGGATTCGGTCTCCTGCATAAATTGGTTCCACAAAGATCTACATTGATATGGTGTTATCAATGTTTTCGCCGGATCAACCTGCCAAAAAAAGAAAAGAATTGAAGCAGTTCCATGATTAGCAGGCTATGAACGATGACGGAATTGAAGCACTGCCCGGGGAAGAGAAAAAAACGAAAACTGGATGGAACTATCCCCAATGGGAGAGAAAAAGGCAGAGGATGACCGCAAGTTTCATCTTTCATACGGTAAAATTGCAACAGATCCCGGAAGATAACTCGCTAATGTATTCACAAAACGAAAGTCGGGTTCGGAAATATGAAGCGACGGTGGCATTGCAGATGTGAAATCACCTCAAAATTTGATTTACCCATTTCTTCTACCCAACGAAATACCGTCGAAGTTACAAAGCTTGGTTATATTTCAGTACGAAAATCTGCAACATTCTAAGAAGTTGATCAAGACCATTGCTCAATTCTTAGGACGAACAAGAGAACCGAACAGACGGATTTTAATTTTTCTTTTAAAAAAGAAATGACTGAAACACCAGAAACAGGGACTACCCGAGCTAATGATAGAGGCAAGAACACTAGAAATCTTTCTCAATTGATCAACATGTAAACCACAATCTCCATGGATGACCATTACCATCTTCCAAGAGCTGGAAGCCAAGTGATCAACTGACGCGCTACTGCTGTGGGAAACAGTGCTCAAGAGGGCTAGAAAGAGAGTATTCTCCACATTGTCTGCATTGTCATCTAATCGTGTTACAGCCATTACTGAGAGCATCTTCAAGGACTGCACAAAGTTACGAGTAAACCGTTAAGATCACTCTTCGTAAGAATAATTTCCGGTGTAGCCAAACTTTTGTGCAACACAATTAACCTGAGTAAAATTCATCAACTTAGACTTACAGCAGTGCAGGCTGCTCTTTTAAGTGCTGGGATGTCGTCAATCTCTGGCCAAACTCTCGGCATCGACTTTTCGTCGAGCCAGAACATCACGGAAAACCTGCAGCAACAATCTGTCAATAAATATCCTTGAAAGAAGGTCAGACAATAAAGACGAGGAGCGGCCAGTACTTTTCTTTATGTGTTTCAATACTCTTGCAGCTTCTTCCTTCGCAGTTGATTCAACAATGTTTCTTGCGTAGTCCTTCATGCCTGTGAGCAGCGTTTCCTCGGGTTCTCTGTCTAGATCAAAATTATAGAGTGAAGAGGAAAATTCAGCAAGGGCATGCCCAGTTACACTCTCTGGAGAAGTTTTCTAATAACTGGCCATGTATCATTGTCTGCTGAACGAAGACGATCTTTCACAGGTTCTGCTAGTGCTTTAATAAGTTTTCTCTGAGGATTTGAAAAGATGTATTGGCTATCATAAACTACCGATAACAAAAACAATGCTATTTCAGCGAATAAGCTCAATTAATTAAAGTTCTACCTTAAAATAATCAGCAAGTTTGGACAATTTGGAATCACGAACTGTGGCAACATGCATGCCGATATCACACCTGAGCTTCTCTCGAACGTTGGATGATTCCCAGCTAGCTTGTTCGACAGCTGCCTCTGCAATGTTAATAGCCGTTAAAAAAGTCCAAAAAAAAAAAAAAGTTACAAAGATGATCATATGGAACTAGTAGCTTCACATTTCAAATATTAAAAAAAAATCTTTAAAATGAATTGCCAATTCTAGCACCCAGCCAGAATCTACAGAAGGGTGTCATCAGTCAACTATCACGTCAGTGACAATCATCAGACAGAGTTGAAGCAAACGTCCAGGAACATGTGACCCTTACTGTGTAGGAACTAATCCTACACGTGCAAGAGGTGACAAAGGATCATAATCATTGAAAGGATAAAGCATGGTTGTCTTCCCTACCACATATTCTTTTCCGCAGAGGGCTTGGAGCTAATGGTGAAAAAACCATACACAACCGCTTCTTCTCACTTTCTTTTGGCTGTGATGGGTTGATAGATTTTCCTTCTTTCGCCACTTACAGTCTGACGTTTTTTCTCTTCATCTACTTAATCCTCTGCTTTCTCCATCAAAGGAGATTTTCTCATTCTTTTGGAGCTCTTGGGTGGTATTTCTAACTTCAGCTAATAGCATTCCTTCGTCCATGCACTTCTACCAGTTATAGTGTGGGAATTATTTTTTTCCCAATAAACTGTAATTTTTATTTTATTATGGATTTTTTTGTAGGTTTTTAAAAATCCCCTTGTGGCCTTTCCTTCCTCTATTCACTACCTATAGTCTACAATCTTTCTTTTTCATCATCTTTGCCTTCTCCTTCTCCTTT